CGACTCGGGCATGGGTACGCCCATTCTCGCGGGTCCCTCGCCCGAGGATTCGCCCAAGGCGAAGATGAGCTTGAGCAATCTCACCCATTGAAACCCCACCTACTGAAATAAAGAAACAGACGACAGACCAACCCCATCAACAGACAGACTGCTTCTTTTGTACACTTGTTCTTGTTCTTAATTTTTCATTAATAATGGACAAGCAGAAAAGAAGAAGAAAAAGGAAAATTACCAAGGAAAATGGAGTTTTTTTGACGATACCCAGGAATGCGGATGAAGACTTGTGCGTGTATGTGTGTGTGTGTGGATGGATGGATGAAGCCATTTGAGGCAAGCAGCGTGATGACAGCGTTCAAGCGATTTTTTTGGTGTTCCGAGATGAGCGACCAGCGTCTGTCTGAGGATGAGCCGGCGCGCGCGCACCTTCTGCTGCGAGACTGCGATGCTCACTCAGTACATTTGTAGTGTATTGTTTTGCTGTACAGTTCATATTACAAGTGATGAAGAGATACCAGTACCTTTATTCTCTCTCTCTCTCTCTCTCTCTCTCTCTCTCTCTCTCTCTCTTTTTCCTCTTTTTCCTCATCTTCCTCGTCTTATTCTTCCTCATCTTCCTCTTCCTCTTCTTATTCCTCTTCTTCCTCTCTCTCTCTCTCTCTCTCTCTCCTTCTTCTTCTTCTTCTTCTTCTTCTTCTATCTCGCAGTCTTCCTTCCACTCTTTCAACCGTGCGCCAGCCCCCCTCTCCCTCTCATACGCAGAGCCCCAGCCAGCAACCACTAGTCTCCAGCTAGAGGTATCCAGCAGAGAGGTGGTGACTACTCGGCATGATTCCCTCCCCTCAGCCTCTCAGCCTCCTAATAAGAGTCTAGCATGACTCTCACTCCGAGGCGCCCTGTGCTGTGCTGTGCTATTCTTGCATTCTTGAGGCTTTTTTTCGGGTGACGACGCCGCTGCGTTGCATGACAATTGACAGATACCAAAATAAAACACAGAAGAAGAGGAGAGAGGGAGAAAGAGAGAGAGATCCGAGAGTAAACTCCGGCCGGGCGTCTCATGGTGATCTCCCTCTGGGATTACGATATAAGAGCCGAGGCACGGCACGGTAAGCTCAAGGGACGAGCCTGTTCCCGCTCTCACGGGACGGTGCCTTAGTCAGATTCCAGAGAGATGGATGATGGGAGACGACGGCTTCCTTCTAGGACATCATCATCATCATTATCATTATCATCATTATATCGCATTAATGTATTCATTCTTCTTGTGAGGTTTTTAACAAACAAAACTTCATCTCATATCATCCTTCAGGAAGTCAGGGAGGGGGCGGGGGCTATTCCAGCTTTTTTTCCTGTTTGGGGTGTGTGTGTATGCATGATGCGACATCTGCTGACCTCCTCCTCCTCCTCTGAACCACCCCTCCCTCCACGAGTCAATGTCGATTCTATATACTCCCGATCCGGCTATAGATACTGGCTGGATTCGATCTCTTGTATGATCTTTTTCTTCTTCTTCCTCTTCCTCTTTTTCTTCTTACCCCCCGCCACTGCACCGACTAACGCGCGCCGTGTCTCCATCACAGTCGCAACGCGAATTGTCTCTTCGTGTCCCCATCAACTATGTGAACCATCCCGGCGTGGTGCTCACGGCAGCATGCTTTGGTAATGATTCCTACGAGGAGACGGCTGCCGCAAAATGCATCTCGAATCTGCTGGTCAGCGGATTCCGCAGACTCGAGGCCGATGTCTTTTGGGACGCAAGTCGATTAACCTGGAGCCTCTGTCCCGTCGAGCTCGGCGGCGGCGACGATGATGACGGCGGCGCAAATGCAACGCTCACCGCGTCTACCAGCGTGCCGGCTGCCCCCATCTCGGTGGACAGCAACATGGCAGGCAGAGACATGCATCATCTACGGAGACAGGACGAAGAAACACTATCACAGACCAGCGCCGCCTCCACCACTGTGGTCATGTCCACGAGCATGATGCCCATCGCCACTCTCACCGCAAATCCCACCAACACTTCTGCGCCAGGCACTTCTCCGCCTGCAAACTCGGACGCTGCTGGCGGCACGCTGTTCAAGGCGGGACCGTATTCTTGCACTTACAAGACAGACTGGCAGTTGCTTGTCAGTATCGTATCTGCACATCTGGTACGTGTGCTGCTCGATGTAACGTGCCGCTGCAGCGTGAGCCTGGATGGAATGCTGACATCCGGGACAGGCAAATACGGATACTGACCTTGCTGCAAGAACGCTCACTCTCATGCTCAATCTGCACGCAGCCGCGCCAGCTTCCGGTGGACCTGCCCAAGCACCTAGTGATACCAACCTACCACAGGGGGCATCGCTGCTCAGTGCGGAGCTTGCACGAAATGTATCTGCCTATTTGTATCCGCCAGGCGATCTGCTCAGCCAGAGAGATGATCTGAATCATAGCGGGAGCTGGTTCTCGACATACGGTGCAGCCCACCCACTCGCATCCTACTTCACGGTGGAGAGTGGCAACACGCCCTCTTCTCCCGATGGCTGGCCAAGCGAAGGTTTTGTGGAACTTCCGGGCGTGTCGAACCGATTGACAGTAGGATTTGGAAGTATTGATCCTCAGATGGCTGCGTACAATTCCACTGGTGATCGCGCAGCCATCTTTCCGCTGGGATATCTGGAGTCCATCACAAACGTTACCTATACGGATTCTGGTAACGTCACGACGGGCTGCTTCTTCAATCCCGTCGAAACCAATTTAGCAGATGTGAACTCCTCTTGGGCAGTTTCCAGTCTCGGGAGCGGCGCCAGTGCTACTCCTGCAGAGCTATCTACGTACCTGAGCCAGGCGCGGAGTCTCACCACGTGTGGAATATCGCCCATCTTGAATGCGACACTGGGCAACGCTTCCGCGGACCAAGGGTTCGAGCCATATCTTGCCTTTGCGCAAAGTACTGTCTGGTCGTGGTCTGCCGGACAGCCCGTCAACACCACCCAGCGAGACGATTTGGGCGATGATCGATGCGCAGCTCTCAACTCGACGTCTGGCAATTGGCAAGTCCTGGACTGTGGTGCGTCTCGTCGTGGCGCCTGCAGAGTGGGGAGTCAACCCTACGAATGGGAAATCAGCGACGCGCAGGTGCCGTACGATCGCATGTACTTGGCTTGCGATGATGACCAGACCTTTGATGCTCCCCGGACTGCACTCGAGAACAGTTATTTGGCATGGGTGTGGCGCATGTACCGAGCCGGGTCTCAAGGCGACGGCGTGGATGAACTGCTCTGGCTCAACTTTAACGACCTCGACATCAATGCGTGTTGGGTCTTGGGCCAGAACACGACTTGCCCCTACAGTGGGGAGCCCGAACAGCAGACTCGCCGGATTGTGGTGCCGGTCGTGGGAGGAGTCATTGTATTCGTGCTCGCTGCACTGACGGTTTTGGTGAAGTGTGCGGGGAATCGACAGACGTCGAAGCGACGACGCAGGCGAGGGGGGGATGGCTGGGACTATGAAGGTGTACCATCGTAGCTCTACGGCATCGCATCGTGGAGACGTACAGCTGCAGGCGCATGAAGGGAGTCGACTGCTGCTCGTGACGCACCATATAGCATATACCCCGAGGGGTAAAAAAAAATGGCATGTGAAATACCGCATTGCCCCTGGCCTTCCTCTCTCCCATGACGTGGATACTTCAACTCTTCCTCCAAACCGAGGTCATATACATGTAGCCATCCATCTCGCTTCATCCCCAGATTTCCATCTTTTTGTTTCACCCTTGTTCAAAGAGCACGTGGTTCATTCGGCTCCTCGACGGAGTATGCGGAGGAGAGATCGACAATGTAACACATGCGCTGCCCAGAAGAAAACTCCACCCTTCGCCAAGAGAGACAAGACGCGCCCGCCCTCCGGGGACATCCATTCCATCATCACATCATCCCATCGCCTACACTATTGTCCTATTGTCCTAGGAGGTATTCACACCACTGGACTCAACTTTCACGTGCATCTGCGCCTAGACTCTACAATTCCCTTTTCCCATCTCGCATCGGTCACGCGGTTGGCGTCAAAAGGCTTAGGTGTGGACTTTTTTTTTTTCTTTACACTTTGCGCGGAGCTCTGTGTGTTTTTTCGAGTCTTGGCTACAGCTACTATCGAAGGTGAGAGTTCACGAGGACAGACAAGGTTTCTTGTACCGTACCTTGGTTTTTGTAGGTTTGTTTTTTTTTGTGAGCTACCAGATTTGGGAAGGGAGAGACAGCGGGAGAGGGAGAGAGGGGGGGATTTGCATGATATGTATACATATATATATCTACCTCATAGAAGCCATGCAGAGTCCGCGGCCATGCAGCAGCAGCAGCAGCTACTACTACTACCACTACTACTGGCAAAATTCTTCCACCATCATGTGGAGTGCTGCTGCTGTTCTTGTGGCTCTCACAGGCGCTCTCATCGCTGCCACGGGAAGAGCTTTTGTTATTGTTGTACCTCGACAAGCTACATTTTGTCCTGGATACTCGATCAGCAATGTCCAATCGGGGAATACTGGACTGACTGCTGATTTGTCTTTGGCGGGACCGGCTTGTAATAGCTTTGGATCGGATATTCCTAGTTTGAAGTTGATGGTGAATTATGATACGGGTATGGATTTTTTTTTTCTTTTTTCTACCTATTCACTTGATGGTGTTGTTGGATGAAGATGAAGATGATGATGGCGATGATATGGCTACCAGTGACTAATAATGATGGTTTCAATAGCAAAACGACTCCACATCAAGATTCAAGATAGTCCTGCCATCGCATATACCGTTCCCGAATCAATCTTCCCGTACCCGCCGAGTGACCAATCGGTCTCAGCAGATGAAGCCGAACTCGAATTTACCTATCAAGAAACGCCGTTTAGTTTCCGTGTGGTCAGAAAAGCGAACAATGAAGTGCTCTTTGACTCTTCCGCCGAGTCTCTCATCTTTCAGGACGAATACCTGCGCTTACGCACTGCGCTGCCTGCCAATCCCAACCTCTACGGGCTCGGAGAGCATGCAGATGACTTTAAGCTGGGTACGACGGGTTATACGCGCACGCTCTGGTCTCGGGATAGCTATGGAATTCCAGAGGGGACGAATTTGTATGGAAATCATCCGGGTAAGTCTAGCCTGCTTCGATGCCTTCAATAGGACCAAATGGTGTTGTTATGGCTCACAGGCTTACCCACGATTTTTCGCAGTCTACTTCGACCACCGTGGCGCCAGTGGCACACATGGAGTCTATTTGCATTCGAGTGCAGGCATGGATGTCAAGATTGATCAAGATGCTAACGGCCAACAATACCTCGAGTACAATCTAATGTCTGGTATCATCGATCTCTTCTTCATGGCCGGTCCCACCCCCACCGAAGTGAGCAAACAGTATGCCGAGGTTGCAGGATTGCCTGCAGAGGTTCCTTACTGGTCCTTTGGGTTGCACCAATGCCGTTATGGCTATCGAGACTTTTATGGCGTTGCTGAGGTCGTTGCCAACTACTCGGCCGCTGGAATCCCGCTCGAGACCATGTGGACTGATATTGGTACGTGTTCTGCTCTGCTCCACCCTCAGTCGTATGAGACGCATGCTCACTAACCTTCGGGGGGACGTAGACTACATGTACGAGCGATTTATCATGACCACCGACCCCGATCGCTTCCCGATCGATCGGGTTCGGGAGATTGTCAATTACCTCCATGAAAATGACCAGCATTACATCGTCATGGTGGATCCTGCTGTGGCATACCAGGAGCAGAAATACGATAATCTGACTTACACGTCTTTTACGATTCCCCGAGACAATGGGTACTTTGTCTACAAGAACGGATCCGTCTACAAGGGGGTGGTCTGGCCCGGTGTGACTGCTTTTCCCGATTGGTTCCACCCAGAAGTGCAACAGTGGTGGAATGATGAGTTTGCCAGCTTCTTCGATGCCAACACGGGCATTGATATCGATGGGCTCTGGATCGACATGAATGAGTACGAACAGACATGGAATAGACCGATACATCACGAGACGTCTGCTGACCTATTGACTTCTCCCTGCTTAGAGCTGCAAACTTCAACTTCTTCGGAGACATTCCAGAAGAGACTCAAGAAGGTCAGTATTACTCTTGCAACCAACCAGTAGTAGGCACTCGCTCACCTTTTGATCTCTTTGATTCTGGCAGAACGCAACTTTCCGCCTCTACGCCCAGCTCTCCGCTCGCAACCACGCCCCATTCCAGGCTTCCCTGAAACTTTCCAGCCAGGTGCTCAGCCCTATCCCCCTGACGACTACGCTTATGCGCCGCCGTGGCTGGCCGCCGACTCCAATCCAAACGACAATGGTGGTCAAAAGAAGAAGCGTACGGTCTCGAGTGAGAACAGTGACACACCCAAGCGTCAAGTATTGACTTCACCCTCGGGAGCCCAACTCATTGGTTACCCGGAGAGAGACTTTTTGGCGCCTCCTTACCAGATCGACAACGCCAACACCTATCAGGCCGTGGGAGGCTTGTCCAACTTCACACTGGACACGGACATTATCCACTACGATGGCCATGTCGAGCTGGACGTCCACAACCTGTACGGCAGTCAGATGAGCGAAGCCTCTCGCACGGCGATGCTGGCGCGCAGACCTGGGCGCCGACCACTGGTCATCACCCGATCCACCTTTGCCGGTGTAGGTCGCAGCGCGGGCAAGTGGTTAGGAGACAATCTGAGCATATGGGACCACTACCGCAACTCGATCCAGGGCATGCTCAATTTCGCCGCACTCTTCCAAGTGCCCATGGTCGGCAGCGACATTTGTGGTTTCGGAGGCAACACCACCGAGACACTCTGTGCACGCTGGGCCTCGCTGGGAGCTTTTTACACTTTTATGCGAAACCACAACAGTGACACGTCTCTCCCGCAAGAATTCTTCCTCTGGGATACCGTCGCCGAAGCAGCCCGCAACGCTCTCGATATCCGCTATCGTCTCCTCGATTACATCTACACAGGCTTCCACCAACAAACTCTCGACGGCACACCCGTCCTCCAACCGCTCTGGTTTCAATACCCCACCGACTCCAACACATTCGCCAACCAACTCCAATTCTTCTACGGCAACTCCCTTCTCATTTCCCCCGTCACCGAAGAAAATTCCACCAGCGTAACCATTTATCTCCCCAACGATCGCTTCTACACATGGAACACATGGCAACTCATCGAAAGCTCGGGCCAAGATTTCCTTCTGACAGATATCCCTTTTACTGCTCCCCCGCCCATTCATGTTCGTGGAGGCAGTATTCTCCCCATGCGCCAATCTCCGGGATATACGACGTCGGAAACGAAAAATTCTCCTTTGGAACTTCTCGTTGCGCCGGGAAGGGAAGGGGAAGGGGAAGCTCCTGCCACAGCGACGGGTTCTCTCTATCTCGACGACGGAGACAGTCTCATCCAACCCCTCGACACCACTTCGGAAATTTCCTTTTTCTACGAGGCTTCTTCTTCTTCTTCCACATTATTCATCAACGGCACTTTTGCATATCCCATCACCTCTCATGCACTTCTCGCTTCCGTGATGGTGTTGGGGGTCAGTGTTGTGAGTGAGACGACACCGACATATTATAAATCTTCGACGGGCACGACACAGGAATGCGAGTGGTGGACGTATGATGCTGCAACGGGAGTGATGCGCGTGGGGTTGAATGAGGTGTTGGATGGGGAGATGGTGGTTTATTTTTGAGGAAATGGAGAGAGAGAGAGAGTGGGATTGAACGATATTTCCCATTCATTGGAATAATATTTTCATTGGAGAGAGATTTGGATGGAAATATCGGGAATTATGGAGGCAGTCAGTCTGTTTCTCAGTCCGTCTACTACGCTTAAAAAAATCACACTGTCGATATCTCTCTTGTTCTTTCCTTTTCACACATCCAGCTTCGTCTTCTTCTTCTTCATCTTCTTGCCCCCCTCATCCTCACTATTACCTCCACCCTTCTCCCCCTCATCCTCCCCAATCGGATAAACACTCTCCCGACTCCACGCACCCCTCGCTCTAACCCGTCTCCCAAACCGATAAAACGCAAACGGAATAGGAATCATAGCAACAGCACAAAATCCAAAAACACTCACTCCCCAATCAATGCCCATATGATGCAACATGGGAGAAATAAACAACGGAAAAGCCGCCGCGAGTCCACTCCGCAAAGCCGTATTCGCCGCGACGGCACTGGCCGCATAGCGCTGAAAGGTATCAATGAGATAATTCAATGCAGCTTGGAAAATCGTGAAAAATCCAATCCCTTCGAGTGCGATGCCGATGCACGGTACGATCCAATGAATGTGTGGTGCTGAAGACCATGCAAAAGTGAAGAGGCCCGCGGCGAAGAGGATGGAGCCGGCCATCATGGGTGGGAGACGGGCTTCGGGGACGGGTCGGTAGTGGTTGGCTTTGAGACGTTGGATGTAGAATTGTTGATTGAGATAGTTTCCTCCCGCGCCGATGCAGATTCCGATTAACATGGCCAAAAAGGGGAGGGAGCCCACGAGATCGTTCCAGCCGCGGGTTTCTTGGAATTCTATGGGAAAAGCCGCGAGCGAGGCGTAGAGGATGCCGTAGCAAAAGGAGGCGTACAAGGCCATGAGAGCGCAAATGGGAGTGGCGAGAAGTTGGAAGGGTCGGATGAGATATTTGTTGCCCAGCTCCGCGAGCGAGATATCCCATTCCTCGTGCTTGGCGTGTAAGGCCCAATTGCCACTCTCATGGCGCAGCTTTCGAGCCTTGATCACGAGCAGTTGCGGCGCGTAGCTCTCATCGAGAATCAGGACGTCCAGCACCAAAAACAGCATCATGAGAATCCCCGTGAAATACTGTGTCCACCGCCACCCTACTCCGCTCACGATAAACGCACCACCAATAATCGGCCCAATCGTCGGTCCACCCACCACCGCCATCGCATAACCAACCATAGCCGCACCTCTCTGCTCCGCCGACCAAATATCCCCCAACACGCCACCCGTATTCGTGACCGGTGCACTCCCAAAAATCCCCTGCCAAAACCGACAAATCATCAACGCCTGCACATCTTCTGCCGCACCGCCTCCAAACGCAAACATGGCCGAGATGAAATACGGCACCAACACCGTCCGTTTGCGCCCATAAACCTCAGACAACGGCGCCCAAAACAAAGGTCCAATGCCAAACCCGACGAGAAACAACGACACTCCCAACGTGGACACGGTCGATCCAATGTGAAATTCTTCGGAAATTTCATTCACCGCCGAACTGTACACAGACGACGCAAAGGTCGCGCCCATGGCCGTGAAGCCATACAAGACTGTCGTGACGGCTTTTTTCCGAAAGGGCCAGTTCGCAGGACGATACGGATCGTCCGGTCCATCGAAATCGACCAAGACATCCGTAGAAGTTTTCTGGTGCGTCAGGGGATGCGTGAAGGGTGCTCGTGGGACTCGGGATCGAATCGTTGATAAGACGGTCGACGCGGTCGTTTGCACACGTTCGACGTTGCGGCTGGTGGTACGCGAGAGAATACCAGGACTGCCTACACTATTTCGTCGTAGGCTTGGGGGGCCTTCGGTGTGGCGCCCCTCGGAAAAGACGCTAGAGGTATCGGATGAGTCGTCGTCAACATCATTATCATCATCATCATGGACATGGTGCTTTTCGTGAGATTCCTGAAGGCGAAGTGCGGAAGAGGAATTCGTAGGCACTGCGGTCTCTACTACACGCTCGCGATTGACATCTTCTTCTGCGGGTTCGTAATGTCGTTCTGTCTCGTCCGGCCGTCGCGCACGTTCTTGTTCTGATCTAAAGTCCATTTGCAAGAGTGCACCTTGTGGTATGTTGGCAGGGAGAGAGGCTATTGTGGCCGAAGAGCGAAGCGCAGCCCATAGGAGGTATAAGAAGATCTACGCCGTCGACATGCATCGACACTGAGCCGCGCATGCACTTTCCGCTCTTCTATGGATGACGTCCCTTCCAATGCCGCGAAGCCGAACGGCTGCCGAAAGCGCAGCTAATAAAGGCCGTCTAAACTCCTTCATCGGCGCCACTCTGCCGCTGCTTGCGAGACGCCGTCTGAAACCAACTGCGATCGCGGCCGAGATTCATATCGTTGACAGGCACGTGGAGATCGTTCGCATACACCCGGATGCGGTGCGAATAGTCTGCGGCAGCAGAGGGCGGTGTAACATGATCAAGTCCACTTCTTCCTTTCTGTGGCATATCAGCAGATCCGTCCCAGTACCGTCGACACATCGTGCCAACTACCTAAATGCGACACCATCAAAGACTCTGTGATGGGGTGGAAACTAAACAATCTTTTCCCATTCGACAACTAAGAAAGGTGAGAGCAGTCGGTCTGTGTCCTATACTAATACCGTTGCTATCCTCTCTCTCAAAAAAACACAAGGAAAGTCGGTCAGCCTAGTAAAATACAAGAAGCAGATAAAATATCAAAAGGCTCCATGGTATCACATCGTCGATATAGCCCCTTCGGTCCATGGCAACCGGGAGGGCTGACAAGTCTTGGGGGGCTGGTGAGGTGTTTTGCAATGGTAATGTGGATTAGTAACATTAGCCAGTCCTGCTCGCAGCGCCAATGCAGATTCCCCACCGCTCCCTTTAGATGACAACGCCGGCGTCGGCAGATACAGACGAGCCTTTGCAGACGGGACTGCATCTCTGTCTGGCCGATCATCGTCCCTGCCTTGCTCGACATTAACATGAACACGCTCCAACGCAACGCACTTCGCCTCAGTGCACAAGTTAGCCTCTGAGCGAGAATCCACCCTTGCGACCCTTCTTCTCTTCGATGGGTCGCCCGCTCTCGATGCGTTGCTTCTTCTCCTCGAGCTCTTGTCGCTGTCGGTCGAGTTGCTCCTTCATCTCGCGGTGACGGGCGTATAGCTCTTCTTCGCTCTGCTTGAGTTTGTTCTCCTTTTCTTGAACCTTCTGCTGGAATACCATCTTCATTTCGAGTTCCATCTTCGCGAGCTTTTGCTCGTGCAGCGAGCGCTCCTCCTCCTGCTTGACAGCTGGGTTGACCTCTTTGAACACGCTAGGATCTTGAGCGACACCCATAGAGGTGAGCTTGTCGGAACGGTAGTTCTCGTACAAGTAATTGTTGGTATGCTCCTTGAGGTCTTCCATGTGGGTGCGGATGAGCATTTGTCGCAGCTTGACAAAGTCGCAGTGCTCCTCGTTGTCGACTTCGATGACACCCCATGGGTATCGGCGGCCGCGAACCTTGCGGCCTTCGGGTGTCGATACTTCGGCGTTGGCACCGACGACTGCGAAAGGTACCTTGGACATGATCTCGTTATTCTCGGCAATGGTCTCCTCGTCGTCGAGCTCGTAGCGTGGGCCCTCGAAAATGTTGATGTTGTGGTAGTGGATATCAGCAAGGATCTATACTCTTGTTAGCTCCGAGAGCGAAGTGTTCGCATAATGCGCAGACTTACGCGCTGCTTGAAGGACGCGATCTCCTCATCGGTTAGGGTGTCTGCCTTGGCAATGACTGGGATCAGGTTGACCTTGGTGTGCAGTCGGCGCATCACCTCAATGTCGAGAGGCTTGAGGGAGTGTCCGGTGGGCTGAATGAAGTATACGCAGGCGTGCACGCGGTTGTCCACAATGTTCATGCGGTTGACCTTGTTCTCAGCGTCGAGGTACGCGTCGAAGCGCTGCTCAATGTTCTCAACGATTGGTCTCCAAGAATCATCATTGTTGACGAAATCTCCAAACCCGGGTGTATCCACCACGGTGAGGCGAAGGCGGACACCGTTCTCCTCAATGTCGGCCGAAATGGACTGTATGCTGACAGTCTTTGGTGCGAAGTCGAGAGATGGCTGCTTGCGCTCCTTTGGGGGATACAAAGACGTATTGAACAGGGTGTTCACGAGCGTCGATTTTCCAAGACCGGATTCACCTGCAAGCAAGTCCCTGTCAACGCTCCTTCCTGGATTGTACAAAGGGTCTTATTACTTACCAACGACCATAACGTTGAAGTTGAAGCCTTTCCGCACACTCTTGCGATGCCACTGGTTCGGAAGGTTCGCGAATCCAACGTAGCCTGTGAGCTTCCTGCGCACGATGTTCCTCATATCAGTGGCTGCCTGTGCGGCCGCTTTGGGATCCTTCGATGACACCGTCTGCGGCGCTGTCGTCCCGCCATTCTGGTGAACATTGCTTGTAGCGACAAGTGGCGAAGATGGCTTGCCGTTGAGAATTGCGGAGTCTGGAATTGGTGACGCGCGGGCTGGGGGAGGCAGGATGTTTCCGTTGGAAGATGCTATGTCGAGTACAGAGTCAGTTTTGGTTACATGCAGTTCTTTGATTGTCAGGTCGAGACGGTCTGGTGTGACGATCCGGCCAATTGAGGCTGTCGCCGTGGACAGCACAATTGTACGGCCAGGCGAGTCGTTGGTGCTCAGAGTCCGCGTACTGCTCATGGTGGATGTGGTGGAGGACATGATGGCAGTTGTCCTGTCGCTCACTACGGCGGCTGCCCAAAGAAAGTGTGTGTCTCGCCGCTGGCAGCACGTCGCTCGCACGAACTGGTGGTATGGTGATTGGGGATGAAGGAGGAGGAGGAGGAGTTGGCTTACCCATGGCGAGTGCGGTCGGGGTGTTTGTTGGAAGTGCTCCACGTGGTATTCCTTCTGTCAATAGCTCTGTTTGGCAGCACACATGTCAGTCGCGTTCCGTCTCCAAATGCTGGGGCGCCACCAGCGGAGCAGGCGCCGTGGGTTGATGATGGAGGAGGAGGAGGAGGAGGAGAGATGGTGGAGGTGGTCGCGGAGGGGAGGCGGGCGTAAGGAGGGAAGGCTCGTACAGGGAAATACAGTCGGCGGACTGGATGAAATGCCGCGTGTCGTTCCACTCGCGCGCTCGCTTGCGCCGAACTGGTGTCGCCGCAATTGATGGTGATGAGGAAGGTGAACGAAGGTCGAGAAAGTAGGAAGAAGCGCGAGTCGTGAAGCGGCGTTGCCGGGCGGCGGGAGAGGACTGCAAGAGAGGGCACGAGGGTGGTCGGGTGGGTTGTGTAGGAGAGGTGAGGTGGTGAGGTGGTGAGGTGGTGAGTTAAACAAGTCAGCGAGTGAAAGGCGAGAAGCTGGTGGAGGTTGGTTAAGGGTACAGACAGACAGACAGACGGACAGACAAGACGGACAGACAAGGCAGAAAGCAGACAGCACATTGAACAGTTGGTGCACCACCTTCAGGAAAGGGGACTCTGCCGTTTGACAGGGGTGTGGCACGCTTCGCACCCTCTAGCCAAGGCCTATAATTTCTCCACGTCGCCCTAAACTCTGATCGCACCTCCACGCTGCCTTGCACCCTCCTGGCCTCCCTAGAATAATTGACGATACAATACCCACCTACTACACACTCCTTATACCACACGCTCAGCAAATATGCCATCGGTAGTCCGCCGCAAACTTCGAAATTCTAGGCAGCTGCTGTGCCACTGATGGCTGCTGCACTGCACTGCACTGCACTTGCATGACGCCCGCGCAAAGCCGCGTCAAGGGACCCGTATGGCAGCTGTACATCGAGCTGCCGAGCCGAGTCAATATGATGAGAGGGAAGCTGCTGTCGGCTGGTCGCATGAGGAGCTCTAACAGATGTAGATGCTCGAGTGCTCTCTGCTGCGTGATGTCAGGACGATCGGATGAGTCGCGCCGGGCAGTGTGCACCAAGACCACCTTACTACCTACTGCCACTACTACATGTCTGTGAGACTCTGTGACCGGAGGGCCAGAGACTTCTAGGCTCAGTTGCATCCCTGGCAAACGGCTGGGTTCCCGCGAGATCCCAGTGTCTCACAGGACAGGAACCACGCACGGCCAAGCTTTCCTTAGAAGGAGTAAGCCGGTTGCAGAAAAGAGCAGAACGAACGCTCTGTTCTCCTCTTCGGCGCGCCCATATCTCTCAAATAATCTTGAGCTCTGTGTACGGCGGTTGAAAATGGCAGAAAACCAACAAGAACAGTCCCGTTCGCTCAGAGACCAGGATCTGCGGCTAGTAAGATGAAGCTCGGTAGTGACAGGTGTCGCCAATCGGAATCCAGCCTGCCCATCCGTTTCAGCCGAGTCTGCCATTGGGAGTTTAGGAGTTAGGACTGGACTGTATTGGACTGCATTTCATAGCATTTCATAGCGTAAGGTACATGTATAATCGCTCTCATTCGAACAAGATATACCGTGCTGGTCTCGTCGAAACTGCCCGACGAGAGTACCGACACACCAGCTCAAGTTTGCTGATAAGGTACCAGGTACCTGTAGGTATGAGCGTGTGCCTTCCGCGTTCGATGGATCAATCATGGGTATCATTAAGGTATTCTTACATACTCCCCCTCCCCCCCTGCGTCCTTGCCACAACAGCACTAGCTCAGTCCGGCTAGAATGCTGCTGAGCCCACTCTTGTCGAACTTGACATACTTGCCCTTGCCCTTGTCCACCTCGTGGTATCGGTCCCAGAATCGTGCATAAAGCGGTTCAATAAACATCTGCGCATCTCGGCCGAGCTGCCTTCGTACTTCAGACTCCATCTTGAATGTTTTGTGCCGCGCCACAATTTCGTTGAAAGAGTCATTGAAGTTCTTGAACTTTTCCTTGATGATCTCCTTGTCCTTACTGGACAGTGACTTCAAAATTGCCGAACTGTCCACAGCATGGCCGGTGGAAGGTGGTCGAGGCTGCTTGGAAGTATACTGCACGTCCAGCAGGTGCCCCGAAGGCTCTCTCCAGGCCTCAATATACATTTGCGTCGCCTTCTTCTTCCACGAATCCACCTTGGGCTGCGCGCTACCGAGCAAAATCGCCAGTTCGGATGCTCTTATCATCCGCTCGACAACAGCGATATTATTGGCAAGAAAGACACCTTGCAAGCTCTTGCTTTTCTGGAGTCCGCGCGCTTTCGCATCGAGGGAAGAGATCAAGGTCTCGATGGTGTCGGTGCCGTAGTGGGCAAACAACTGTTTACCATCTGCGCCGACGTCAAAGGACTTGATGGTAGGCACTGACGATGACGAGCTACCCATGTTGCCTGGCTGATTCCACCCGCCATCGCCCAAGCTACGCATGATACTTGCTAGCGGAACTAGATAGGCAGTCATGGTCTGCAAGCGTGCCATAACATCTGTAGTAATGGGCAAGGAGGCGCCATCTGCAGGTATTTGAAGCATTTGGCTGACTTTGACCCGTATGTCGTTGAGTAGTAAGGACAACGAAGACTTGGATGTCTCCCGTACAGGCTTGAGCGCGTCGTACATGACTTGCTTCAACTCGCTCGTGTGTTGCTCGATGGTAAGGCCCATCTTCGTCACCACGTCAATAATCTCATAGCCAAGGTAGCAGTCTGTGAGCAAGTGATTTCGTATGTGAGCATCCAGGTCACGTAGCGTTCCAGTGAAAGTCTTCATTGCCTCTTGTAGTGTCGCTCGCAGAACAGCACCCCACTCCTCGCGTTGAAATACTGGACATATGCTGTCGTATTCAGCAACTACCATGCCCTGCAGCCCTGTCGCGTAGGTGGTGATGGCACAGGTTCCAGGTCGATATATGGCATCTGCTTGTGACTTCTTGGCAGTCGAAAGCGTGGCTGAAGCCAGGTTCTGGAGAGAGAGAGCAATGTACTGGCCTCGTTCGTGAGCATAGACCTTGCCGGCGTGGGTCAGATCGCTCTGAGGAGCGACTTGGGAATGATAATTGGATATATTAGTGTTGATTGTCCGCAACTGCCCCGACTTGCTAGAAGAGATGCGCGGAAAGTCTTGCGACGTTGTGATCTGTTTGAGCGGCTCGATGGGCTGTGAGTCCTGTCGAAGCATATCCCTGAACACGTTCTCTAGATTCCCCGCCCCAGTTGCCAGCAGCGAGCTCAACTCTGATATCGCCATCTGGTTCGACCGCAAGTTGGTCGTCTTGAGTTCTCGCAGAGCTTGATTTGTCCTGTCCATACTCGCAATGTATTCGGTCAAGCCCACCTTCTCCGGCCTGTTACTCAAGATCCGCTCCTCCTTGTTACGCATATCGAGTGGCTGCTTGACCTTTTCGATAGCCTGCAGTATCCGCTCGATGTTGACATTCTGTGCCTGTAGTCGCTGCGTATTCCCATATATCGGCCCAATCGCGTCCTGCACCGTCCTGCCCGTCTCATTCAGGCGCGACATGGAACCTTGTATCTTCTTTGACACGCTCTTCATCTTGTCCAGGCTCGCATACAGCACCTCCACCTCGGCAGACTCCTCCGCAAAGGCGGCATGACGCTGCGCAACCATCGTGTCGAATGCGCGCTGAAACTGCAACTGCTGTTGCTACGGTTGATGATGCCTGCAGTGCAAGCTAGGAGGTAGTAGTGCCGTATTGCTGGGGTAGGTTGAATGGTGTCGTCGGAGCGTGGGCTTAGCCATTGGCGCTAGTGCGTAAGAGGTAACCATCTAGAAGCTCTTGTCGGGACTTGACTTCCTCGTTCTATGCATGAAATGAAATGAACCAGAAAAGAGGGAATTAAATGCAAGCGAAAAATGGAAAAACAAAAAAAAAAAAGAGAAAAGAAATTAATTGCCTTCCCTTGGCGCTGTAAAATGAACAGGAACGACAGAGAGAAAGAGAGTAGAGGGAGAGAGAGAAAGCTGCGAGGACCAGGGGCCGCCCCGGGGCGGTGGTGGAAAGGAGAAAAGGAAAAAAGGAAGGATTCGTAAAGGCGGCGGAACCAAATAATCCATTCCCAGCCCGTCTCTGTCCCAATTCATCCTCTTCTACCCATTCCACCCATGTATCTATCTACCTACATACCTACTACATATGTATAGTTTAAGTTACTTGTATGTGCCTTATGATATAGAAATGATTGGGGAAAAAGAGAGAGAGAGAGATTGCACTGCAATTGTGGAAAAATCTATCATCTCATCTGGGCTGGATCCTCCCAGCACATTAAAAGATGTCTGTCTTCTATAATGAAAATGATGTTAATAATAACAATAATAACAACATGCGTCGTGGAGAGCGGAGACTGCCCGCCCTAGGTCTGTCTTCCCCTCGCAACTTGGTCGAGCCAAATATCTCCTCCCTCACCTGCCACCCACCGTCTCCACACCTCGTCGTACGCATCCTCGAGGTCGCTCACCCATCGCTTCGTGTCAAACAACGCACTCTTCCACCGCGCATGAAACAGCAATTTGCGCAACTCCATCATTCGGCCCGTTCCCTCCCCATTGCTGCCCGGCACATATGCGAACCCGGTGCCCAATGCCACCGCCTTCTCTTCATAATCCTCTTCGTGCTTTGCAATAAGTTCCGTCTCCGCCCGTCGGCCCTCTTCATTCTTCGGCAATGCACCTTTCAGGATGCTTGCCGCCATGCGACTGCACATCTTGTATTGGTAACGAGGGAGAGTCAGCAGAGGTGTGCCACTCCAGAGCACATCAGCTGCCGTGGTATGCGCATTACACTCCGCCGTATCGAGGACCAGGTCGCATACTCGGGCTCGCGAGATGTGGAGATGTTTGGGAGCAACATCAGTGAAGATGACTCGCGACGCCACCTCTCTGCCTGCCCACAATCGTGCAGTAGCCAGGAGATGTGATTCTCCCAGGTCGGGGAATCGCAGCAGCCACAGGATGGAGTTGGGCACTCGGGCAAGAATGCGCAGCCAAGTGCGAAATGTGGTCGGTTCGATCTTGTACAGCTGGTTGAAGTTTCCAAATATAATCGTATCGTCCGACAACTGAGGAAACAGTTCCTTGCGCATTTTCCAGCGTCTGGTCTGCTCATCGCGCCAGTTCAGCTTCCTGTCGTGCGCATCCGGCGCGCTCTGTTTATGGTCGCAGCAAAAGAAGGTGTCACGAGAGTAAATGATGTTCTCGCCATAGACCCAATCGTCATCCTCACTCACGCTGTTCTCGTCTTCGAGCTTGTCTTCCAGGTCAACGTTCCTCCGCCATGGCCGCAGCGTATTCACAGGCACGGCAGTATCGTCCGCCAGGAGATAATCGCACCACTCGGCGCCCATCGTTCCCGCAAATCCCATGAATGACATCTGTATAGGCGCGGGTCGAGCAGCGAATACCTCGTTGCGCGCTCCACGTGTGTATCCATTCAAGTTGACCAGTATGTGAATCTGGTCGCCGGCAATCTGCTTCACCAGCCTCTCTGCAGACCACGTGCTGGCATCATGGAAGACGGGCGCTTCATTCTCAATCTGTCGGCGATGGACGGAGTTGTCACTAGCAGTCGTGGCGTAGCAATACGCCTCGACCCGCTCGGTATCGTGTAGACCGAATACGGATTGCATGAGATGTGCTAGGGGGTGGTTGTTGAAATCCGAAGAGACATAGCCAACCCGAAGGCACGGAGCAGGCGGTGATGGCGGCATGAACACCTGCTTCGGGAGCCAAGGTGCACGCAGGGTCGATACCGAAATACGAAGTCCATTCCGCTGAGATATGAGTCGGATCTGCTTGGCGGACATGGGACAAGTGAATGTGTGGAACGGTAACACGGTGGGTGCGGTAGGCACGAAGAGAGCCGCAGGGAGCTGTGGCCGATTGTAGCTTGCCGGATCTCGTCTGGTCTTCGTCACGTAGAGGTCTTGGTAGTACTGCCAGACGAGCCGTCTAGTGCCGCGCTCAATGAGACGTGTGAGTCGTGCGCCCTCCCACTTCTTCCCGGCCCAACTCATCAGCGTCTTCCGCACGCGAGCGGCTTTGTCCCTCCCATCTTGCGGCGCATCCCCCAGCAGACCGAGTTGCTGTACGATGATGTCGATGAGCGTTGCGTTCAACGTGCCCGTGCCCCAGTGCTCCCCGTCGGCGAGTTGCTTCTCGACAATATCCAAAACACGCTTGAGCCAGCCCGAGCTAGACGCTCCAGATTGTCGTGCATCCAGCAGCATGCCCTTGCCATCGACATGCCATCGATCACGTTTGCCGCCATCCTCAGCGATACCACCACGTGCCTGCCATCCACACACCGAGTTGAGAGCATTTGCAAGCCCACACACGGCCTCGGCGAATTCAGGATTGACTTCCACGGCTCTTTTGTAGTAATTGATGGCATCACTAATCCTGCCCTTGTCCTTAACTGCGTTGGCAAGGTTGGCCAGGGCAATGTCAAATTTGCCATCGCATTGCACAGCGTGCTCATACATCTGGATCGCTGCATCGAGCTGGCCAATGTCCTTGAGTAAGCTGCCAAGATTGGTGTACAGATGAGCATGGTGTCGATCGAGTTGCAAGCCATAGTTGTAGTACTGTAGCGCAAGAGCAACGCCGCTTCCGGGAATCACTCCGGGCACCTCGGGTCGATGATGTGTCGGCACTGCTACTGCTGGAGTAGCCTGTTGCACGCTCGCTAAGAGGATGCCTACATTGTTGGCAGTGGATGGGCTGGGCTGTAGTGACAGCGACAGATAGTAGAGCGCGAGTATGTCTCGTACGCCATGAGTTAAAGGAGTCACTCCTACTGAGCGGCCGGCATTAGACATGCCATCTTGGAAGATCTTGGCGAGAGAAAGCAGCGAATTGCTGGTGGTGGAAATGATCGCCTTTCTTGCGAAACCGCGAGGTACAAATTGCAACCCAGGCAGCTCTGTGGCATTGGGAAAACAGAGCTTTGCCGTGGCGAGAGCCTGGTCCGGAGAGAGGAGGACAGGCTCATGTGCAGGAGGTCTCACGGCACCATACGCACGACGATGCTGCACATTGGTTGAGACCACTGCAAGTATGTGCGTCACCAGACCTTGAATGTCATGAAATTTCCGGCCGGTGGCAATCAGCACAGCATCTTCGAACGCCTTGGCCGCACCTGCGTTATCTCCAAGGCCATAAAGCATGTTTCCCTTGGCGTGAATGAGAGAGAGAATGCGGCCGTTGTCACTCCCTGGTATTGCAAATCCGCTGGAGCCGAAGCCAGGCTCGGCGGTGGATTGTCCATCCAATGTGAACGCATCATCCTCGACGTCAAATTCATAGGACATGGGGTCAGACTGCTCTGAAGGCGCTGGTGACCGGCTGATCGTAGACGAAGATCGTTCGCTCTGGCGATCTGTGGGCCGTGAAATGTCCTCTGATGCTGAGGACTGCCGAAGTCGAAGTGATCGCTCCACATATTCAATGACCTTGATCGCGTCTTTGCCCCTCTGTTCAGTACACAAGAGGCCAACGAGATGCTCCACGGCTTCAAAGTGATTAGGTGCGGCTCTGATTACATGTTGCCAGTTTTGCTCTGCTTCACTTCGTCGTCCCAGTGCCAGGAGTGTCGCAGCTAAATTGGATGAGGCTTCCAAGTGTCTCGGGTCATTCTCCAGAACCCGCCTGAACCACTGCATTGCTCTTTTGTAGTTGCCAAGGGCGTAGGCCAAGCAGCCCCCAAGCTGAATTCCATCTGTCCACTGCCAATCAGCGGCGCGACATGTTGACGCTATGTAATCAAGGGCTAGTACTGCCTGAGCTGGCGGCGAGTTGTCTACCAGCACAGGAGATGACTCTATTGCCATGACCGCAGAGCCTGCCGAATGTCGCAGAGTATGGGATCGATCACGAGCGGCATATATACTGCTGGGCGTAGCGTTCTTGTGCTCGTAAATCGTGCCATCAGAGCTGTCATGTGATGAGCGCAGAGCAGCACCATTCGCTTGCTTCCCAGTGTATTCAGAGTGGTATGTCGCTGGTGAGCGTGCTCGTGGAGTGCTGCTGTCGTCCTCGCTCGCGCTCGGCCGGCGTTGTGCGCGGAGCGGCGGATCTTCATCCACACTAGCATACAGATTCTCATTTCTTATTCTCATTTCTGTTGTTGGGGTCGTTGACCCGGATGCTGAGGGTCTGGGAGGCTTCGGGAAGAAATTCGGCCGCAGAGGGAGCTGCTGCCGTCCAGCTACATGACGGCTATGCTGCTGTCGCTGGTGGTTCACGTTGATGTGACTTAGCAAATCCCGATAACGTTGTAGCGCCCATCCAAAGATTTCCTCGCGCTGCCAATCGTTTGTTAGGATATTAGAGCCTTCGTGGCTGCCTCGAGAAATCGGACCCGGCGCGTGGTATTGCAGTGGTGTCTGCAGCGCTGTGTAGTGCCTGTCATAGTGCGGGGATATCCCAATGTCTGTATAATAGTTGGCAGAAGCTGGAGGTCGAGCACCGGACGTGGGCAAAGGAGGCGGCAGTGCAAAGGGACTGGGGCTGAGAGTCAGAGCCCAATGTGGTTGAGTCGATCGTTGAGGATGATGCTGCCATAATTCGGATCGAGGCGCATGCTGTGAGGAGGGCAATGAGCCAGAGTAATTGATGGGGGTGCTCTGCTGCTGCTGCTGATGGTGATAGAATCGCGGGTCTCGAATGGCAGCTGGCCGATATGGAACAAAAGTGCCATCGTGCCAATATGGCCCGTATGGACCAGAGTCCTGCAGACCGGACGCCGTTGGACCCAAGTGTTGAAAAGACGGCTGTATCACACTTGGCACGGTCTGGCCGTAGTACTGTTGCATACCATGGTGGTGCATCGGCATCTGATGGAGCATCGAGTCCATCATGGGACATGTGGGACTGTTCTGTGGTTGCTGGAACTGGCCGGGCTGTGGCCAGCCATTTTCCAGGTTACTTTTGGCCTGAATCATACCGCCGCAAAATTGTCCCACAGGCGATGCATGCCACGATCTTACTCCAGCATTCTGTTGCTGCTGCTGCTGATGCTGCGCGAAAGTACGCTTCTCAGAATGATGTACCCTGGGCGGGTTGCCCTCCCTGAACGGCAGAAGCTGGTGCTTATAAGGCTGTATAGGCTCATCTCCAGAGCCATCATACCCAGCGTGCAAGGTCCCATTCGGGGTTTTCCTGCGCAAAGTGTTCTCTGCCCTCGGCGCAGTATCGCCATAACTCAATCGATGGTCACCGCTCTGCCAGCGCGGATTATGGTGTATGGGCAGAGCATACTGCTGCGTCAGGTACGGCATCGGGCCGCTTGGTCTTCTGTTGTCTAAGCTCGATGGTTGACCGGAAATATGTGCTGAGGATGGGCTGTTGTTAGATAGACTGGCATCGACACTCATCGTTGCTGGCTTGTGGGCTCAACAGCCTAGAGCCTTGGTCTCACCGATGATGGAATAGTGTGCCTATGCCTATGCGATCGCAGTCCCGAATTTCCTCGTAGGACATTTTCCACACTCTTGACCATATAGCGAGCGCAGCGACCAGGACTCCACCGAACGCCTCAGCCGCTCTCTGCTCGCGTGATTAGGCCCTTCCGGACAGGTTCTCTAGCCCGCGCAAGGCGTGCAATCCCAGATAGTTCGTCGAGATTCTGAGCACACAGCAGTCGACAGCCGCGCAAGCAAGACAGGAGCAGATGAATCCGCGGCCGAGCCACTGCGCGAACCCGTCTATTGAGCAGGCAGCACGAAACACTGCAGTCAGCCGGTCGCCGCTCGCCGCCCAAGCAAGGGGATGGGGCGGGCTCAAGCGGTGTGCGGTAGCGGCAGGTCGTGGCCGGGCGGAGCGCTGCGTGCGCGCGGTGTATCGTTGAGCGGCTGCAAGTGTCCTGTATGTCACCGCAGCTCCTCCTGGCATAGCAGGGCCGTCGAGGGGGCTGCTCTCTGCGATTTGTGCCACTGACCCAGCTCTGATGTGCCTATTGACCAAGATGACCACCTCCGCTGTGCCCACCACCTCGTCCCCCGTCTCTGACAATGTTCGTGCTGTACCTTGAGCGTCAATGGTATGGGGGGTTGTATGGTGCCTGCACGTCTAGTCGCTGCAAAGGAAACAGAAGTGCAGCGGATGCAGCGCGTGCAGAGAGCGAGGCGAGCGAGCGAGCGAGCTTTGTAGATGGGTGTTCGATTACGTGGTGTACCGTAAGGTACGAGGTGTATGCTAACAAGTCAAGTTGTGGTGAGGGTGAAGCACTGCTGCACTGCGCCGGAGATCGATAGTGGCAGACGCCCGCGTGCCGCCTGCAGCGTTCAGACGAGACTCGCTACCACGTTCTGCGGCGCCAGAGCACCGTGACTAGTAGTAGGAGGAGGTAGAATTGCCAGTTGGTCGATATTCGTGCTGATATGACATGAAAAGGCTGGACTGGAGCTGGACTGGACTGGGCTGGGCTGGGCTGGGGGTGGGAAGTACATAGGCTATAGCATACCGACTAGGCCTCCTACAGTACAGTAGACAGGCGGGCCGCTCGCACACATCCCTTTGCACACTACTACTCACACGCCGGTCTTTCCTGGTGACCCCACGGAAAACGCCAGTCTGGTAGCCGACCAGGGTGTGGGTGTGTGCTCTACGCTGTCGATGGGATGTACATATAATTATGCATTTTGCTACCTCCTATGGAACACCTGTCCTCCGCCACGTACAGCTGCCATCCCACCCCCCTCGCCCTCCGTCCCAGCCTAGTCCAGCCCATCCGCGGCGACGAAGTGGTGATGGCGGTGGTGGTGGTGGAGGATGAGGACGAGGATGTGGTGGTGGTGGTGTCGAGGGCTGCGGGTGGAGCCCTCGACGAGGCGCAGCATCAACCAAAACACGAAACATGCACCGCAGATCCTCCTCCACTAGATCGCCCGTGGCGAACACCCAAAAAAGAGTCGACTGCAGTTTGGCTGCATCACGCTTGCTACACAACGCCAGCAAATAGCAAAGACTTGTAGCCCGTCTGGGCGATCACAGGCGCATCACACCTCCATCACAACACCTCCACCTGCAGCCAGGCTCCAGACGACTACCTAGTTACCTAGTTCGAGCGTTCGACTGTGCTCGCGTGCAACGGCGACAACATCTACTGCGGATCCCTGTATCTATCGCCCACGCAGTCGTCAGAAGTGCAGCGTTCGGCAACCCTCTCTCACCAAGGTACTAATCACTTACTCATTCAACGGCAGCGGATGCCAGCATGAGTTGCAGGTTTGCTTATAGCCTATTCGACACGTAGAACCGATCACCTTACTAGTACGTAGGTATGTAGACTCTAGTCCCTTGCCGACGACTCGCCCTGGTCCTATCCCAGCACTCTCTACCTGAGCACGTTCAATAGATGACGCCAGGGCTAAGGGCAGACCCCAAAATGTCTAGTCGCAGACCCCATTTCTGAGTCATCAAGTTATTACCGCACCCTTGGCCTCGGGCCTTACGATATATACTCGCCCTTTGAGTCTCTACCTACCTGACCTGTAGGCTTTACTCCACATTGCACCCCGAAGGATACCCCTCTCGATTCTTAGCCCCCCTTGGGGGGTTGGGGGGGCAATCTAGTCGGTGCCCCCGAGGTATTTGCTTTCTACTACCAGGTACCTACGAAGAAAAAGCGAAAAAGCGGAAGCCTTCGAGCGAGGGAGACGGCGAGGGAGACGGCGACGGAGGCGCGTTGTTTTTCGGGGGGTAGGGTTACAGCGGAAGGGTACGGTAATAACTTGATGACTCAGAAATGGGGTCTGCGACTAGACATTTTGGGGTCTGCCCTTAGCCCTGGCGAATAGATGAGAGAGCTAGCTCCACACTGACATCTTCTAATGGCCACGCCAGACGAGGTTGAGGATGCAAGTCGCCTGGTATATCCTCGAGGATAGCAAGCATGAAAGTTGTCACCGCTAGCTCGTCTGGAACGAACGAGTAACGACCGAGACATTCTCACCAAACCCCCCTCAATTTGCACTGGTTTCAAGTTGCGACGACAACTTTTCTTACGACACACGAGTACTGTAATAAGATTGATTACTCCGTCTTTAATTCTATTCACGCACGTTGTTGGTGACTCCGAGGATAAAGCTGCATTGCACTCCTGTGGGTACATGGAAACAAACGTGGTTGTGGACATGGGTAATTCGCGGTCAGCAGCGTTAGTTAGTGAGCAAGCAGTCTCTTGGGTTCTTCCCTGTTTCCTGGAAAGCTGATGAGAGCCAAAACCTCACAACTGCGAAGCGTACATGGCACTTCTCACGATCGGATGAGCTCGTCGAGAGACAACGTTGACGAGGGCTGTCTAGACTATCTGTCGGAGTGTCTTGGATGATGTTATCCAAAGTCTCCTGCAGTTACAGCCACTGGTATCGTGTCATCGCGCCGTGCTGAACAGGGCTAAGACAACAGAGAGACAAAAGTTGAGGTTGGGATCATTGTGTAGTCCACCTATGTATACGTAGAAGCAAGCAATTGCCGCTTCACCCACGACTTGAGTACCCGTGCTGCTGCCTGGCCATGCATGCTCAACCGATTCTCCCAGCTTTCGGTGAGGGAGGCAGTGCCCAGGAAGTCCACTTCGCACAGCAGTCTTCCACGCAGCGTGGCGGCTATGGACCTTGAACGCCACAATCTGCTGCCAACCACTAGCACGATCACATTCACCATCCACTCAAAGCCAACGCTTCGCTTTGCTTTGCTTTGCTTGTCCTCAAAGGCTCGCCCGCCCGCTCGTCATGCCATGCAACTCTCCGATTCTACCCTCGGCGGCTTGCAATCCCGTCTGCCACTCCACGGCTTTCTTGTCGTACAGCTCATGCAGCTTTGCCTTGTTGGCAAGGATCTCCGCAAGCTCCATGGCGTCTGAGATGGATTGGTTCGCGCCCATACCGCCGAGGATGGGTTCAGCGTGCACTGCGTCACCCAGAAGTACCTATAGGAAGCGACCGGTCAGCACAATGTCACAGATGTTCCTGCACGATATCTTCTCGCGTTTGCTTCCTGACTTACAATACCATCTTCTGCGGCTTGACGAAGCTTCGATGTGTCGATATGAAGCGATCGCATGAGCCAATTCAGTAGTCTGTCCTGTTTCATGGCCTTCACGTCAAATACAGTCTTGAACGGTTCTGCGAGCTGATTGCAAAGGCCGTTGACTTCTTCGAAGAGCTCTTCCGGCGTGTCCTTCGCCTCATTCTTCTCTCTCTGCGGTCTGTAAAGGGCATCCACGCCAGAATTCTTCGCCGCCGCGCGAGAGAAAACATAGTTGATGCTGACTTCCTCCTCCGTGACACTGTTGATGGAAATCTGTAATAGTGTACCGTTGACTTTCTGCTCGACAACATTGGTTCCTTCGAAGGCGGATGCGAAAGTCTGATTCCAGTCATCACGTCCAATGCGTCTCTTGCCGTTGTATGTGGCATAGGGCAAGACCGTGAACTCTGCGTTCGGTAGTATGGCGTGCCTGACTTGCGAATGTGGTCCACAAGCTCCCACGACGAAGATACTGGCATGCCGGCTGTGGTTCTTGAAAGCGATCTCGACTGCACCCGGCAGAGGCTCCACACTCGTCAACTCATGTTCCCAGTTCACCTCGAGACCCTCGGCGAGCAGGCTCTCGAAACTGTTCTTGTTGGCCTTGAAGCATCCAGGTTCCATGTTTCCGCCGATCTGTCCTGTGCCCCCGCTCCCAGCGTCAACAGCGACCTTTTTGCGAAAGGTCGACTCATCCAGCTGCAGCACTTTCAGGAGCGGTCGATAGTACTTTGGATACAGTGTGATGCCATAACTGTTGCGTGTGGTCGACTGTCTTGCCTTTTCGAAGATGGAGGATTTGATGCCTTTGTTCTGGAGGCACTTTCCTAACGTTAGACCAGCTATGCCGGCTCCAATGATGGAGATGCGGTGGCCTTGTGGCATCTTGTCACCGTCCATTCATAATATTTCGTGGACGTTCTGTTGTAAGTCGCACGTCCAGAGGTTGGTTGCGCGTGATAAAAGGCAAAGCAATATACCTGACAGTGTCAAGTGACGAGTATCGGCATGCTTACCTTATCCGGGCTGCAAGCGGCAACCTAACCTAAGCCACCCGCTGCAAGTGAAGCAAGGGATTCTATCACCACGACTCTCTTCACGACGCTGGTATAACACCAGGGTGACGAATATGGAGGTCGGGGGCATTGACAACCTATCTCGATCATAGAACATGAAGACGGAGAAGAAGCATTCAAACAGGTACAGCTTTGTACTTTTATTCATACAGTCGTACAAGCTACTTTTTATATTTCCATGTCCGTTGTGTCGATGGTCGGCTCGAGCGCGGCTGGTCGAATGACGACCTGCTGCTCCCTCCACCCACCTGGTTATACTTAGTGGCCACTGATATGTCCCGTTGTGCCAGCAAGCCACCATGTCTAGCAACAAGCTCGAACACGTGAGTTTGATATGTCACCTCTTCGGATGGACTTCCCTGTCTATCAAATTTAGACAACGCAGTGAGTAGGAGGCAGGACAAATCTTTCGAAACGCCCTCAGATCAATCTTCCTGCACGCCAAAATAGGGCCAGACCAAGGGAGGTGACGTCTGGCCCAGAGTGTTGGTGAGGATTTTCAAGTGCCTGATAGGAAAGAAGCTGAGAAGGAAATGTGAATATGCGGTGATCAGCATGAAAGAATCGAAGCCATGTCCTTTTTGACTGGCTATGTAGTCCCACGCTAGGTGGTGGACCATTTTCCGTTATCTGCATCACGTCGTTGGTGATGGATACCTGCGCCTTGAACGCCGCCATACCATGCTGTTTGTTCATGACCTCCGAAGCATCATGCTGAAAAAAATTCTTTCTGCCTCATCAAAAGACATATGGCATCTCTGCTCTTTCCAAAGCGACACGCTTATTCTTCTGGGATCTCGATCTCGCCGGCGCGAACATCGTCGGATACGGCCTTTGGCGATCGGCCATCGACCTGGCAGCCGGTGGAGAAAGCAGTGCCGAGGATCTCCAGAACGGTACCCTTGAGGTCCTTGGCCATGGACTTGTGTCGCATGGTCCTGGCAATGGTAATGATCTCGTCGAGAGGGATGGACTTGGTGTGCTTGATGTTCTTCTCCTTCTTGCGGTCTCGCGGTGGCTCCTTAAGGGCCTTGATGACGAGCGAAGAGGCAGATGGGACGACCGAGACGGCGGCTTGACGGTTCTTGATGGTCAGGCGAACGGTGACACGGAGACCTTTCTATACGAAGGGCGTTAGTCGTGGAAAAGAATTCGCAGAACTGACAAGTGCATGCATACCCAGTCACCAGTGGCCTTTGCGATATCTTCTCCGACCTTCTTTGGAGACAGACCGAGAGGACCAATCTTTGGGGCAAGCGCGGACGAAGCTCCAACCTCACCACCAGTGGCGCGGAGGTGGATAATCTTCTCCTCGCTGGGGTCGAATTTTGGTGCTGGAAGGAGTTGTGAGCACGCGCATTGTGGTGCAAATTTGCAGATTTAGCCAGCAGAGGCTGTAGCCATTACTGAACGCAGCTGATACATACCCATGGCTGGTGGATATGGTAGTCGAGCGGTGGTTCAGGGTTGAAAGAGAGTGATGTCGAGATGAGGAAGAGCGGAAGAGAAGAGAAGAGCAGCAGTCAAGTTCAAGTTTTCCACATTTGGTGTCTGTGTGCGCCGAAATGGTCGGGCCACGGCGTGTTCCGCATCGAAGCTTATTTCAGACTTGGCAGATGCAACATGCTGACCTCGGCTCCATCCCGCTCTACTGACTGACCGCTACCTCCTACACGTACCTCTGATTGAGTCTACCTTACTCGTGGTATCGATGTCTGCTGTTGTCCTGTCGACAGGCATCCCCGTCCATTCTGTTGCGAGTGTGTTGTCACGCACCTGATCATTGTGCCTATCTGTCTCTCGCGAGTTCTTGTATAGTAGAACTATACCTTAATGCCTATCGTATGTAAGGTAGCAGAAAGAGAAGGATTGACGGTAGCCCAGTAAACACAACCCGTCGATATCTTGAACGGTCCCTCGTCACATGTACATGCATATGTACCTCTGCATATCACAGCATCGGTGGAACAAAGATGGCATCACAGCCTTCTCATCCTCCTTCTCCTGTCGGCGACAGTGATGGCAGCGCTGGGAGAGGGCCAACGACTAGCAGTCCAACCAGCGGTCCTGCGTCGCCTTCAAGTCCCAGACAGCCCAGCTACCAGCAGCACCGACCCAACCAGCCCTCGCAGCTGCGCCTCTCTCACATGCCCTCCACATCGCCTGAAGACCGCCGCGCCCAGTCCGGTCTGGAAGCAGATGGCATACACCCGCACGACCACGAACCTGCAGCCGTCGCCGATACAGATGCCACTCACCAACAAGGACTCATTGAGGGCGTTGAAGAGGGGCCGAATGCTGCAACTGCGTTGCTGGAGCGGGCCAACAAAGATGGCGATTATACGATACGGCCAAGGCAAGGCAGAGGATATGGAAGCTTCGCTAGCACGTATGCCGAGACCGTCAATAGTTTCGATCAGAATCGCCCGAGTCTCGGTGGCCGTTATAACACAGCAGACGACGTCGATACGCGGCCGAATAGCGCGCTGGAAGCTCTGCCGGACTCTGTGACAGAAGGACTGTTGGGGAAGTCCAAAGCACGAGGTACCACGTCCTGGCTTCGAAGACGAGCTGGCATCAAGAACAAGAGGTTAATGTGTGTGTCGTCTTACTTTCCCTTTAAATCGCTCTCAAGTAGACAGCGCTTGATGTTATATCGTGCTGATAGGTCAGTAGGTACATTCATTATTACATTCCTTTTACCAATTGGATACGGCAGTACCGATGGCGCTTTCTGAAGGGAGATCTGGTCGCAGCCATCACCATGGCTTCTTTCTATGTGCCAATGGCGCTGTCCTATGCAAGCAATTTGGGCCACATGCCGCCTATCAATGGCCTGTACGCTTTTGTCTTCAACCCATTCTTGTACGCCATACTCGGGACCTGCCCGCAAATGATTGTGGGACCTGAGGCAGCGGGATCCCTCCTCACGGGGAGCGTGGTGTCAGAGGCTATCAAAGCAGGCCACATCCGGGACGATGATGGCGTCAAGGCCGCACAAGTCGGCGGTATGGTCACTGGCATGGCAGGTGCTTTCATCCTCGTCGCTGGTCTGTTGAGGCTTGGATTCCTAGACAGCGTCTTGTCACGGCCCTTCCTACGGGGCTTCATCAGCAGCATTGGTCTTGTCATCTTCATTAACCAGCTTCTCCCCGAGATGGGCTTGGACGAGGCAGCTGAAAACTCTGCCCGTGCGCACGGCTCACCTTTGGACGCTTTACTCTTCATCAGCGAGCACCGGCACCAAATCCACAAACTCACTGCTGCAATCAGCTTTGGCGCTGTCGCTGTGATCTTGTTCTTACGAGAGCTGAAACGGAGACTTCAACCGCTGCCAAAGCTGAGCTGGGTCGTCTACGTTCCAGATCGGTTCATCATCGTGGTTTTATCCGCAGTTTTTGCATGGCGCTACGACTGGCAAGGGCGAGGAGTTGATATCCTGGGTGATATCAGGCCACCTGCTGGAGTGAAGCTTTTCGAGCCGCACTGGCCTTTTGCAGCAGACAACTTCGAGCACGTGAGCGACGCTTTCGAAACCGCCTTTATCGTCGCACTTCTCGGTTTCTTCGAGAGTTGTGTCGCGGCGAAGAGCTTGGGCAACGGCAATGTCAAGACCGAGATCGTGAAGAGGGAACGCAAGGACGGCACAGTGGAGGAGGTGGAAGAGAGCGACGGCATTCGTGGCATTAACGTCTCCTCTAATCGCGAGCTTGTCGCTCTCGGCGTCGCGAACATTGTCGGCGGCGCATTCATGGCACTTCCTGCGTTTGGAGGCTATGGCAGGAGTAAGATCAACGCCAGTACAGGAGGCCGAACTCCGATGAGCAGTATTCTGCTGTCTCTCATCACTGTCCTCTGTACTGTGTTCTTGCTACCCTACTTCTATTTCATTCCAGTAAGCCCAACAGATCAGATTTCCTCAGACTCACGCTCACATGTTCTACAGAAAGGCGTCCTCTCCGCCATGATTACCGTTGTGTCGATCTCCCTGCTCGAGGAAGCTCCCCACGACATCATCTTCTTCTGGAAAATCGGCGGGTACATCGAACTCTTCCTCATGCTCCTCGTCTTCCTCACCACATTCTTCTGGTCGCTGCGAGGAGGCATCATCGTCGGCATCATCTTTTCCCTCATACGACTCATGAAACACGCCACGCGACCACGGGTTCAGATCCTCGGGCGCGTACCAGGAACACGCGAGTTTGAAAATGCAGAAGTCCTCGCACAAGAAGGACACATTGAAATGGTGCCTCACAGTCTCATTGTGAAGATTCCCGAGCCTTTGACGTTTGCCAACACGGGATCATTGAAAGACCGGTTGAAAAGGCTGGAAGACCATGGCACAGCGTATGCTCACCCTGCTTTGCCTAGCGTAAGGGGCAAAGAGCACAACAAGAATGTCGTGTTTGACATTCACGGCGTGACCGGAATGGACTATGCGGCTGCACAAGTGCTCGTGGAAATCGTCCGAGACTACATCGATCGGGGAACAGCGGTATACTTCTGTCGCATTCCTTCCAAGAAGAGCAAAGTGTGGAAACTGTTTGAGAAGTCGGGGATCGTGGATCTCTGCGGTGGCGAGCACAACTTTTACCGCTCCGTGGACGCAGCATTACGGGCGACGGAGAAGAGAGGAATGGGGACGTTTCAAGACTATCTGCAGGATGAGAGCGCGAGAGGTGGTGGTGGTGGCGGCAGCAGTAGCAGAAACGTGGTTGATGAAGATGGAAGTGCTAGTTCGAGTGTAACGAGACTGATTGATGGAACGAGGACGCCACCGTATTTCGACGGGCCCAGCTTCACGCAGGATGAAGGTGGTCCTAGTTTGAGGAAGGCGCGAGTAGATGGAGAGGCTGATGTGGAGGGAGGTTTCAGTAGGGGGTGACGACGGTAGATTATAGATATATATATGAATACATGAGGTGTATTCTCGAGGATAAATTGAACCTGGAATGTTTAGAACAAAGCCGGTTCTTCCTCAATCTTCCCGGACCACGGTCAACATTTGAAAAGGAGCATGATAAGGTACCTAGAGCATTCAATTCCGCAAGTCAGGTTTCTTTTTCACACACACCTTCTTCCATTCATTACATGTACCTAGGTAATACCTTTTATATATACCAACCAACCAACCAACCAACTCGGACTGCTACCCTAGGACCGAGGTCAACTACACCCGCTGGCTAATCTGATGCCGGATTCCATTACATTTTGTCAACAGTCAATTGATAGTGAGCTCAGGTATCCATCCTCCTTGCTGAGGGGTCAACCATCCGACATCCGTCTGTCACATCACAGACGTTTCAACGAACAGCATCATCTTCCATCCTGTTTCTCCGGAGCCAAAAAGGTCGTCGTCTGTGGATCCATAGTCGACGCATGGATCGACTTGCGAGAGAGCTTTCGGCTTCATGGAATACAACATCAGGTTGACCAACAAGTGTTCCCCGCTCGAGTGGGTCCAGTGAAGCTGATGCTTCCAGACTGCCAGCTGCTCTTTCGCTCTCTTCGTCAGATACTGTCATCTGAAATGCGCCTCCGGAGTATCCTTCTGGTCCGTACTCTACATATCCATCTTCGACAATAGACACAGACTCTTGGTCCTCGGCAGGATCATCAGAACTGCCAGCAGAAGCAGGGCCCTCATGGGCACCGGTATGGTTGCTATTTGTTTGGGCAATCGATCGCCAAGGACCAGTGTCTGGGGTCTCAGCCGAGGATCTTGCGTCGAACCTGCGGAATAATCGTCTTTCAGCCCCATGGAGTGAGCGAGGTCTGATCGTAGCGAGAACCACTCTGCTGCCATCCCTTCCTTGTAGTATCCTACAGGTTACTCGCCCGCGTGCCAATGCTGGAGGCTGCCTATGATGCCGTTCGCAATAAGGATTGCGAAGCCGGAGGGCCCGAGCCATAGCGCAGAGGTCCGAACGAACTGCTCCGCGAAATGACAAGTGAGGTGATGACCACACTCCTGGTTGACCATCGCGGAGGGCAGTGTTCCTGTCGTTCCAATCGTAAATTCGATATCTGGAATGACGAGCCACGTCAGCGTACTCGTGCGAATATTGCGGACTAGGAGACATATGAAGATATGGATATGATGCAGTTGGCGACCACTTTCTATTCTCATGTCGCGCTCCATCAGTGAGCCGCCCATGCAACCTACTCATATTCAGTGGCTGCTCTATTGCGTGGACGCGTATTCTGCGTCATCCTGTTGAAAAGGGCCGTAAATCGCTGGCGTCTCGTGCCAGTCCCATCGCTCGTCGCTTGCAGAACGCTGTCATCTATAGTACAAGAAAGCGTAAGCCATCATAATGCAAAAGAAAGAAGCGGAATGATTCCGCTGCTGTTGTCCAATTCGCTACACATCCGTGCGAGGTCATCGATCAAGTTACTTGCGTTCCCTTCCAGTGTCACTCGGTCCACCACTGCTGGAACTCTCACGCGGCGAGAAGGCTTCTCGCATGCGAGAGAACATGCCGCCGCGCTCCGCTCGCGGGCTGGCGCTGCGCCTCTCTTCACCATTGTCGGGCGTGCCACGCCCACTTCCTCCAGCGCCAGAAGCATTCTGACTCGGGAAGGGGTACTCACCTGGCACGCGGGACCGCTGATACTCGGGACTGTGCATGTCATGCAGAGGTGCTTGACCGGGCTGGCGTGGGCGATTTGTGGACTGTTCGCCTTCCTTCGGCGTGATTCCTTGTCGGCAGTGAGGGCAGGTATCGTGCTCCTTCAGCCAAGCCTTGATGCAGTCGAAATGAAACCAATGATGGCAAGGCAATTCGGTGACCTCAGAGCCGAGCTCAGCCTCGTCCATGCAAATACTGCAGTCCGCCTTGCCACTATCGCCGAAGTCCTTCTCCGTGATGGCTCTCTTGGGCAGTGCCTCTATCGCCTCTTCGGAAGCTGGTGGGGGCGCATTGCCAGCTTGATGCTGCTGCATCAACTGCGTCATGATGCGATCAAAGCCCTCTTGCGTGTAAACATGGTCGCCCATCACGCCCCCAGCGGGCAAGCCCAGGCCGAGCATCTGGAAAATGTTGCCAAAGCCCAATGGTGCTCCCGGGATGCCGTCTCCGCCTTCTGCCGGCTGAGCAGCAGGACCTGGAGGCATGCCAAAGACGAAGGTGCCACCATGATGATGACCGGGCCCATGAGCTGCTGGCATTGCGCCAATGTTCATGAACATCTGAGCCATCATTCGATCAATATGTTCCGGTTGGTTTGTGAAGAGTTGTGGTTGATTCGCATCTCGTGGGCCGAAGTTGGAGCGGGTCGACGTAGTGATTGTGTAGGAGAATCCAGGTCCCGCACCGTGACGAGTGGTGGTGCCGCCCCCGTCTGACTGAGCTTGCTGAGAGGACTGCGGCATCGTTTCTGGCCGATCCTCTTGTCCTGGCGTCCTCTGCTGGCCTGCTTGCGGTTGTTGCCCACCAAGAATGCCTTGCAAGGCTGGTCCCAAAGCCTGCCCTATCAATCCCATGATGCCAGAACCTCCTTGGCCTGCAGTCTGGCCAGGCTGCAATATAATATTTCGATGCATAGAGCCGTGAAAGTGTCCTCCAGGAGGCTGCCCAGGCCCATGACCCCGCCACTGAAAGTTGTCGATATCATCTTCGCTGGGATCTGGCGCGAAGGCGCCAAAATCGGTCGCATCGGGTACCTCTTCGCGAGGATCGTTGTTTGCTTCAACGACTTCCACGAAATCGCCTTGACACTCGGGACACACTAAGCCATGCTCATCACGGTACCACTCATTCTCGCACTGATGGCAAAACACGACCTCGCGCTCATGCGACGGCTGCTGCTGGTTGGCAGACATAGTTTTGGTGGAGGGTAGAGGAGAAAGGATGAGGTGGCGTGAAAGGAGCAGGGCTCCGTACGTTGAAGGTGATGTATCAATGCTCGGGGCTCTCAGGTGGGGGCACTAGTATGCTCGTAGTGTTGATGCTCGCTTAGCCCGGAAGTGGGCAGTGCGAGATGATGTTGCACTTTTACGCGGGGGCCGAGATAGCGGCGACTCGGATGATTCGTGTGTCGTATGTCGAGTGAGTAGGTAGGCAGGTCGGTCGGTCGGCAGGCGAGGTGAGAGAGCGGTAGTCGGATGGGAGGTAGGAGGGAGGAGGGAGGAGGAGGAGGAGGAGCAGGTAGAGGAGTGATGGCGATGTTGCGGACAAGCGGCAAGTAGGTGGGCGAGCAGGCAGGCAGCAGACAAGCAGGTCCGGTGGTGGTGTCGTCGTCGTGGAGTGTCTCGTGTGATGAAGCACAGCCAGCTCAGCCAGCATCAGCAAGCATCAGCAATACCTCCCACACGCGCACAACACAGCACACGCCGCACGTCCGATGTAGACAAAGATGGATGACGGTGACGTAATGCGGTTCTGTGCCGTTCTGTGTTGTTCGAGGAGAGTCACGTGGCTTCTCCTTCTTCCTCTTCTGCTTCGTCTTCGTCTTCGTCTACTACAGGTACTCCCACTCCTGCAACAAGAAAACAACAACAATGTGAGCTGCGCAGTCGTGGGACGCGATTCGGCGCCGTCTGACTCTTCTCTTCGACGACAAACTCCACAAGATGCCGAGGACTGGTGCTGCTGGGGATGACGAGGACAACGAGAGAAGATTCGAGAAAGCGCGGACGCTCAGCCTGCCGCTCCTAGACTCTTCCGCGGCAGACGCGTGAATGCCACAGCCACATACATGTATGCAGCTGCCCTGCCGTAGCGGATCTGAGGTGGCATGAGGAGACGAACAAGAACAGGTGGAACCGAGGTGACGACGTGTAGTTAGGAGGCAGGTAGGTATAGGTATTGTATGAGAGTGGTGAGTCCGGCTTCGGAACAACTACATGCACTGCAGTATACCTAAGGTACCCAATCCACCTACAACGTGTAGAAGTCTGTTCTACCTTACCACTTTATTGCTCCTTCAAGTACTCAACGGCCAATGTTGCCGAACTCGCGCACATGCCTACATAAGGTACATGTAGCCTCCAGACGATAGTGTAATCGCTTGGCGGCCACTGATAGTTGCTTGGCTCGACGTAGAAGGCGCTTCACCACATCGATGACCTGCCTCCACCAACTCCTCCTCGCCCGGCACAGACACACGTACTGTGGAAAGCTGGAGGTAGCATTCGCACCATCGATCACTTACATACATGCCCATACACTCGAACCGCGAGTAGAGCAGACCTGACCAATGCTATAACGACTGGGAGCTTCATACTGATACTCCTTCCTCGAGTCCCCGACTTGGTAGATACCTCACCTTCGGAGGTAGGAGGTATCTACTATTGTTTTGTCGATAGGCGAGAAGATCTACATATAGATCTATAGATCTATAGCACTCTGGGCAGCCAAGACCTTTCCCAAGACCACCGAGAGCAAGTGGCGCGTCGATCTGCGCTGCTTCGAGGAAACGCGCGCCAGTAGCCAGCCAATTCCGTCTTGTACAAGGCACTATGAGGTACTGTCCACCTGGAGATTTGAGTATTGCGCGCGCTCACATCGACGACATCGACGTCAAAGAAGCAGTAGTTGTCCTCTCTGCCGCATCAATCGTAGGTATATATATTGTATGCCCCCGATAGCTCCCTCTCAGGCCTCGTACACCTCAATTCCTTCACTCACAGCTTTCACAATGTTGTTCTCCATCTTCGCTCTCGCTGCTGTCAGCGCTGCTGCCGCCGTACCTGATGCAGCCCATCTGGACGCACGCCAAACCTGCCGCATCGCCACTCAAGCCGAACTCCAAGCAGCACGAGATGCCTTTCTCCGCGAGGAGATTATTCCTCCTACGCCAGCTCAGTTCGATCGCAGCACTCCCAACTTGATTCCAGATTTTCGACCCAAGAGTGCGTTGAGCGTGTCATATGGCAACAAGGCCGTGGAACTGGGTAATATCTTCTCTACTCTTGGTAAGTCCTCTTTCTTTTTACTTTTCTTTGTTCCCCAAACACACGTAGACGTGAACGCTGATCTGAAAAAAAAAAAAAACAACAGAGACCATCAATGCACCTTCGTTCAGCTTCACAGCCGAGCCCGACTTTGGTAAATACTTTCTCCCATTTTTTCACGCAGTATTTTTGATAGCCACGACATCTCTCTCCTCTAACATCCACCGTCTAGACCCCACAACCACCAAATACACCCTTATCATGGCCGACCCAGACGCTCCCAATTCCCAAACCCCCATCCTCGCTCCCTTTCTCCACTGGATCGTCAGCGACGTCCAACCCGACTGTGTACCCGGCCAGGTAAGAAATCCCTCTTCCCTCCCTTCCCTACTCCTTCAAACGAAAAAAAAGAGAACCCACCTCAGAACTAACCCCCCCTTCTTTTTCTTCTCCCTCCAGAAACGTCTCACAGTCGCCCCATACATGTTCCCCACCCCTCTCTCCCTCGCGCCTCATCTCTACACATTTCTCATCTATCGCCAACCGCGCAACTACGTTCCACCTGCCATGCTGCAGAATCTACCTGGTTTGCGAGCGAGATTTCCTTTGCAGGATTATGTCAAGCAGAACAATTTGACGGGCCCGATTGCGGGGAATTTTTATCAGGAAGGGTTGGAGAATTTGTTGGGATAGATGGCTAGTTAAGGTATAAACAAACGCCTTCCGTTTCCCACTACAAATTTTGTCTTTTCTCATATCATGCATGCATGCATGAGGGGTCATTAGAGAGCTAGTATTAGTGTTCCGGTCATTCTGGTGGTTGTGGTGCTGCTGCAAGAAATCCGAGGGCTGGCTACAGTAACTAAGCTCATCGAGGTGCTGCTCTGCTTTCCTACTCTGGATAGCTCGGAATTTGTACATATCACCTAAATAGAAGAAGGAGCGTTGTTCGTCTTGTTGATAGCTTCCCAATCTGGTCCGGCAGCGGCGCCGCTCGTTGCTCCTACACCACCAGTAGTAGTACCTCTGCTCGCATCTACAGGTAGACCAGCATGTGGTTGAGATGCGACGTTCGCGGTGTCCTGTTGGTATGTCGATGGAGTGACAGCAGAGTCGGTTGCGGTCCCGGCTGATGTAGGTGTGCCAGCGGCAGTGACAAGAGGATGATCGAGAGGTCCATTTGCTGTGTTCTCCTTGATGTGCATGGGACCGGCGGGATCTGATGATGATGACGATGATGTAGTCTCGTCCTTGTCGTCCTTGTGCCTGTGCAAGATGCGATTAATCAGTGAAGGCTTCTTCTCCTTCTCTTCCTTCTCATGAAGCTTCTCCTGTTTCTTCTCTGCCTTCTCTGCGGCATGGCGACGCTCCTTGTCATCTTTCTCGTGCTGTTTCTGGGCATGGTGGTGCTGCTTCTCAAGCTCTTTCTCGTGGTGCTTCTCTTCCTTGATGTGCTGCTTCTCGAGCTTCTTGTCCTCGGGAGATGGCTTGTGAAGTTTGTTGTGCTTGTTTGGATCTTCAGTGCCGTAAGCGGCATGAGTGGTGTTGAGAGGATCGTTGTGATCGTGGGCTGCGGCAATGGAGCCTGCACCCACTGCGCCGGCACCACCAGCTACAGCAGCGTCGCGACCATGGTGGGTATCATCGCGAGTAGTGTCCGTCTTCAGATCACGGGAGGTAGCTGGCACTCCTGTCAGAGCGATGTCGGATCGAGGTGTAGTCTGCCCGACGGTGGCGGGTGCTGGTCGTTGCGTTGTGCTGGGGTCAAAATTCGAGCTCGATGGAGCAGCAGCCGAAGTGGCTTGCTGCGTGCTGCCAGTCAAACCGGTGCTCTCTGTTGTTGGGATGGTCTGGTCCCTAGTAGCAGCGTACGCTCCGCCTGCACCCAGAGCACCTGCACCACCAGCCACTGCAGCATCGCGGCCATAGTTGTGGCCAGCAGTGTTTGACGTCCCCACGCCTGAGGTTAGCGGGGCGCTGGTCTCGCGCTCGTGTTGCGCGAAAGCTGGATCTTGAGCGCTCGTCGTTGAGCTTGTGGTCGGCCCTATACCAGATTGTCCAATTGTGGAAGAAGGTTGAGTAGCAGCCGAAGTGACTTGCTGCGAGCCACCAGTCAGACCAGCAGTCTGTGTCGTTGGGTCGGTATAGTCTCTGGTAGCAGCGTATGCTCCGCCAGCACCTAGTGCACCTGCACCACCTGCGATTGCGGCATCGCGGCCATAGTTGTGGCTAGCAGTGTTAGATGTACCCGCACCTGTGCCCAGCGGGGCGCTGGTCTCGCGCCCACGTTGAGCGAAAGATGGGTCTTGAGGGCTCGTTGTTGAGCTCGTGTTCGGCCCGACGCCAGATTGTCCAGCTGCGGAAAGAGGTTGGTTTCTGCCCGATTCATAGGCACCAGCACCTAGAGCGCCAGCGCCCAGTGCACCTCCAGCCAGAGCCGCATCGCGACCACTGTGGTCGGACGAGATGGCGCCCTGTGCAGGGGCCACCGAGGGTTGAGCTGATGAAGTACCCGCAGTGCTGGAAGAGACGGCATGCGGATCTTCGCCAGTAGCAGTAGGGAACTCGCCAGGTACATGTGGTCCGTGAGAAACAGTATCGCCTGGACTTCCTATATAAAATGAGCGGTCCAGGAAAGTCGCACCTTGAACATCAGCCGGCGCTTGGTTAAGCTGTGTTGTGCCCTCGTTGTTGTGCACACCACCAGAAGGAACACCGGTGCTATGCTGGGAAGATCCCAGAACACCAGTGTGAGAGTCGCCCGAGTGCGGTTTAGGCACAGACTGCCCAGCAGATTCTCTCAAACTGGGTTCTGGTGCACCCACGGGGTTGATGTGGCCCGGGATAGCACTAGTGGTAAGAGGGTGGGATCGCTCAGCGAGTGGCTCAGGCCCGGTCGTCTCGGGAACTCTGCTCTCGTTATTGTAGTGAGAGGCACCGTACGCAGCGCCTGCGCCAACTCCTGCGGCACCAAGACCACCTGCAATGCCAGCGTCGCGTCCGAGATGAGACTCTTTGCCAATCGCAGCGTGGTCTACTCCGGCTGTCCTTGTCGCGCTGGAACCAGCCAAGCCTGATGTGGTGTTGTCAGTTGTGCTTGAAGTTATGGGCTGACTACTTCCACCAGCCAGGCTATTGTCACCGAGGGGCCTGCTTTGAGAAGAAGAGGCGGACCCGGCAGCTCCTGCGAGGATAGACGTGCCCTTGTCTGGATTGTTGTCATGAGCTCTGTTCATGACACTGCCACTTCCAGCATCGCGACCCGCACCATGTGAGCCTGACTGATCTTGAGCGGCTTCTGTTTCAGTCCGGCGATCGGCCAGACCATCAGTCTGCCCAGCACTGGTGGTGTCGTTCGCGCGCTGACCATACTGATTCGCTGCAGCACCTCCAGCCCCGAGGGCTGTGGCACCTCCCCCTACAAGTGCAGCATCTCTGCCGAAGTTGGAGTCGGAGGTCGCATTTTCACGGATTGGTAGGCTCGACTGGTTATTCGATGCCGTGGCCGAGCTGCCCAGCCCAGAATTATCAGATGCGGTCGCAGTGGTGCCGTATGCTGTTTCATCGTACTTTTTGCCGCCTGGGTTCACGATTTGCCTCAATATGCTGTGATCCTTTGCATCAGGGTGTGTTTCAAGCTTCGTATTTGGGTCGACGGCGGACGAAGACGCAAGCGTTGTATTTTCCTGGCTCGGTAGACTCGACTGGTTATTCGAGGCCGTGCTCGAGCTTCCCAGCCCAGAATTATCAGTTACGGTCGCGGTGTTGCCGTATGCTGTATCGTTGTAGTTTTTGCCACCTGGGTTCACGATTTGCCTCAATATGGTGTGATCTTTTGCATCAGGGTGTGTTTCAAGCTTCGAGTTGGGGTCGACGGCGGAAGAAGAGGAAAGTGCTGTAGAGTTGTTGGGAGCACCTTCACCGCTGACTGCAGGAGTACCATATGCAGTCTCGGCATGTCTGGGAGATGGTTAAGACTCCACTACATCAGGTAAGGTAGGTATCATTGTCGTGATGGCTTACCTGTCCCCGGCTGGGTTCGCAGTCTGTTGCACAGTGCCTCCACTCTCTTTCTGATGTCCCCCTTGTCCTCCAATGGGGTAGGTAGTTGAGCTATCCTTGCTGCCCGAATTTGATGCTGCCGCATTCTTTAGTCTATGTTCCTCGCTGCCGTACAGAACCTCGTCATCCTTGTTCGAGCCAGGAGATCTAGCAATTCTTCGTTAGTTTGATGCTCGTGGAGTGCAGGACGATCGACGTACAGAATCTTTTTGATCTTGTCCATGCTTGCGAATATTAGTGCTCCAGTGATTTCTTTCAGAATGTGAGTAGTCCACGACCAAAGAGACCAGCTCAATGCATTGTTTATATTCTTTGGTCAAAACCAACAACCACCCAATTTACCTGTTTACACGAGCGGGGCACTTTCACGCGATAGCTCATGCGGCTCATATGCCGACGTCATTAGCAGCTCGTTATCCTTCTAGCTACCAGCCACGGCGAACAAACTTGGCGATAGATGGACGGCGGTGTGCAACGTGTAGGTGGCTGAGGTCATGAGTGGTCTCTTTCCAAGTTCTTCATGGCGTGGATCTCCTACAAAGTAAGCTAGAAGCACGAAGGTATCAAAGCCAATCTGGATCGCCCAAGTTGAGATGGACAATTCTGGGATGGGAGCAGCAAGACTCTTATCCAGCCTTCAAGAATCGGGCTTCACCAACCACTTTGCTTGTTCGACTGTCCGCAAACAGGTCATGAAAGAATTTATTCTGGCAACTCGCGACTGTTGTCGGTCAGAATCTGGATCTTGGTCCAGCCTCTCCCTCTCCCTCTCTTATGCTGAATGACGAAGGCTCGTAGGCGGGTAGCCGTTCATCGCCGTCTCGAGCCACGTTTTAGTTATTATAGGAGGTACCTAAAAAAGACCTTAAGACATTGAATCTGGCTTTGCCTGATCTCACGTGCTTCATGAAAGATCCAAGATGGCATAGGTCATTCGAGGGAGGAAAGTAGGCGTGTCGAGAGACGAAGACATGAAGTGCTCGAACAGTGCCAACTGCCCAGGATTCTGAGTCGGTGGTTAGAAGTGCAGTATTGCCGACTGTTACCTTATCGACCCGGTGGCGCGGCGAAGGAAAAAGCGCCAAGGTGTTCTCGTCTAGACCCCTCGGTCTTGGTCCCTTGGATAGCTCCTACCTCCTAGGAGGTCGAACAATGATATTATCCAAGACCTTGTAACCTCTGCAGGTGTGCTCCCAGGATGGTCCATATTGTTGAGTGGTCTGAACCAGCCAGAGCGCATCGGATGGTGTGATGGAAGTGATGGCCATCGAGAAGAGAAGAGAACGATTCGGCGAGCCTTTGCCGCGCCCGCTCCGACCTGCGCGCTTACGCTCAACCTATGCCCGAAAGCGCAACGTCCGCCGACGGAGGAGGGCGAGAGAGGGAGAGAATACTTCCGTACAGTCCAAAAGGTAGTTTTTGCCTTGTTCTAGAGGCTCGACACGCGCTTCGGGGTTCGGACTGAGAAGGAGGGCGGCTACCGTTGCCCCCTCTGGTGGCTGATGCTAGGTGGTAGGAGATAGGTGCTACTCTCTTCTCTGCAGATGGAGACCTCCCTCTATCCTCTGTCTCCTACCTCCGGTACCTACTAGTTCTACCACTTTTCTTCCATCCCTAGTTCTACTATTACACACCACACCACACTACGACTACTGCCCGGCCCTACACCCTCCGCCCCGGTTGCGCCAGATTCACTTCATGCTCCTGCTCCTGCTTCACCCGTACAGGAGATTTTCCCGTTCCCATCATTGTTCCCCACCACCTCTGCCCTCCGTCTTTGACGAACTAGAACTGAATGCTCTATCCCGTACCTTGACGTAAATCGTCGCCTCTTGGATGATCTCACGGGCCTTGAACTGCATGGCACAAGGCGACTCTGCGCTGCAGCATCCCGCGCTTCCTTGACTCACTTCCTAGTCGTATCCGATCATAGTCCTATCCTTCCTTACACAGACATGGCGATCCGAGAGCGAGCCCGCGCATTGTTCAAGTCGAGATCCAAAACCGACCGTGATTCGCAAACCTCCGGCTCCTCCAAGGCCTCGACAGAACGTTGGCCGAGCAACGTCTACAAGCCCGGCGAGCCTATGCCGAGACCGAAGTACCGAGCAGCGCCCAAGAAAGAGCACACGGAAAAGCTGGAAGCGTTCAGCTTCGCAGAGGCATGGAGGAGGAAAAGTTTCCAGTCACAGTACAGTCCCATGGGCACGCGGGCCCCCAGTCGACGCAATAGCGCCAAGACGCCAGGAAGCCGTCGCAGCAGTTGGATCAGCCTGGGCAGAAAGAGCTTCAGCGGACCCGGCGCGGATGGCAGGAGCAACAGCATCACGAGCGGCGAAACAGAACCGAGCAGTGGCATGCGGCCGCGAGACGGTGCAATGCATATGGGCGCCGCAGTTCCCACCACTTTGCGAACAGAGCCAGAGGCAGAAGGAGATGATGATGTTCACAATGGTTCGTACCTATGACTTGATGAGGACAGACAAGGGGGAATACCATTCGTTCTAATAATGCCATCTACTGACTGACTTGTAAACAGTCGGGCTCTCCAGAGTGCAGTCCTACACAAACGCCCTGACTCCCACTCTCGGTACAGCGCACGATCATCAATTTTTCACAGAACACGACTTGGCGCTAGCGTTACGACGCTCTCACTTGGACGGGTCGCATTTGGCCGTTCCTGCCTAAAAGCTGAGAGAGATGGGAAAGCACGACCAGGGAGTTTAACATCGTCGTCATTTTGCAGCATATTCTTTCTGTACAAAACCAAAACAACGGCGCCCATGGCTCGGTCAGGTCAGAGAACCTTGAGGTTCTAGGAGTTATTATTGCATATTGCATTGCGTTGCATTTTTGAGAAAGAGGAAGCGGATTTTTCAGCAGCGCTTTTTCTTCTGATGATCTTGATGATGATGATGATGAAACTCGAGAAAGGAAAGGAGCATTTGAGCAGAGAGAGAGAGAGAGAGAGAGAGAGAGAGAGAGTGTGTGTGTGTGTGTGTGTGTGTGTGTGTGTGTGTGTGAGAGAGAGAGAGAGAGAGGGAGGGATCAATATTGCATCGGCATGGAACCAGAAAACGCGCTGGTATGGGAACAAAGCAGTCTTCCCCAGCCCCCGGATTTGCTCGACGATATAGAGATCTGTGCAGATAAGAAGAAGGATATATATCTTTTACATTATCTTTTGAAATCATTCTGACTCAGATTATACGTACCTACCGTAGGTATTCGACGATCATACACTGTATTGCGCTCTCTGCCTCCTGAGTCTTTCACCAGGCCGCGTAAATACTGAAATGATATTAGGTGGGTATAGTACCTGAATGACTGTCTTTTCATAAGGAAAAAAGACCCCAAAATTGTATGCAACAATACGAATTAAGATTTCTACACACTACCATTACATACTTCAAATCGATCTCGCTTCAAACTGGCGAGCAGCGTAATATCTATACGCCTTTGCAGTTTTGATGCGGAATAATTTCCCTTTCCAGATAAACAGCGCCGCAAAAGACAAGATACACACGCCAATCGCGCCAATCGTGTTGAAGACATTCGCCATTCCGACGCCAGCGATCCACGCGGGCATGGCAAAGACGAAGATGGTGCTGAACAGGTTTCGCACAAACGTGAGCGCCGTGAGCGCGTCGCCGATGATGTCGTTGTATGCGTCGAGCATATATGTCAGCGCGAGAGATTGCAAAGGAGCGGAGCCGAAATTGCACAGTCCAAAGGCGACTGCGACTTGCGACCAGGAGGATCCGTCGTTTAATGCGTAGCCGAACCACCATGCTCCTGCGATTTGGAAGGGGACGAAGGGAATGAAGACCCAGAATCGCATTTCGGGTTCGTAGATGCCGCTGTTGCGCTTGGCCAGTCGGACTACCACCCAGTCCGACAATGGACCGGAGATCAGTGAGCCCAGGGTGGATCCGACGAAAGGAGCGAGACTCATCAACCCAATCTGAGAGGAGTTGAAGTTGTAGGGCGGATCCAGCATATATGTGCTCAATACGGTAGTCATGACAGTGGAATATGCCAGCAGAATAGCATAGACCAGTGAACAGAAAAGCACTCCTGGTATGGACCACAGAATCAGGAACGGCTGCCATGAGTGCCTGAGGAAGTTGGTCCACTTGCCCGGCGATGTCGTAGTGAGTTCCAATTTCTGCCAGTATGTCTTGCGAGGGATTCTCGGGTCGATATGGATTACGCTCGGGTTGCGCATCGTGTCCGACACCGAGTCATCACCTTGCGCGGTTGTTGTAATTGACTTTTTCTGGTACTCACTCTCCCCCACCTTCTGATGATGCTCTGAGGCTGCTTGCTCTGAATTGACGCTGCCTCGCCGGCCATGCAGCGTTGCGTTTTGCAGAGTGAATTTTGTCTCCTCGAACCCAAAGATAAACATTGGTAGCTGAATACCAAAGAAGATCACAAACCACCACCAAACCCAACGCCATCCCATGTTGGTTGTAACATATCCAGCAGCGACGACTGCCAGATTACTCCCAACGTTCGCCACCCAGATGTAGATAGAATTCATCGTCCCTCGCTGGTGTACAAAGTAGACATCTGCTATAGTCATCTGGATCAGAACCTCCGCTAGTGCACCGAGCCAACACTGCAATGCGTTGACCCCCCACCAATCTCCAGCGGTTTGCGTGCGGGCAGCCCAGATTGAAATGGCGAATTGACCTGCACTACTGATGATATACACCGACCGCGATCCGTACTTGAGGGCAAAGGGGATCAACATCGGGGCACCAAGCGCGAGGGTGGCGCATCCAATGGCATATGTGTTGGTCAACGTGGCACTACTAAAGTGCAGTTCGTCGCCCATCGGACCCCATGTCGGCGATGTCGCGTTGATAAATGCGAAGACCATCATGGCGTAGAAGGAGGCCAGGAAGAAATTCAGTACTTTTTGTCCCTTTGGCCAGTTCTGTGCATGGCATTAGTCTGGGATACTATGCCACTGTCTTGAGCCATCTCACCAAAGGGTCATTTGGGTCAGAAGTAGGACGTGGCTGGAGAATGATTTCTCCATCTTTCTTGTCTGATCCAAGCAGCTGGGCGAGCTGCATCGTTCCCGGCGGCCATTCCGCGTCATGAAAGTCGTCGTAGCCTGCCATGTTAGGTCACTATCCAGATGGTGAGTATCGCGAGTTCGAAAATTCAGAAAACCAGGCGATGCATGGTAAAAGAACATTTTTTTTATTGTTGGTTCTGCCATGATCATTTCCGCCCATCGACGGTGCAGCGGTGCTATTCGCTGCGACCTCAGCAGCAGATAACGGCATCCGAACAAATGGCGGGGTTTCGCAAATCTGCAGACAGATGTGCCGCGCGCGCGCGACGGCAGCACGTGGAGAGATAGGGCCAGAAGTTCAGATTATGTTTCATTTTCTTGTACTCCTGCCGTTGCCTACCACAGGAGATGCCACACCACTCCGGCTCACAGCTTCAAAGCGTGATGTCGTCCGACTGCAACCTCACCTCATGCCGTCCAACCCGATCGACGACTTGGGAGGCGATAGGCAGGCCGGCCCAGTGGCCGGCCAGTGGCCAGTGGCAGTGGGTCTGGCCATCTTCACATCCCAGTCTCTCTGGTGGGGGAGTGAAAATGCATCTTGGATGCTTGGTGAGGCGCATGTCTCTACCAGAAGCGGCATCAAAAATTGGCTGGAACAGTGCTCTGCAATGAAGCGACACTGGGAATGACGGAGAGTTGCAATGTTGAAGTGAGAAGAGACGAGAAGTCGTCGTAAGAAGAAGACGAAGTTCGCTCGTGCAAGACACTGCCAAGACAATCCAGCACGGACATGGAATATCGAGTGTCTTGGCGTTCACTTGTACCTCCTACGGACTCCACGCAGCATACGCCATTCTTACTGACCTCTCTGTCCCTTACAGTGGGGGGCATCATGAAAACAACGTAAAAATGTCACATCAATTCTTATTCAGCTTGGAGGACTGGTGCCTCCGCTGTCCCCCTGCCATGAACATCTAACACAATGCTCCTGATTGCATTCCATCCCTTTTGCTCCACATGTCGTTCAAGCTGGACGGGTCGCACTATAGCATCAAACTCCAGTTTGCCAGCCAGTAAAGGACAAACAACAAACTCAGCAGTCATCTCCACGCCGACATCGAAAGGAGGCAAGATACGCTTGAGATTACCAGCCACTGCAAATCGCCTACTGTCCTGATCCTGCGACAGGAGCTCCACGCATAAATGGCCCGTTCTTCTCGACCGGGATTTGATCCGCACTGCAATGGTGATGTAGGCACCAACATGGAATGTTTCTTCTGATGAGACTGTGGGGGGCAGATCGGTTGGTTGATGCCTCGGGTGGCTTGCGCTAAGGTCAACACTGACAGGCCAGCCGCGCGCAAGATCCAAGGCACGAGAAGAGAGAGGCAGGTCGAGCAGATCCACGTACCCGCTGTGTTCTTCTACATGCCAGGAAACATGCAACTGGTCCAAGAATCTCCTCCGGGCAGTCTCGGCGTCTTCTTCAAAGTCAAATGTACTCCAGTCATGCCGCCATGACAGATAAACCCGGCGAATCTCGCCTGGTGCTAAATGTCCATCTCGGATGTCTTGTGCTACGTCTGCAGCATCACGGTTCCACTCAAGGCGTCGTGCAGCTTTCTCAAAACACTCGTAATGAACTGATTGAGGCCATGCGTTGCGCAAATCGAAAGAGACGAGTAAGTTGTCCCCGTTCTTGATATCATCGAGTTGCGAGACTTCCAAATTGTGCACCTGTAGTGCTGCATTCACAGTCATGACGACAGGTACTGATACCACACGTGCGTGTTTCACGTCGGATCCGCTACTTGCCTGGTAGTAGAAATTGGCCTGCGTGCTAGACAGACCGGCTTTGCCCTCCACCCTGAACTTGAAAGTGGTGCATTCTCCGGGTGCTATCGTTGTCGTTGGTAAGAACGACTTGGATCGCTTGTGTTTCACACCGCGCAGTTTCAATTTGTGTTCGTCATCGCGGCGGAGGACGTCGGCAGTATCAGTAGCTTCGAACACTGTAGCTGCTATACTTCCAGTGTTGCGGAGTATGAGTTCCAGCGATCGACTCTCGCCTTGGAGTAACATTAATCCGGATTCCAGAGCTGCCGTGTTCTCAAGCACTAACGAGGGCAACTCTTCTATGACTGTCGCAGATACGTGATCTACTTTGATGCCAAGGGCGTTCAGCGCAGACTCCTGACCGTCAGACTGACTGGTGGTATTGTGCGAGCCATCACGAATATCTTTGAGTGTGAGTGGAGCTCGTGTCGCCCAAGGAGCCGAGACAATGGAGAAGTCTTGTGGATAGCATCCTCGCATCTGAATCCGACAGCCGGTGATCTTCATGGTTCCGACGGTCTTGGGCGTCACCGTCAGGGCAACCTGTTGAAACCTCAGTGGACCCAGAGTGGTAGGCGGAAGGGAGGATTCCAGCTCGCCACCCTCAGCCACGAGCTGCATGGACTCGATATCAACAGGAATGTCGAACGGGTTCTGTAATGTTACTCGGCACACGGAGGCTTCATTGGCCACAAGCAAGAATGTTTCTAGTGCTGCAGTACCCGGTCTGCTTGCACTCGGATCGTACAGAAGCGGATTCCCCGGAGCAATTGGCTGATCGGAAGACTTCTGAGCCACATTGAGCTTGGTTCTGTCAATGACCGCTCTTTGGCCGCTCGGCTGCAGAATCTGCACGAGGCGCACAAGAAATGGATCCCAGTATTCGGCAAAAATATCGGTGAATCCTAGGTGCCTCGACATTGCCACAGTACGATTAATGACTGTGGCGTAGTGCATTTGCTCCTCGCGCGAAAATGCATTCTCAATGCTGCTCGTCCCGGCATCGATCGCGGAGTTTGGTCCTGCAGCACGAAGCAGAGATGCCGTTAAAGAGATAACACCGAGCGGGTCGGGGGAAGCCTCACAAAAATGAGCCAGCTCTTTCAACAGATCCCGTTTGAGAAGCCCATTCCCATGCGCTTTTGTGTCGACGTATGTAGGGACATTGGTAGGGGATGCCATGGTAATTTCTGCACCATATGTGAGTGCAAGCTCGTGAAATAGATCATGGAGACCACTACTCTCCTCGCCGGAATCTAAGGAAGAGTCTGGACCAGACTCGACAGAGAGGGCGGCAGCAGGATGTATACCCATTTCGGCGGCACCCAGCTTTCGTGCTTGAAGCAGCGCTTGAGTAAGCCGGGTGATAAGATCTTTCAGAGTGATGGCTTTCTTGCGTACAAGACCCAATGCGCCATACGATGCTGCTATGCCGGCGAGGAGTTGTATGTGGTCTGCGACTGCCATGCCATCATCATTAGCAGGCAGCGCCTGTGCCAGAAGTTCCGCGATGACAATTCTTGAGTATGGCCGTGGACGGCCCAAGGGCATCGGGGCGCTTTGCGCACTGTGCTGCACTTTGTTGGAATCATTTCGTCCCGTAATCATGCGGCCTATACTCGCGGGTTCAAGCTCGCCTCCCGCCGCACCCAATACTGCCAACAGCTTCGCGACGCGAACAGTCGCTTCTGCCGGCACTATTGCTGGAAGCTCTAGGGCCCCTTCGTGAGATCGGTACAGGCTCAATATCAGCTTGGAAAGATCAGGAATGGCTACGGAAAGGCGCACAATTTGCCGCTGCATGCCTTCCGCAGCGAGTCTAGCATCAATGCTTGCACGAGCTATTGTAGAAGAGCCAGTACGTTCTGTGATAGGATCGCATATGGAAGGTACTTGAAACTCCACCCCAGCCCATGCCAGCAGCAACATACATAACATGGAGTTTTCCAAGCCTTTGGCGTGCCATAAGTGATCTGACAGCGTACGAGCCTTGGTGGTATGCTCGACCAGGATTGGCAGAGCATCACTCCAACGTCCAGCCATCATGTAAACCGAACCCAGCACAATGCCGACACGGGATTTGCCTCTGGCCCGCAGCTTCTCCTGGGACGTACCAGAGCCGAAGCCTTGGAGTGCAATTCGATCGTGGCTCGAGGTGCGGGTGTGGCCCTTGCCTTTGCTGCCACCACTCTGACTGCTTCCTCTGCTATCAGATCGCTCTAGAGCGTTTGTCACCACATTGGCGCCTGGCATCTGATCAAACGAAGTCGCGGGGAGAGGAGGTGCCTTTGCTGGACCTTCTTCATCAGCGGGACTTGACATGCCCGAGCTCAATCGCTTGTCGCCATCACGGTGGAAGGAGTTTCGTTGCAGTGCACGAGCAGTCTGCCCAGGGGTCTGAATCGAGGGCGAAGCCTGTAGTGCTTTGGCATAAGTGGTGAATTCGACCAGAAAGCGTGCGGATATTTCGCACACGGCAGCTCGTAGAGACGGCTCATTGTGACTATCGATGTCTGATACCACGACTTCCCTGACTATGCGCTCACCTCCGCCTCCCTCGCCGCCCAGCACGAGCAACTGACGATGGACGACACGCGAGTGGCGCTCTTTGAGGTGGGCAGATGCCTCGTCCAGCAGCTTGCGCCGGGCATCGTCGTCTCCTTCCAGCCCGTCGAGCACGCCTATGACCAGCAAAGGCTCTCGAAACAGCTCATAGGGCGACAGCTGCTGCTGCGTTTCGGAGGGGACCGAGGGCAAGAAGCGATAGAGCAGCGAGGCCTGGGGGAAAGGCTTGGGCGAGAGGAAGTGGGCGTCATCGGGCGAGTGCAGTGCGACGTCTGCCAATGGGACGATGCTCGCTTCGCGCTGCAGTCTCTGAACGACGAGCGCGAAGCGGCTGCGCGCGATGCTGCCCACAGGGAGCACGAGAGCGCGGACATGCGCTCCTGCGAAGGGCGAGAAGGGATCCATCGAGGACGTCGTCGGCCTGGTGTCCTTCGTCTCGGGCCCTCATGCTGTGCCGATGTGTCGTCGAAGAGCGGCAGCGGCAGGACGCATGGCGGTATTCTAGCTGCAGTTGCGCCTCGTGCGGCACCACTTTCGTTCGGCTATGCTATCTTGTTATGTCGTTAGCAGTCGGCCTCTTCGGACGTCCTCTCCTCTCACCAGCGCGAGCGGAACCTGTTGGATCCAAGTGGAGTCACGTCGTGGGGCCTGGCCTGGACTTCCAAGACCATCGCAGGATGCCGTAGCGCGTAGGTAGACCCTTCAGAATGCACAGCACACACCGGCCCCCAGTGGCCCGCGAGGAACGTCCTGCCGAGCCGCGGCCCGGCACTTCGCCTAGCTAAATCAGGAAGAGTGGGGGTATCCCTGGTGGGGGCGGTAGAAAATAAATGTTTGTGGCGAGCACTTCCACACACACACACTTTCCTGGTCGACCAGTCCCGTCCGCTGGGACATCATGACAGCACGCTTCACGCGACATCCGTGGGATGATGGACGGTAGGACTATCGGTAGCGACTGAACCATCCCCCAGGCACCACTTGCTCTCTTCAGCCATGTGCATGCACGACCTGGTTCGCACGGAAAATTAAAACCCTTTCTGCTCTCAGTGCGCTCTGGTCAACAATGAAACCACTCCATCTGCTGGTTTCGTCGGTCCCCCAAACGACGGACGGCGTCGATGGACAGCCAACATGTGCCTCCCACTCCAGAATGGCGGCCGCCCTCGAGCCTGTCTGGGAGCAACCTGTCCACGCCGACTTCGAGGTACGTGGGCCCTTTCTTTGTCCGCTACCACCTCGACCTCAGACACTCCACCACCCCGTGCCCCCCCTCTCCCCCTCCCACCGGGGCCGTCACCCGCACGCATGAAATCCCGCCAGCGTCTTGCGTCATGCGAACACGCTGAGAGGCGCGGATCGCCCAGATGACCGCCACAGCTGAGGATGGGGCTGTGCGTTCGCCGTGGGAGGAAGTCGTTGAAGTCGTCCTGACGGTGACGGGTGGCCTCGGACGACCCAAGGCTGCGCGCCACAGACGGACGCTGCCTGCCTGCCTGCGAACTGCCTGCGAACTGCCTTCCCCAGCAAACTACAAACCCGCCCTGGCCAGCTCCTCCTTGCGCTGTGCGATCGTGCTGAGAAAGTGCCGCAGCTTGGCATATAGATTGGAAGTTGACAATTTTACAGCACAATTCTTTCCGGGCTCCACATCAATTCCGGCGGATGCGCACATATGGGCATGGAATCGTTACATCGTCCTAATATCGAACCGCACGAGGCCACTCTCTGTCAACGACTCACCGACGCAATCGCTCGTCACACCACCGCCCAAGATGACCTCTCCCTGTCACCAAGCCTCAAGACCCCCCTCGCACTAGTTCTCCAAGACGCTGCAACATCAATACAATTCCATGCCAAGTGGTTTGCTCCGTCTGCACTGAAGACTCTTCTAGATACCGCTCTCAATGCCGCGAGCTTATCATCGTCGACTCCCGATTTCCATGCGGCACTTCGCCTGATCGACATCGTTGGAACCTATTCGCTCATTCCGGACCTTCTCCCGGTGGTACAGTTTATATCATACGCGTATTATCAGGGAAGTCGTTCCAATAGACACAGGCGACTTAATACGCGGGCGTGGGTGGTCTCACAGCACATTCTGGCGTCGCATCTGGGTGGGCAGTTTGCAGGCACTCTCCTGGATATTATCACGAATCATGAAAGCTTCAGTGAGAAGTATAAGTTCTCCGCAGCAATAGGTGCACTCCTCATTACCATCGATAAACTACTGCCATCTCGGGACTCTGGTCTTCCATCTATGCATGCGATCCAGCTCATTCGTGGTCTTTGGAAATGTCCTGTGCGTGACAACGCCATTTTGCGCGAACACGTAGCAATCATGATGGGCACCATGTTGCAAGACGAGCAAGTTTTCCAGGAACTTGTCAACGACGGAGGTCTAGGCATCAGTCTCGACTTGATTGAGAGCTGTGTGACACAACAACTGGACAAGAGCGCGATTGAGGCATTATTCTCTGGTCTCGAGGTCAGGCTCGGCGCTTTTGAGTTGCGACATCAGCCCTATATGGCCCAGATCTTTGTGGAAGCACGACGGCCCCTACCACCTCTCCTAAAAGGCCAACTTCTTGCACCCTGGCATCGATCTCTGATGCTGGACCAGTACAAGATGTGGGAGGACGGACATCGTGAGCTCCTCAGCCAACTCAGCGATTCTGATTTATATGCTGGCGAGCTTGACGGATTCGTCAACTTGAGTGTCTCTGCGTACTTTTCGACGGAAAATACAACAGCACGAAAGGACTTCGTCTACACTCTTCACAGTCTCATACAAGACTCTGCGACTGCTCCCCCGGTTGTGGACATACTTGCGAGGGGCATGGTCAAGATCTTCTGCCATAAGACCCAAAAGGAGAAATGGGAATCTCAAAGAAATTGGCTCTTTCCGCTCCTATGCCAGGCGGCCCGGCACAGCGTGGAAGCCACGAAACTTGTAATGAGTATCAGGGCCGACGCTGCAGGCGAGGGCTATCTGGACCCGACACGCATTAATCCGTCCGATCTGCCAACTGGTCGATCGGCGCGATTTTACCACCTCTATGGCCTGTCCACGTTGTCTCTCGAAGCACTGGTTGACGCAATTCACGGCATGATTGTGCGGCCGCCCGATCGCTGGGACGTCTATGATGCCATGTTAGTTTCGCTGCCTGCTCTAATTCGCAACCATGTTTTGTGGCGCGGCAGCTTTCGCCAGATGAATATACTGCGACAAGCAGTGTGCGATCTGCTCAAAGCAGATACATTTGTGGAGCCACCGACACCTGACTTGAGCAAGTCGTATGTCATTATACAGTTGATCCAAATCCTGACCGCGATCATCAGCTATCATTACTGCCTACCGCGGAACGATGTGAAATCCGCAATTGTCACCATCATCAATGTCGCGGGCTCTCGAGAGTATAACCCCAGCATCCATTGCATACACGCTCTGACTATCTGCTGCTATGAACTTCCAGAGCTCATGGCCAGCTACATGGACATTGTCATTAACAAGATGACCAAGATGGTCACGCAGCGATCGCTCGCCATCTATGTCCTTGAGTTCTTCGCGGGGCTGTCGCGCTTCTCGGATCTACAGGACAGGTTGCGTATTGAAGATTTCAAGAAGATCTTTGGAGTCTGTCACAGCTACCTGCAATCAGTGCGAGGTGTTTCTTCGCTCGAGCGAAAGCGAACGCCGAGCAGTGAGCAGAGCGCCGGGATGACCAGTAGTGCCAACGATGATATGGCGCAATATGTGCATGCACTTGCACATCATGTCATTACGTTCTGGTACATGGCTTTGCGACGTGAAGACCGGCACGGACTAAAGGAATATATCAGCAGGTGTTTACGATACACCGATCTCGATGGCACTGAACATATAGAAGAGCAGGGACTGGTCACAATCGACCTTATGGACCGCATTGATGCTGAAGAACAGACTGGTGCGCCGCTGGAGAAAGTCTTTGACGACGTCGACGGGCGGATTGTCACAACGCATCGCGTCACAGGCATCCTGCTTATCACGACCGAGACGTCTTTACGGACTGGTAAAACGATAGTGACCATTCGCCGGCCATCAGGAACTGCGCAAAGATTGCTGTCCAATCACACGGACTATGCCCACGGAGACCCCCATGAGCCCGAGAAGTGCCTTATGGCCTCAGTAACGGTCGAGGGCGATACACAAGATTATATCAATGTCTTTCCGAACGACGAGAATGGACGCACCTATGGTAAAGTTGCCATTCCTCGGCCCCACTCAGCTCTCGGGACGGACAGGATCATCACATTGCCAGACGACGACCCAGCTGTTGTTCGAGCCATACAATCTTTTGACCGGGTATCCGCCCTCGACTCCCACAAAGCTGGCGTGATTTTCGTAGGAGAAGATCAAACTGACGAAAACCTAATCCTGCTCAACACCTCCGGAACACCTGACTATCGTGAGTTCCTCGAAGATCTCGGCAACCTCCGCAAACTCAAGGGCGCCAACTTCAACACTCAAGGGCTCGATCGAGTCGACGATGGGGATGGCGCCTACACCATGGTCTGGAACAACGCAGTCACCGAACTCGTCTATCACATTACAACGTTTATGCCAAACGACTCCGATCCTCACATGGCGGTCATCAATAAGAAACGCCACATTGGAAATGACTTTGTCAACATCGTGTTCAACAACTCTGGCTCCGATTTTAGATTTCATACTTTCCCATCGGCTTTCAATTACGTGTACATTGTAATATCACCTTCGGAGAGAAACTCGTTCCTGCAGGCACGACAAATCACATGCAACAAGCCAAAACACGAACGATTCTACAATGTTCGTGTCTTGAGTCGGCCCGGGTTTCCGAGCTTGTCGAGTGCCAGTGAAGTAAAAGTGATATCGGGGGCCAGTCTGGGCGGGTATGTGAGAAACCTCGCGCTCAACGCCTGTGTCTTTTCTATTATGTGGCAGGCAGGGGACATGGGGGATTATCCGAGCAGCTGGAGATCGAGGCTGCACATGATCAGGAGATTGTATGCACAGTACAAAGCGAAGTTGGACGCGGTTGAGTGAACAAGAAAAGGGGAATGGAAAGGGCGTTGGTGAGGGTGGGATTTGGGAAACGGCCTGGAAAACGCTGGCGAGGTGAGCCGCGGCAATGACACCAAAAAGTTTTGACGTTACGGTTGATTGTATTGCTGCTGCGTTGGAGATACCCCCGAGATGTGTAGATATATGAGTGCTCGCGGACAGCTGACACCAGACAGTGGGCCGGCAAAAGTTGATTGTTTTCCGCTGGTACTATAGTGGCTGATGCTCTTCCGTTTTCTCGTTGTACAACGTCTGGAGTGTACTCCGAGAAATGAAGAGGTGAAGGCTACCGCTCCACTCGGCGTCTGGTGACTGTGGATGCTTGATCATTTGCCATGGTCGCCACAAGTGCTTGCCAGTGACGCTTTTGACTAGCCTCGCCCATTCCACACGGTGCCACACACACCCTCTCTCACTCACCGTGCGTACGTAGGAGGGAGGTATTATTGCGTCTCTTCTCTCCACTTCCATATATATACTCGCCTCCCAACGGCGGAGTCGGAATGTGGATGAAAGGCCCGACGACGAGTTTTTTTTTTCCTCGTTTCCTCCAACATCGGCATCTCTCGCGTCCGGTACAAGGAAGTTGTGCAATGTGCAGCCCCAGAATACCTAGGTAATATGTAATATGTAGAATGAGCGTACCGCGGCAAAACGGCCAATGTCCACGAGCCCTATTTTTGCCTGTCTGCTATGCACGATCGCTTACTTTCAATATAGTACTATTCGTGTCACGATTGCGTACTGTGGAGAGAGAGAGTGTGAGAAAAGTACTATGTAAAGTACAGGTAATGTATGTACATGTAGTAGGTCCTGTAGGCAGCTAGGTACTAGCCTAGCCCCGTGTGGCGCTCACAGAGGTTCCATGTTCAGAGGTCAGGTAGGTAATGTAGGTAGGTGGGCGTCTGTCACGCACACTTCGTTTATAGGCCCAATCTTGGGATCTTCGCGCGCGTCAAAATGGTGTGGAGATGAGAGACTGGAGCGCCTTGGACTCCGTGGAGGAGGACTTCCCTTTTTTACCTAGGAGGTAGCTGTTCCTGAATTCAAAAGTGGTCCCGTCCCCCATTTGTGGCGATTACGGCAGCCTATCCGACCTCGATAGTGAGGGAGGTATGCACCTAAGGTATTCTTGGCCTCGGCCACTACTCGGTGCAAGGGTTCTATAGACGTAAGGTATAGAGATATGTTATGTACATACATACATACATACATGTAATAGCAAGTCTCGAACACTGGGAAAAAGTGGATGAATCATCATGACTGCGACATTGGACCTGTGCATCGTCTGGTCACGATTACATTATCTTGAGTGCAAGCTGATCTCGCGCCTTCCTAGTGTAGATAGCAGCTGAGATCCACTTCCAAGGCACAGCTCTTATTCAATACCTACTTGAATCCATTCGTCTGCTGGTAGCCGTAATGATGTTGCGAGGCCCCCGGGGGGCGGTAAAGGGATGGAGATTGGAGAGGGGGGGAAGGACACACAAAAGTTCACATGGACATGGTGCCACGAGAGTAGAATACCGCATCCTGTCCCTGAAAGTACTGTACCTTTGAAATGAACATGCTGATGTAGCGATTGTAATTTGTAGCCCAGCCCGCATCATATAACACTGAATAGTGGCAGAGCAGCAGCAGCATGTCCTCCATCCAGACGGGCTGATGTTTCGTGCCAGCGCAGAATATCTTGCTTTCTTCGTTCTTGAAGGATCGATGCCCCTGGAGACGAGAGCCGTCTGGCGGGGTGTGAGTAGGTGGTGGCCGGCCAGGTCTGCGCAGCGGGCAGGGGCAGGCTCGCAGCCTCTCAGAGCCAGCGGGATTGATTACTTGCAGTACTGATACGTAAAAATGGGGGGGCCAGTTTTCGCTATTGTCTATCTTGTCGAGCAGGCGAAACGGCAAGCCGCATGGCTTGCATGGAGGATTGACTACGGAGCCGCCGGGGTCGAGGCATCACGGTTCAGGTTCGCCCCCGTTGTGGACGGCTAGGGTGGCTTTCCCGCGCCAATATTGTGACCAAGGCGAAGAGTGCGCCAAGGTGTTGCCAAGGTGCTGATGGAGTGTGGAGGCAGGGCAGATAGGAGGAGGGAAAGTGAATGGCAGCTGTCAACAATCATGATGTACCAGGTACCTTATAGCCAGTATAGTAGTAGTTGATGTAGCAATAGTAAATAGCACGTCAGAGAGCCCGCCGCCATAGGAGATAGCATCGCCATACATATACATATAGTAGTACCTAGTGTCGGGAGACTTCGGCATCGGCAGCAGGATTGCCGGCGGCGCATGTCGCTCATATCGCAGAACCAGAGGGAGGTGTGGCACAGAGGATACACAACGGCAGACGTGGTCGAAGCACTCCTCGTTTCGTACACTAGTAGTGGGGAAAAGCTGCGGATCGTGAATACCGTCGTGACAGACCCTCGATTAATGCCTGTCTGCTTGCTTCCATGGATTGGATGGGATGGATGCTTGCCGCCGCCGCCTAGTTCTTTTGTCGTAGGAGGAGGACGGGAGGAAGAGCTCCTAGTTCGAACGTGCTATTCATTCTATACCTATATCTGCCTGACCCTGCCTTGCACTCCCACGAGACGTCACCTATTGCATACTATACCGGCGCCATTGCAACGACCCCTGGACCGCGCAAGAAGAAGAGCCGAAGGCGAAGGAGAAGAAGAAGAACGAGAAGAAGAGGAGGAGGAAGAGGGAGAATAAGCACAAGAATAAGCCCGACAAAAACGAATACAAGAGGGGGAATATCTCAGGAAACGGTTGACGGGGCTCTCATGTACATGCTGCTGCGGGCTGCGGATACCTCCTAGCTTTCCATTTATCATGTACTGACATCAAGGTTCAACTTAACTGACGGCATACCGGGCGGGCACACTGTAGCTTTTAGCTTTTGCTCCGAGCCACGACCTTGACTTCTAGGTGCGTGCGTGCGTGCGTCCGTCTTTGTGTGTGCCTCCTGGCTACGAGTCGGAGTCTGCGGCATCGACGACTTTCGGCTTGTCCAGAGGCTGTGGGAAGCAAGCAGTGCAGTCGGGGCATTCTGCTGCTGGTGCCAGAAGACGGTCTGTATACACGCAGATGCAGCTCGGAGCGGGATCCTGGACGGACGGCATCTGAGGTTAGTAAGACACTGTGCATGTACAGCGCGGCCGGCGTGGCTTGCTCTCTCGTACGGAGTCTGTGGTCTGCTGAGAGTCTGCCCGTGAAGAGTGAAGAGCGATTGAGAGAGAGAGGGAAAATTAGAGAGAGACAGAGAGGAAGAGAGGGCTGGCAGAGTTGCAATTGTTGATATCTACGACTGTCGCTTCTGCATATACCACACCCCTCCCGACTCTGCGCCCAGCAGTAGGTACGGTCAGTGGTCAGTCGCCGTGCGCTGATTCTGGACCAGTCATGGACTCGCGGAACATGGGGAACTCAACGTGGGAGGACTTGGACATGTTCGACACCAACTCTACTACCGCCACCTTCGATACGCCGTCCGGCTTCGACGCCTTCAACGACTTCACGAATCTCGACGCGCAATACGCCGAATCCCCTATTGCCCTGGGTCTGCGCGCGCAGTCCAAGTCAGCACCCGACGGCGCGACCTCTGCAGGCGTGCAGAACCCCAATGGTGGAGCTGGGATCGTAGCCGCTTCTGCTTCTGCAGAGAGCTCGAGTCAAGACTCGTCCTCGGACACTTCGAGTGGGCGGAAGAGGAAGACAGGTTTATCGGAGTCGCCAGCGTCCATGGATGGACAGACCCACCATCTTATTAAACAGGAGGACAGTAAAATGGACATGCAGCAAGTGCGGAGCTACGACCATTTCTCTCAGCCTATGCACAATCTCTCACTTGAGCAGCGGAAGAGCTACGGTGAGGGCAGCATGGGCCAGCAGTACTACAATAGTGCTGCTTCCAGTCCGGTTCACACCAACGACTTCAACACCGCCATGTCCATTGATGCGCATGTGGCTTCTACCATGGCTGCACAGTACAATCACGAGTCGCCAGTGCAGACAATCAATCCTGGCATGTTCGCGGTAGGAGGCTCTCGCGATCAGTCGCCCACCACGAATCTCATGTTTAACCAGGCATCTCCCAACGCCATTTTCTCTACTCCGTCGTCGGACAGCCCCGAAACTTTTGCAGGAAACCAGAACTGGAACCCATCCTTAGCACAGAATCCTCAATGGCCAGGTGAATTCACAGGCCAATTGACTTCCCCAGGTGGCATAGCTTTCACTCCTTCCCCGGGTGCTAATGACAGCACTCCAGCGAGCACTTCTCGGGATGTCGGTGGTCGCGCTGGCCTGGGTCGCTCACCATTGCACATTGCCCCCATATCCACGAAGTCTCGGGTTGAGACGCAGATTAATGTGGTCATGACTCTTGAGAAGCCACCGCCTGGGACTGAGCATCTTCACTTGCCACTACATACGATTGCCAAGTCGAAACTTCTGGCCAAAGAGGACTTCGACAGATCCAGGGTTCTGGAGCTCCACACCATGTTGGTGTGCACGAGTGCGATGCATAACGCGCAGTATAAGGAGAGAGCCATGAAGCGAGCGGCTGCCCAAAACAATGCCGAGATTCAGAGGCGAGCGGAGCTCTCACGAGACTCCAACGACCAGGACAAGAATGATCAGAAGAACTTGCCGGAAGAGGACAAAGTGGCAAATGGAGGAGAAGTGAAGATATGCAGTAATTGCATACAGCGAGAGAGGAAGCGAGCAGGCCGGAAGAAGACGAAGCGTGAGGAGGAACAACAACATTGGGAGCGCTTCGAGACCGAGAGAGTGGTGGTGTTCAATTCCAACGAATACTTGCCGTTCAAACCATGCGAGCCTGGGCAGTACCCGCAACGAGACATCAATGCCGAAGGAGAACAATACGTGCCCCCTGATGGCTCCCTACATGTCACTGCTGCAATGCGGATAGCATGTTACTGCAGGCACCAGAGCGAGAAGGAAGGCTTTCAAGTCATCTTTACCCTCAAGGACCACCATGGCCACGTCGTGGCTCAGCAGATCTCTGACTCGATTCTGATCACCGACGACCACAAAACACATCCGCAAAGCTTTTCGACAACCGTAGCAGGTGAAGGTTACTACCAGAACGCAGCGTACCTACCAAACGGTCTACCGATGTCACAGTCAATGGTCGACATGTCAGCACCCGTCCACCAATTCACCTCATCTCGATCCGCAGGAAACTTGCCCGCACTTGCGTATGGTGCGCAATTCAACCCGCACAGTCATGTGCACCAGCTACCAGCTTCTGGATATGCGTCGGGTAGCACGTCCGCCACCATGACTCCAACCAGTCTCTCGAGGCCGGCCTCACCAACAAATGCAGGACAAGCTGGTCCCAACAAAAAGCGAAAGTCCTCCACCTTCCACAGAAGGATACCCAGTGGACTCACCATGACTCCAAGAGTAGATACAAGCCAGCCACCCTCTTCGAATCTGCCCTCGGCGGTCTCAATGAACACTCCGTTCTCACCTTCAGGTCAATTTCCTGCCATGAATCAATCCTACATGACAATACCAAACAACAATGGCCCAGCCCAGTACTACGGTAGTGGGCCCCCTACGCCGAGCGAGAATGCGCCGTTCAACTTCAGCCAGCCCCAAGTCGATATGTCGCGCATACAACAGAACCTGAACAACCAGGCATATTTCTCACATCCATCATCGGCTGTTCCCAGCCGAGCTGGTAGTCCCGTGTTGCAACAGACACGTGCCAACATGGCGGCATATGCGCGCCAGCATCCAATACAAACCTCAACGAACACCATGGGCAACCGGCCTCAGCAACAACAAGCATTTCCGGCGCAGCCACCTCCTGGATCTGCCGGACACGACGGCTCTATGACCATGGCTGGCTTCCCTTCGGTAGACCGGATCACTCCCAATGAAGGTCCAATAAGCGGAGGCACAGAGGTCGCGATATTTGGACAGCACTTTGTCAATGGCATCCAGGTACAGTTCGGAGACCAGGTATCATCAACGCAGGTCCTCTCTCCGAATTCGATGATCACCATTTCACCGCCTGGAAGAGTGGGATCGGTGCATTTGAACATCCTCGCACCACCAGGAATCGCCCAATACCCTCAGCCGGCCAACAGACCCATCTTCCGCTACACTCAGTACAACGAACAGATGATGGTGATGGCGCTCAAGTACCTGAGTGAGCAGCAGTACGGACAGACGGAGAATTGGCAGGCTCTGGCGCAGCAAAGCGCAACCCAGTTTCTGCAGTCGAACATTAATCGAGGCGGCCTGGGGCAACAGGGAGGCTATCACATGGCATTAGCATCACACCGCTTCGATCATCTTGAGCACGATGTACTGCGTGACGTGGAAGCTGTCAATTCCGAGGAGCAAAGTCGCGATGCAGAACTCACCATGGCGCCCTCCACGTGCTCACGTCGTGCGAGTCAAGTGGCAGCACTGATGGCGAATTGCGCAGAGGTGGATCCTCGAGACACCTGCGGCGGCTATCGACCTCTTCTACATGCAGCGTTGGATGGAAAGATAGATATTTGCAGGCTCCTGGTGCAGCGCGTGGCTAAGCCGTGCATTTGCAGCCTTGGGCGGTCTTCTACAGTGGAGCCTGCGCTCTTCAAGTCACGAGAACGACAAAAGCGTATGCAGCTTTTGACGAATACTGTTCATCGACGACACGTTAGACTCATGCGGCGCCAACATTCACTGCAGCCAAGCATCAGCTGTGATGATGCAGCCTCCTCCCAGCACGCATGGAGCAGCAGCGCTAGAGCGTCGATATATGAGCCTGAGGCAGATGTATGTCAGCTAGACCCAGCGACGTGGCCACGTTCCCGGCGACCAGGTGCAACGCAAATGCTTCGTGATGGCACGGAAAATGCGCTGCCCACGCCGTGTCGTGTCGCCATACCCGTGAAGCGTGATGCGTTGGCAGCGCAGCCCCAGCACCTCCAGCAAATCGTTCGTGAATGCCAGCCTCAGTCATTTCAGACTTTGCCCGTACTTCCAAGACATGCCTCCCGCGTGGGCCCAGATATCGCCGCACCACGGCCGCCACGGCCGCACGGCGTGACCCAGGTAACGCGCCTTTCAGCCCACCTCGAGGCGCCGCCACCTCACCCGGAGTGCGTGTCACCAGGGCATCGTTTCAATCTCTCCGAACAGAGGGATGCGGTGCAGGACGACGAGACAAACCATGCCGTTCTTCCGGGTCTTGCCAGATACGGGCAACCTGGAACCAAGGACGCCGATCACTCGGTTTTCCCCGATCTCGGTCGACCGAACATATCCGCAGAGGCACTCCAGCAGCTTGAGACATGGTGGCTTTGGGTAAGTCGTCAATGCAGCCCACCACCAGCGAGCACGCATGCACGCTCAGAATCTCAGCTGACAATCTGTCCGTTTCCGCAGACGCCGGCACTCGTGCTCACAGCCTCCGTTCTGGTGCGTGCCGTGATGCCTCACTTCCGATTCACAGCTCTCCATCCGGGGGTCGGTAGTAGCGATGATCATCATCGACAGGTCGACCACCATAGCAGAAGGAGGCGCAGCATGATGATGATCTGTACATGAAAGTAGGGATCCAACGACTCTCGGTGTAATTTACGGCACAAATATATCCTTCTCTCACGGGCATCGGTATCAGACAAGACAAGACCAAAAAAACATCTTTCTTATCATGACGAAAAATGCGGCTCAGGTTTTGATTGAAAAGTTGGAGGTGGGAGGGGGGAGGCTTTTCTGCTAAAAGCGGGACTCCATTTCGGCATGAAATTAAGGTGGTAGTCAAGTCAGGATTGTAATATCCCTCATCGGAAAACGGATGGCGGATGGCGGATGGCGGATGGCTGAGGGGGAAGGGGGGAAGGGGAAAAATCAGGGCAGCGAGCTTTTTTTTTCGGGAAAAGGAATGACCTACGCTACGCACGACGATGATAATGATGAGAGAAAAAAAAATCTTTATAAAGAAGTAAGGTACCTACCTTAGGTATAATGAATATGACACAACAAAGGGAAGGGAAAGGAAATGAAGGGAACATGATGAAAGGTAGGAGGGGAATTTGTATTGTGTGTGTGTGTTTACTGGATGGAGATAGGGCAGACAGACAGACAGACATAATTGAGAGTAAGAGAGCTAGTAGGATGCTAGATGATAGCGTCTCTTTCCCTTTTCACACTTGATGTCGTAGTATATCACTCTCTGTTTGATTCATTTTCTTCCCCTCTTTTGCTTCTGCTCTCTCTCACTCTCTCGTTCCAGAGAAGTTCATGATATAAAAATGAATTAGTCATCTCTCACACTTCTTTCTATACAAAAATATATACAGGTATCTCAGGTCGGTAGGTCAGGAAGCGAAGCGAAGCAAAGCAAACAATACGGATGTTACTACCTTACCTCAAGGAGTCTGTACTTACCTACCTACTCTTAATCGGTATATATACTGAAATGGGACATGTACAGAGAGATAGAGAGTGCACGTACATCTTTTTGTAACGAGAACCGGGTCGATTAGTCTATACTGTCTATGCTGTCTATACTAGGTATCTATACTGTCTATACTGTCTGTACTGTCTATGCTGTCTGTGCTATGTACCCTCTACATTGAATTAATAATTCACAACCGCCAACCTATCCTATCCTATCCCTTCCCTTTTATCCCTCGTACCTCTCGTACCTCTCGTATAACAACAACAATACCCTCTCCTCGTAGCAGATAGATTCCCCCTCTTCGTAGCAGATAGATAGAGAGTAAAGAGAATAACCCTCGCTATATTCCTCCTATTATTATTATAAAAAATAAAATCTCGGCCTTCTCGCCGACTCGAGTACGTTCGGTATTAAAGAATCAGAATTAAGAATTGCCCCTCTCTCTCTATATACCTCGTTGTTTTATTTCTCTTATTTAATCAAGTAGGGAATAATTGTTTCAATTGCTCGCTTCTTTTAGTCTTACTCCTTTAGATCGTTTATCTACGTACCTAGGTATCTAGTTAGGATAGAGACTACCTAGAACAGGAAACCAGGATTCGAAGAGGGGGAGAGAAAAGGGAAACGAGAAAAAGGGATCTAGGACCGAGATCGCGAAAAAAAAACAAAAATGTTTATATACCCGTATATAGTACATTTGTACCTATGCTTACCTTACATCTTTGTATCTTGCTCTAGTCTACATACTTGGCAGTGCTTACTCCTCCTTGCTAGATCGGGTCTTATCACAATCATTTTCCAGGCTCTCGATGTTAGGTAGGCAGTAGGCTCTTGACATGTACCTTATCGGTCCTTTTTGTTTGTTGTTGTTAGGTACATGTAGGGGGGTGCAGGATCTATGAGATTTCCGATCGTTTGGAGTCCTTTTTTTGGGTTGTACCTACCTTTTCTGTACTTTGGAGCTTTACTTGGGAAGGGGAAGCAATACAAGGCTGCGGAGGAGAGTCGATGATGGAGAGATGTGATGGGGGGCAGGATATGTACCTGCCTAGTTGGAGAGTGATATATACATCCCGCACCATGACCATCGCAGTGTGGGGGGGAGAGGGGGGGAATCACGTTTCCTTCTCTCTCTCTCTCCTCTCTCTTCTCGCTTTTCTTCTCTCTCGCCATCGCACCATCTCCTGATATTTTTACTAGGGAATATAATAAATAAAAAAACCCCAAATCAAGAAAAGAAGGAAATAAAGTGGCGAGACCCAAGATCGAAAGTCCGATACAATCTGTTCATGTTTTGCATAAAGTTTCCAACAAGGCTACCTACCTAACCTGACTTATCTACTACCTACCTCCTACTGGGGAAGGGTACGTACCTATCTGACACTCGAGGGATTCGCACCTGGTGTCTTGGTGTGTGTGTGTGTGCGACTATCTATGCATGAGATGAATTGATTGGGATGTGAGTGATGATAATAATAATAAGCGGAGAGAGGGAGAGAGAGGGCAGGGAGAGCCAGCAAGGGAGTGGTACAGACCCGCTTTCTATCGAGAAGCACAAGAGAGGTCCCAAGGACGCACAGGCAAAACGAAACTAGGGAGGACCTTGCAGCGAGCTTCGCTTGCCGTATGCAGTCCGTCACAAAAGGGTATCGTCTTGGAATTTTTGATTACTATATCCATCCATACATCCATACACTACCAAGACCGTGGCGAGCGGAAAAAGTACCGACTACTGTGTGATTGTGGGAAAATCATCATGTCCGAGGCACAACCCGCTGCCAGCTGGGGGATGGATCATATTCTCCGATGATATGTAAGGGAAAGCAGCAAGGCTACTCTGTCTGCTCTGCTTTGCTGGCTGGCTGGCTGGCTGGCTGGCTGGCTGGCTGGCTGCTGCATCACAACAAAAAGCCGTAGTGCAGCCAGAAGTCCGCAAGCGAGGCTGGGTTGGGTTGGGCTGGGCTGGGCTGGCTGATTGTTGCATTATTAATATTTAATATGGCCACCGACGAGGACTCCAGTAGTGCAGTTCTGGTGGGAGAGAGTCTGGGACAGCGTCTTCTAGCCGAATCATTAGTGACGAGTAAGTGAGTGAGTGAACGTCAGCCGAGAGCGCCACGATGGGAGAGATAGAGAGAGAGAGTGTGTGTGTGTGTGTGCGTGTGGGTTGCGTGAGACATGGTGTTGAAATACATCAAAGTCACAAAGTCAAATCATGAATGGGCTGGGCGCAAAATTGATGTCGGTCGGTGTTTCGGGGTACGACGGAGTCCCGATGTTGTGGGCGGCCGTAATCAATCCCCTTCCACTTCCACCTCATCGCAGACTCTTGTCTCACTGCACATTCACTGCCACTGCGTGACTGGGCAATCTTTCTGTTTCCTGCACAAAATGTCTCTGCCAAGCCTGCAGGAGCGACCCGTTGGATGCAGAAATGGCGGCGGCAGTTGGTCACAGTACCAGACCGGACGACGCTTTGCAGCGACTCGCTTCTTTTTCTGGCGCTGCACGCGTGGGAGAGAGTGCGCCCGCCGGATTTCCATTCATTGGGTCGGGCAGAACATCGACATGGGATGAAATCACTTCCCCATGGCCCATGCAAATGGGTGGGAATGGCGTCCCAGGCCGGCGTGGTACACTCCTCGGCCACATGCAGGTAGGAGGCAGGTGATTTACAGCAGCAGCAGCAGCATCATCATCGCCATTCGTACCGTACCTACAGGTAATGTACCTAGTATGATTGATTGCACATGACATGTCCTCCCTTGCCAGCGGAATGGAAAGACTCATGTCCATGGACGACGAGGCAGTTCATGTCCGTCCCGGTGGGTCGATTACACTACCACTGGGCTTACTGGGCTCACTGGGCTGGTTGCTGGGTATCTCTCTGTGGGCAGAACTAGGTATGTATCGCGGGCGGACGGGGCGCGAGGCGAGGCACCGATATGCATGTGTGTGCAGGCAGGTCGAAAGGCAGCTCCCTCCACGCCAAGGAGCGTACAGCGGACAAGGTCAACGGCGATGCATGTTTCCTCCCGTGCTGTGGCGTGTGAGCAGTAGAGTCTGGCGGAACAGTACATCAGCAATCAATCCACTGGGTACTGGGGATACAACACTGTACCTCCACTCTAGGAGGTAGAGGAGAGCCCATCTAGGTACCTACAAGGTACGGAGGAGGAAGAGTCTCGGCACGGCACGGCACGGCGCGGCACGGCGCGGACGGTACACGCTGCAGCGGACACATCTCGCGAGTCTCGGTCGGCGATGTGCCACTGATGGCAATGATGGGCTGGTGGAGTGGAGTCTCGTAGCAGCAGTGTCTCCTAGTAGTGTGAGTAGTGTGGTTGGACGGGCGGACGGACGTCGTCGTAGTGAACACACTCTTTGACACTGGTAGGTTCTCTCGGCTGCGCCACCGCGCGGGAGCTGCTCCTCCGCTGGACTCCAAGGGACCTAGTCTCACCTAGCTCTTAGTGGTAGCGAGTAGCGAGAAGGGACGTGCCTCCCTGGCCAGTGACACCGTCCAACCCTGAGGTGGGCTCGGACCACCGATTTCGATTCGATTGCATGCGATGATGAGGACAGAGGTGCACCCTTGACGGCTTGACCCGTCCCTTCCATTGCACATGCAGGCGAGTGGGGACGGTCGCCTTGCCTGGTCGAGTTAGACTCAGTTAATGGCCAGCTGGGGGGGGGGGGGCCTGATCCCGGCTCTGCACCCAGAGAAGTGTTCGTCGCGCACTCTCGCTGGGCCTGCTTTGGACCTAGCTTCCGTTGTTGCCTCGCCCTCTTTCGCGCCCTCTAGCCTCTTCGCCCGCCTGGCCCGACACCTTCATCACAGCCTTTGAAGATTCCATTCTCTATCCCCGTCCCTCGCCCCAGATCGATCCAGCAGCCCGCCAGCGTGTTCAGCTGGCGTGTCCCGCGTCCAGCGAACAGTTCTTGTTCTGTCCTCTCCTGTCCTGTCCTATCCTGTCCCGTCCTGTCCCTGTGTGCTTTGTTGGAGCCTGTGCGTGCCTGGGACGTCTTGGCTCTGGCAGGAGGACTACTAGTCTACCTTACTACCTTACTGCTGCTGCCATCGAACAAAAAGCAAAGGCTGCCGCCGCCGCCGCCCGCTGCCCGACTCCGACTCGTCCACCCAACCCACGCACGCACGCTCGCTCTCCCATCTCCCATCCTTCAGCAGCTCCTTTTCGTTCGTGGTCGTGACCGAACAGAACGGTGCCAGTGTCACCGCCCGACGCGACGACACGACACGACACGACACTGATTGCTCCTGCAACCTCGAGCGCCGACTTGCTCACTCCTGCCGTCTGCACGCACGCATTTACCTTCTGCCCCTTCCGTTGCATCTGCCTTCGTCGCGTGCGCGCGGCCCTTTGTGTGGTGAGTGCCTGCCTCCTGCTGTCCCTTGCTCGGTTGCCGTTCCTGACCGGCGCTACGGGCCACACCTCAGCAAGACCCAGGCGCATGGTATCAGAGCACCTTCCTTTCCAACAGAGCGGACTGGTTTGGAATCCTTCCAAGTTCCAACACTCCTACCGCTCCTCGTCAACGTCGCCCGTCGCCGTCGCCGCCTCACTAACAGCATTGTGCACAACACAGGTCATTGCCACCCACCCACCCACACATACACACACACACATAGACTACTACCGGATCCTGGTCTCCGGTGGACGTCATCCTCTCCCTCAACATGGACCGGCCAGCGACCATTGCCGTCGACAATGAGACCAAGAGTTCCATCTGCAGGACGACGGCCGAGGGCAGAATCATCACCTACCAGATGACGGTGCTGCAGCAGCCAGTTCGCGCCCGAGCATGTGGCCAAGGTGCCAAATGTGAGTGCTGTCCACTGTACCGTCGTCGTTCATCTGTGCCGCCACACCACTGCTAACACTCTCCTCTCACAGCATCTGCCGACCGAAGGCCTGTCGACCCTCCACCAATTGTAGAGCTCCAGATCTTCGAGGGCCAGGACCGCGAGACGGACATCACCTTCACTATGCATGCCAATTATTTCTTGTTCGCAACTCTGGAAGCTGCGCGACCCATTGCCCACGGACGCGTCGCCTCGGAGCGACAGACCCCTCCAGTCCTGACTGGCACTCCCGTAGCCGGAATGGTGTACCTGGATCGGCCCAAGTCGGCGGGCTATTTCATTTTTCCGGATCTGTCTGTCCGCCATGAAGGCCAGTACCGGCTGAGCTTTAGCCTGTACGAGGAGCTCAAAAGTTCCAAGGATGAGGATAAATTGTCCGAAGAGGCCAAAAGCAATGGAGATGGGTCCCCCGTGGTCAATCACCGCCTGGAAGTGAAGTCGGAGCCATTTCAGGTCTTCAGTGCGAAGAAGTTCCCAGGCTTGACCGAGAGCACCGCTTTGAGCCGGATGGTCGCTGAGCAAGGTTGCCGCGTCAGAATTAGGAGAGACGTGCGTATGCGCCGGCGCGAAACCAAGGGTGGCGCTAAAGATTGGGACGACTACGAGGACGAGACTGCCGGAGCTCGCGCTCGAGTATCTTCCACTCCAGAGGCTCAATATCCGGGTGCGATGCCACATGCCTATATGGAGCCAGTACCTCGCCCACGGTCTGCAAGTAACGCGAGTCACCAATCCTTTGGATCGCGGAGGCCATCCACTCAGGATATGGCCAATAGTTATCAGTCGTCTCAGTTTGGGACTGCACCTCAAACTCCATCGAGCAACTTTCAGCAGTCGGCGCCCTATGGTCCGTCACCTACGCAAGCTTATCAAACCGGGCCGTACATGCAGCAGCAGCCTCCTCCGATGCAGCCACCGCCGCCTCATTACCAGCACGGTTTTGCCGCACCACTACCACCACCACCTCCTCCCGTGTCAGTGAGCGGTCCGCAGCAAGGGTTCTACGGATATGCACCGAGCCAGGCACCGCATGCGCAGCCAGCACAATCCCAATACAGCGCTGCTCCTCCAGCATCTTACGACACAGTGCCCCAACCGCAGCAACGCGGCAGCGTGGACTACCCATCGCAGACACAATCCGATGCCCGGAGGTACTCTGTGCAGCACCCATCTCTACCACCGCCACCGCAACCCCAGTCTGGGTTTCAGCAACATATTCAGCCACCGAGCTATCCGTCACAGATTCATCATCATCAACAACAACAACCACAACAACAACAGCAACAGAGCTACCAATCCACCCCATCAAGCCAGGCACAGCAGTCTGGCTCTGCTTATTCGTCTTCTTTGGATATGTATAACAGCAGCAGACCATCACTACATCAACCCATGCATGCCCAGACTCGGCCGAATGGATCCCACACACCCATATCTAGTAGACCTTTGGATCTACCACCTCTACAAACTACTTCGGCGCTGTTGTCCAGCAGCAAGCTCGAAGCTGCATCACCCAGCTCGGCCGCACCCTCACACTCGTACTCGGCGGCAGCCCAGGCATCCCTGGATACTCACAAGCGCAGTTATGGTAACGTGTTCAGCGAGAAATACCAAGACCAGCCGCTGCGGCAGGGTGCCAGGCCCGGTGCGAGCACCAGCACAAATGACTACAGCATGGTTGCCAACACGTCACTGTCTGCTGTCGATGATGACGACACCAGTGGTGAGCTGGACCCAGACACATTGAGTATGCACTACCGGCGCGCGGATGGTCGAGCCATCCGCAGGGCTCTTCCTACGAATGTGTAAAATGCCAAAAATGAAAGGGTTATCAGCAAGCTGTGAAGATGGTGCTTTGGCCATCGCCTCGCCGGCCAAGAGAGGGCCTCACCCGGTATATGACGCGCGAATGATAGTGACCACCAATCCAGAGGACTTTCATGTGGGCCATTCGCGGATGCCTCTGAATTAATCAATCTGCCAGCACGAGAGAGAGAGAGAGAGGCTGCCAGTGGCGAGTGCATAGGATGCGCCACGACCCGAGATCCTTCTGAGGTCCTCCATGACAGTCGCGCAGGCGTGATATACGACACCTTCCAACCCGAAAAGGAGCCTGAGGATGCCAACCTGGAGCAGTTGACACAGGATCCAGGCCGAACACTCGGCACATCAGCACAGTAGCGTGACCGAGATCACAGCCACCAGAAGCGGGACGGGGAGATGTGATCCTTGACAATTCTGCGCTGTTGGCGTATGATGATAGCGTTCTCGTGCTTGAGACGTGGGAAAAGTCACGTTGTTCTTTCATTTGTACGAAATCATGGCGCAGCATGGCAAAAGGCAAGCTTGGGAGGTTTGTCTGAATGACTTCAGCCTAATCTGATCAAAACGATCTCTTTTTTTGTTATGGTATGAGTGGCATCACACGTCACATTACGCTTTGTTCGGCATTCTCTACGACCTTTTACGATGGCTTACCTACACTGCCCGACTTTTTTTTTTTCTTTTTTGGGGGGGAGGAAAACGAGCAGGATCTATAGGTAGAGGATTTTTACTAGTCTAGACGACCATATGCAACAAATGAAGCAGCTGCCGTCTTGTGCGGTTACATGGTGCGTGAGGTGTCATGACGCCTGGAGCAGCAACGTTTGGGGTTTCCATTGCCACGAGGCACGCCCACGTACCCAGAGCCACGGTGGTGGTGGTGCATTAGGTAGTCGGAGAAGTTCCCATGTTTCGCTTGTGTGGTAGGTCTCGTCCGGATTTGACGATGGATGGATGCATGCTGACTCAGAGGTACCAAATGCAAGGTTTCCGGGAGCTGAGGAAAATTCGGAGACTTTGCTCCCACTTTTTTCTTTTCTTTACTTTTACTAATGGTACTATGGATGTACTACGAATAGCGATTGATTCCGCGAATGTGTCTGGCCAGGTAACCTAAAGGAAAGGCACGGTATGATTTGATAGGATACTTACTTACCTTGTCTTGCCTACCTCCTCGGCAGAATAGACTGACTGACTATACGACTGTGACTGACTGACTGACTGACTACCTCCTACAGCCGCTTGCTTGCTTACTGGCTTGCTCGTTCGCTCTTCTAACTGTAGAACCCGGACGAACGCTTATACGAGGCAAAATCCGGTAAAATAAGAAAAAGGACGCCGCGATCACGGATCTGTAGATGTAGCTCGTACCTACATGTACTCTCCCTCTCGATCCCGAGTGCTCGAGCTTACAGGTAAGGTTACTAGCTCGATATAGTATATGCATCTTTTTTTTTAAAGATCTTACAATTTATCTAGGAGGTAGGAGGTAGGAGGGGATTGTAGATCTATCTTAACCAAAGTTTTGAGAGGGATGGGATAGGATAGGAGCTTAGAATTAAGGTAGAGAGACGGAAGGGAGGGAGAGGTAGTTTATTAACCTTTTTTTTGTTTGTTTCTGATAGAGTTTGTCTCTCTCTTCCTTCTTTCTAGGCCTAGAGGAGGAGGTAGTATACTACCTTAGGTAGATAAGTAAGTATCGTACTCCCGATCCTGTAAAGAGTACTATACTATATTTTGCGCGATGGATATATGAGTTTTGATTATATAGATAAGGTACTATATCTGTTGTTAGTGTTTTGTACTATCGATCGGGAAATCGGGATATTAAGCGGAGATCTACTAGATACGAGAGGGAGGAGGAATATACTATTGAGGAAATTGCTTTTCAGCTTTGTGTTGAGATCTTTTTGAGCTTTTTTTGTACTTTTAGCCTCTTTCATCTGGTTTGAAGGGAGGGAGGGAGGGAGGGAGGGAGGGAGGATCTTAAAGCTGTGACATGGGGCGGAGGAGGAAGGCAAAAAGAAAAAAAAAACTCTATCAGATACAACAGTATCTGTAGTATCGGAGTACAAAGAAAGTAAGATGATTGTCATCATCATCATCATTATCTACGATTAGAATTCTGAGACCAGACCGGTCCAGACATATATAGGAGGTATCAAGTATCAAAAACAAAAAGATCTAATAAAGCTAAGGTACCCAGCCAGGAGGTAAGGTATACATACTGGATGGATAGAGACTTCGCACACATCTCGGTTTGTCTCGCTTCTCTCACGGAGAGACATTATCTCACCCTTTTTCTTTCCCCATCAATCCGTTTAGCCTTTAACGGGGGAGTAGATAATGATGATGATGATGATGATGATGATGACACAGAACACACACCAAACTACTGCCCAGTGCCCCCCCAGTTGCCTAGTGCCCTTGCCCAGAACTAGACCTTGTATATCTTCTCCCTAGTTCAAGATATCGTTCTGGTTTTCGCTAGAACCCATGTCAATGTCATCACAGCAAAGACAAGCAAGCAAGCAAGCAAGCATAATGAGACCTTCCCCCCTCCCTTCCCCCCATGAAGGGCCAAGCTCGATAGTGTGTGTATCTGTGTTTCCCGGCTGTCTCTCCTTTCCGGCCCGTTTCGCTTCGCTAGGGAGAAAAAGGGAGAGAGAGAGAGAGGGAGAGAGAGAGATCTCGCATGTCGCGATTGGATTTTGTATTCCCGTACCTTATGTACATTGTAAGGGTAGATGTATGGATGGTATGTCACTATGTATACTCGTTCCGCCTCCCCGGTCTCGAAAACCGAAAAATGAGAAAAAGTTTCCAAGCGAACTGGTTTAGTACATGTAGTTACTTGGTGAGATGGATGTACAGTACCTCCGTAGGTAGGTACTCAAGTAGATTTTTTCTGTCTTTCTGTTATGATCTCTCAAGTCATCTTCATCATCACGTATAAGTGGTTCGAATATATACTCTAGTAGTCGTGTCAGGGCTGGCTGGCCTGGACTGGATTGCTGGATCGCTGGCTTAGTCTTTCATCATCATCATCACCATCATCATCATTATTAGGGCAACTTCGGAAGAGTTAGCACAGATCCCTTGGCTACCTACCTAGGCAGAAGGGGAGAGACGGAGGGAGAAGGAAGCGGCTATTTGGCAAAAACTAGCAACTACACCAACATGGAAGTCATGTCATGTCATGTTATGCCATAGCATCATAATCATGATGGTGATCATATTACCCAGCCAGCACGACGCCCCTTGGAAAACAGCGAGCGAGCGGCACAATTTAGGATTTTATGAACTCCTAGGTGATAGCAAAAAAGTCTCTCAAACTCTCACAAGGGGATGGCATTGGCAAGATAGACAAGTAGTAATCAAGACCAGAACGGTTCGATGGAGATACCTATTCCAGTTAAAGCTCCGATAAATGTCTCTCTTGCTGAATCTTGCTCTTACTCTCCTTTCTTCTCTCTCACACACATACACACAAGGTTCATCATCGTAGCGGGCTTTCCAATGTTTTACGACAAGACAAAAAAAAGCTTGAGAGCTTAATTAATCCTAGGGTCAGGTAGGTAGGTATGTACCTAGGTAGTAGTTCTCTAGTCGTAGAGTGAAAGTGTGATTGATGGCGAGATACCTGGAATTTACCAGAGTTTCCGACCTGGGGTTGTTGTGCATGTCGAAACCTAGTAAAAGTACGTACATCCATGAGAGACGACGGAACGGAAAGATGGGGAATTGGCAGACAGGGTAATAAGTAAAAGTAAGCATAGACTTTTCGGTTTTTTCCTCTGACCCTAAGCCCTTCACTTACCGGTCCCGTCTCGAGGTTTTCCGCTGACCCCTTGCCCCTTTCCCCCTTCCCCTTCCCCTGCCAATGCTTATGTTCTAGGGGCCTTGCCTGGTCTTTGAATCCCTTCTGTGGCTCAGGCGGACGAGGATTACGTGGGGGGTGGCGTGGATGGAACGGGAATATGGGATAGACATCACATCATCTTTTTATCTCTTATCGTCATCTTGTTGGATGGTGTGTGTGTATGTGTTGATGGGTGACGAACTTGCCAAGTGTCACAAACGACAACGAAAACACACACACATACACATAGTAGTTGAATGAAAGTGCCAATTGATAGGCAAAAAAGAAGAGAAAAAAAAAGAAAAAAGATTATAACCAAAAATACGGTACTATCTAATCTAGGTAGGTATCTATCTAATCTATCCCAACTCCCAAAATATTCGCATTGCCCAACACCACCAACATCAACAACAACATCACCAACCAATACATTACCCACCAACCACAATGCCATCACCACCACCACCACCACCACCAACCCCCTTCATAAGACCCTACACCCCACCCCTCGACCTCCCCTCCTGCATCCACATTTTCCGCCAAACCTGCTCCCCCGACCTCCACGCCGAACCCTTGTGTACCATCAGCTCCCACATTTGGTGTCGACCCTATTTGCATTTGAGCCCGCAGACGTGTTTGGTGCTGGATGATGGGACGGGAAGGGCCGTGGGGTATTGTATTGGGACGAGCGATACGGGAGAGTTTTGTCGGCGGTGGAAGGGGGAGTTTGTGCCGTTTTTGAGGGAGGGTGGTGGTGAAGAGGGGGGGTTGTTTGGTGGTGGTGGTGGGAGTAATAGTTGTCATGATGATAATGGTGTTGATGAGGAAGAAGATGAAGAAAAGAAAAAGAAGAAAAAAGAAATGTTGGAAATCATCTGGTCTGCACCGGAAAAAGGATGTGATGGAGATGTGGCTGGTCTATGGGACGAGTTTCCCGCGCATTTACATATCAATCTCTTGCCCGAGTATCAGAGACGAGGATGGGGAGTTCAGCTGATCGGGGCTCTGGTGGAGCGATTGCGAGAAGAGGAATGTCGGGGATTATACCTGGGCGTGGGAGCGAGTAATACGGGGGCAGTGAAGTTTTACGAACATAATGGCTTTAGTAGATTTGCGAAACTGGAGCAAGATGGGGAGAAAGGGAGGAAAGGAGGGACAATTATCATGACGAAACGGTTGTCATCAAATGAACCAAGGCAGTAAGGGGTCACCTCCAAATACTGTTTCATCTCATGGTGAGCGAGCCTCTTCCTCCTTTTTCAGTTCGGCTTGATAGCCCTCCCAACTCCAGGCCTTGACATTCCTACTCCCTATCGCATTCAGAATCTTCTTTCCCTCGATCGTCCCGTCAATAGCACTCTTCATGTTTTGGAAGTGGCTCGTGTCGATCTGAGTCCATTCCACCACATATGTGAACTCAATCTTCAACCTCTCGCAGCATCGAATCCACTCCAGCAAGCTCTCTGCTGCTTCCGCACTCAACGTTGTTGCAAAGATGTAGAGCTTCACAACCAAAAGTTCATTGGCGTTCACCACTCGGATCTCGTGTGGTCGAAGAGTTTTGATATATTTGGTCAGTTCCTGGAAGTTGAAGTCATACACGGGCGCGATGATTTTGCTTCCTGGAGTAAAAGCGGCCTTTTGTATCAAAGAGGAGTATTCGAGATTGAGTTGTTTACAAGTGGCCGACAGCCCAGACCCGGGCGCAGACGTCTTGGTCGTTCTCAGTGAAAGAGCGTCGTTACCGTTCCCAGATATCGGTTTGTGAAGGTGAAATGGTTGATCGTCGACAATGACAATCTCCGAGATCACTGATAAGAAATCAGTGCGCGTAGCCTGGGGCTGATAGGAGCATCCACGAGAGAGGGTTGGCCTACTGTTGCGGACTTCTCGGGGCAGGCTGAGGAGATGTGAGGCCATTGTTGTTATTGTTGTGGTGGAGGTTGGATGTCTAGTTAGGTTCGTGGCATCGGCAACTTCTGTGATACTGGGAAACCTGTGACAGGTACTTAATGAGGAATTGTGCGTGTGTTTCTCGCTGCTCTCTGGCTCTGTGTCGTTCTAGCTTCAGTCGAGTCGGGTCGAGTCTGCTTTATACTGCTTGCAATTTGCTGAAGCACAACGATGATCGCGATCTTGTTACAAACGTATCTTGGTGGGCTCGACGAAATGCTTTGTCTCGCAACCATGAACATGATCGAGAATGGCACACAAGAAAGCGTCCGCTAACAAGACACATCTGCACACCCGCCCGGATGATAACTCATGGCGCCACAGATGGTAGGAGTTGTAGCAGTCAGGTGAGCGCTACAGACACCATGATCTTCCAGCTGCAACAATCCTTCGTTCCAAAGACAGGAATCTGCTCAAAAGGCATGAATCTGTGTGTTGAATGCCGAGATGGGAATTGGTGTCGCGACACAGCACCTTGCTAATCGAGTTTTATGTGGCTGAAGAGGCGTGTTGGGCCACCCTTCAGGGATAGCATATAAGTTCTGGCGAAGCACTGCATCGTTGTTGCTACCATGGGCGTTGGGAAAGCGATTTGGGTGGTCGACACAGGCAGTACCCGACCATAATCATCGTATGAAAGCCACCAAGGAAGGGCAGCGAGTAGCATAGCACAGGCAAGTGCACGCACCTTGGGCGTGCAAGCAAGAGTAGGCGATTGGCACTACGTAGCAGTTCTGATCGCACAAGGCGCGATAATTGGACTTCACCTCTGATGCCTGTTCAGCCGGTCCTCGCTGTTGCGTTGTCCGATGGAGAGGTGAGTTGGCAGGAAGAGAGTGTGGTCGCAGGACGGCCAGCATCGAATATGTGCACAAGCAGATGCTCGAACCATCGCCCCAAGTGCGTAAAGGAATCCGCTGTGTCGCCATGCACTCACACGTGGTCTTGATGCCGCATCTAGGATGAGGATTCAGATGCTGAGACGAAGGCTGTACCTATTGACTGAACGTTGTACGCCCTTACATCTGAGCTCTGACTTGCCCTCCACGGCACTCTCTTCAGCCGAAAGCAGGCGCTTCAACTCGCTTCTACATACGCATCAGATGCGGTCCATGTGGACTGGGGTGATGCTTTGCAGGTGAAAGAAGAAGCAGTCATCCCGGCTACGACCTCTAACCAGGCGTCTCATGGGTGCTCATCATGTTGCATCGTCGCACCGTCTCCAATACGTTACCGCAGTGTATTACCTGGAGTTCAGGGGTTGCAGAGCGCCCAGTTCAGACACTCAGCAGCTGTGATATGTGCACTTCATTGTTCCCTAGGTACGTCGAATTGCCGTAAGCATGCAACTCCACTTATGCTTCGCGTGCTTTTGTGCGCAAATGTACACATGTATGCAGTGTCATGCCAATCGATGCAATGCTAGCTCCACATGAAGAAGCAGAATGCGCTCAAATCATTCATGAAAGTCATAAGCTCATTTGATCCGTCGAAATTCGATCAGCGCTCTTGTCTCGTTTCACCATGCTGAGCTTGTAATATCTCTCCTCGCCGCCGGCGGTCAAGCCGCCAATGAACCACTTCTCACTGCCGCTCCTCACTTCTCGATAGCCTTCGGTACTGCTGTCGCTGCCTCGCCGTGACTTCCGAACATCCTGGACAGAAGGATAGTTTGGCGGTGGCTTGTTTGGAGGGCCGTACGTAGGCAGACCTGGTGACGGAGGCGACCGTGGCAGGTGTGTCAAGGGACTCACGTTGTGCTCGAGCGAGGGCGGGTATGCCACGAGCTGGCAGTCCGTGTGGGAAGTGGTGGTTTGAGCAGTGTAGGGACTCGTCTTAGGATTGATGGGCTTCGGGCTCACCGCCGCCAGTTCGGGGCCGGGCGAAGGCGTTCGCATGGCCACGGGTTGTGCTGCCGTCCATATTGTCGCTGCCCCGGAGACTGCGGTGGTGCTGGTGGTGTTGAGCGCAGATGTCTTGTGCTGGTGGGCGCGGAAGGCGGAGAGGAAGCCGCCGAGCAAGGACGGTCTTTGCGTTGGCATACTGCAGAACCCACTACTGCACGCCGTGGAGATGGGCCGATGGCGTCTCGGTATGGCGGTCGTCGCTCGTCGCTCGTGGTCGACTTTGTCGTGGTCGTGCTCTCGCAGTCGTTGCTATGGGTCACGACGACGACACTGTGCAGTACTAGTAGTAGTAGTAGGTAGTAGTGTAGCCGCCGCCAATCCGCGCCTTCACGAAGGTCAACTTCCGGTACTTTCCGACTCCGCTCCCATTTCCCCGGCCGTCACTAGAGGCAGGTGAGTACAATACATCGGTCCCCGACGTCCACCACCCGGCACCGTCAGTCTGTATGCGAGATTTCGCGGTGACAACACCACTACATGTACCCTCATGGCATCACGACGACTTACATGTGCCCCACTGCCAATCGTGGGAATCCATCAAATACCTCTGACCAGGAAGCTATAGGTATCTACCTGGCTACCTCCTACAAGCTTTCCTTCTTATCACTGGTCCATTCACTCACCCCGCCCGCCATTTTCTTTTCTTTTTCAAGCCAACAATGCATACACGACACTTGTCGATGATACTGATCCGAGAGACGCCGTGCCCAGGAATAGGGCATGCTCGGCTTTCGCTTGCTGGCGCAGTAAAGAGCCTGCGCCACTGTACTCTACTTCTACATCCTATAATCGAAGTCGGACGAGAAGACGGAGGCCTCGAGACTGAAGTTTCGAGGCAACTGTGTGTAAATGTGCCCGAGGGTTTCTTGCGGTCTTACGACGATGCTTCAGATGCACAAGAAGAGCTGCAACAAGTTTACACGCTACACGAGCATGAACGGGCCAAAGGGATCCCAGACCAATTCAGTCCAACGAATGGCAGAGATTATGTGAGTTTTCCAGGAAGCCATCGCCAGAACTTGACGAGTCGCAGATCATGGTGTGAGCCTTGTGTGGTTTCATTGTATATGGCGCTGGCCACTCATTAACACAGCTTGAAGCCATTCACGTTGGGTAGTGATCACAGACAGTCTAGTACAATGTCTTCATCCGATACAACAAGTCGATTGTCTGATACCACCGTAAAACGGAGTCTCACTTGAAGAACTATGGTGCTTTCCGGTGAGCCAAGTACATCAGCAGTCCACGCACAATCTCCGCCACACCTGCAACAAAGTTTCCCGCCTCGATATTATGCATCTCCACACTCTGCATCGAAGCGCTTACTACTTTGCGTCAGCCTCCATTGCTCCACGGAGCACAAGCAGCGGCGTCTCCCACGTCTGGTCCATCCTTGGTCCCATCATTATCGCCCTTGTCACTCTCGTCCTCGTGCTCCTACTTATCCTGTGGTTAAAGCATCGCCTTTCCACTCGCAGACTGAGCCTCTCGGCCCAAGGCGAGCTCGCACATTTCAGATCAGGTTCACTTCGCAGGATGAACAAGAACCACGAAGCTGCTCCAGGTGTGCAGAAGCGACCAGGTCAATCGGCATTCGTCGGTCGATCTCCCCTCCCAGATGCGGACCAATTCGGAATGTACGATTTTGGATTGATCACCAAACCTAGACTGTCATACAATAGACCATGGAGTCGGCCTGGGCATGACGAAGAAGCACAATCTGGTCCTGATGTTGGAAGAACTACTCCCGCATGCATTCAGAAGTAGCCTGTGCAAACCGAAAGCGCCGCGCTGCTGATGACGGATTCGATTGAGGATCGCAATGGACCAGTGCAAAGGGCGTGAGCTTCGACTAGAGACAGAATTATGGGAGTAGTTTCATTTGATTCATCGACGGGCACTGCACATGAATGCGCAAAACATCATTGGTCCATAATCTGGTCACCCACAACAATGCCATTGTACCTTATCGTTCAATCGCATTTTGGTGGTAGTTTCTCTTTTCTTCTTTTTTTCTCTACAAAGATGACAACATTTCACGTCTTCATGTGCATCAGATTCCATGTCTCGGGACGGGGACCACCGAGAACGTGTAATAGTTAATGTCGGTACAGTGCATTACCTTCGAGTCGCGGGGCGTGCGTGAAGTGTTGCTGTGCCAGCTTCCATGTTCTACTTCAATTTAGTACAGTGTACATGCGAAGTGTGATCTGGCTCGAAAGTGAAACGACGCTGATGCTTCGCGATATACAGGCTCGACCGCGTAAAGTGCTGTGATTGGGCAGCCTCGCTCACATGATTTCGCGTCAGCTCGGCCCATAATTAAGGTGCCTCAGGGCATGGATGAACGCGCACCTTCCTCCTTCGAACTCGGCTCTGCCCCTCCCACGTGGTCCCCGTCCCGTCATCCCGTTGTTGTTGACTTTCAATCACATCGACACAGCTACAGTACATCAACAGACGGCCGACTCGACGCATCATTCCTCTTTTCTCCCCTCCCCTCTTCTCTTCTCTTCTCTTCTCTTGTACATTGATGGGCACATACATACTCGCCCGTTGCACCGCATCCGTATCAACAAACACGCTGCAGCGCACGACCCGTCCTAGCGCCGCCAATTGCACGACAGCCGGAAGCTTGCGAGGAATTGTGTGGCCCATCTCAACGGTCGCCCGGAAGAACCGAGACAGGTAGGACGGCCCTGCATATTGCCAGACAACAGACGTAACTCTCGCAGTCAACAAGTTGTCCTTTCCCGTTGCTGTGCTGTGCTATGTTGTGCCACTGAGCAAGGGAGATGCATGCTCACATGCTGACAGAGCGGCAGAAACGTCCACTCCGCTTCCACTCGAGCTCTACAAAGCCGCTTCCGGTTCTGATGGAGGAGTCTCCCTCTCCTCCACCCGTTCCACCGAAAGACGACTACTACTCCGCTGGCGGTGGCGGCGGTAAGGTAGGCAGCATGGAATCCACACGCCTTGCCAGCAGTTCGAAACGGAGGCGAGATGCGCAAGACGACATCAGCTATCACTATGGCACGGCAGATCTCGAGGCTGGCAGCAATAATGACAGACCGACTCCTTCGAAGCGCTCCAGGTCTCACGCGGCCGCCAGTGACGGCGAGATCTCCGATTCCACATCTCAGCACGCAGCCCAACTTCGCCGCAAAGGTGGCATTCGAAATCTCTCCAACCTCAACCTCCGGCATGCCGCCTCGACTTCTGTCCTGCCTGCTCGACAAGCCTCTCCTCCACGCGAGTCGAGATTCGTGGAAGGGAGCCTGAACGACAAGCCGAGCCAGCAACCGCCCTCTGTCTTTACACGAGTTACTCGAACGGACAGTGGCAGTCTGCAGTATGTGGAGGAGCTCATGGCAGATTACCACAAGGGCATGCCGACGCCATGGAGCACTGTCCAGAATACGATCGAGTATGAGAAGGAGATAATGCCAGAGCGAGTGGCCGCCATCAATGCTCGCAGTAAAAATGAGGATGGTGCTGGCATATTTCGATTCGGCAAGTCATGGGGCACCAATTTCCACCCAGTGGCACTCTGGAATCGACTCTGGAGTGACACGAAAGAGGAGGTGACGCGGCAGAACATGCTGGAGGCCGAGAGAAAGGATAGGCTCAAGGCGGAAGCGGAGGCCAAGTATGCACAGATGAAGCGAGCAGGACTCTTCGGGGTCCCACCGGCGGGTTCCACCGAAGTAGCATCAACGCCGCAGGACTCTGCCATAGCATTGGACAGCGGGACTGACGAGCACCATCAAACTGAGTCTTTGGACTCTCATGCTCGATACTCTCATGAAGAGCAGAGCCAAGAGGGGGCAGCGGTACAGGAGCCACCCAGAACGTTGCGCGGCAGGCTGTCTCGTATGCAGCTGCGGAAACCGTCTATGACATCGCTGAGTGGTACTGTCAAGCGAGCCAAGTCTGAGTTCAACCTAGCAGCCTTGCATAGGGACTCGTCTGCATCGCTGTCACCGTCCAAAATAGGTTTAGATGGTGCGTCTTCGGTCTTGAGAAGCTCTGCTTCCAAGTACGACCTGAAAAAGCAGAACCGGCTTTCGAAGCGAGTGAGTAATTTGGAAGAGAAGTTGCAGCTTGCAAGGATGGAACTCGACACTGCTTTGGCAGAGGCCTCGCCTGCACCCAAGCTTACGAGCAAGTTCGAAAGATTCACGCCTGTCAATAGTATGAAGAGAAAGACGAGGAGGCCCAAGTTTATTCCAGGAGCACTGCCGACGCTGCCTAGTGAGCGGCTGCTGTTTCCGGAGCTGCGCGGACCTGAAACTTATGAGGAAACAGTCCCACGTGCTGAAAGCGAAGTTCGGACGCACAAGATCATTGACCTGAGCACCGCGTTCGATGACATCGATGACGAGGGAACCATCAGGCGACCACATGTCCAATCCCATCGGCCACACGCGAAGGAGATCTTCCAAGATACGGATCAGTCCATTGCTCAGACCATACGATCAATCGAAGAAAAACGCGAGCTTCAGGCAAAGAACCCTGCCAACCAATCGATCCAACTCGATCAAGTGGACCAAGAGATAGTTCACAACGTTACCGCATCGAATGCAGAACCGGGAAACGCTATACTCGACGCTAAGCTCAAAGCACTCGACGTTTCTGTCAAAGCTGCAAAGAAGCCTGCGAAGTCTAAGAAGCGAGGGGCTCTTGCTGTCGAAGATAAGTCCTTCAATCCTGGCAGGGGAGTAGACAACGACGATGAGGAGTGGGAAGAAGCAGAGCAACTCTCAACGAAAAAGAAGCGCAAGTCTGCTGGCAAAGCTGAGCACAGTCCACCGATGAAGAAGAGCACCGCTGGACAGAAGCAAAAATCTCCGCAGAGTAAGACCACTAAGAAGACTGCGACCACCACCAGGTCGAAGAAGTTGAATGCGGACAAGCAGACAACCGAGGTTGAGGTGACGAAGTCCCAGCTTATCGAGAACACTGGCATGGACGATGCTGTGCTGAGCGAGGACGAGTTAGCACGCCCCAAGACAGCTGAAGAAGGCGACGATCTCATCCTCGAGCCGCTCTACGAGGAAGAGGAGGAGATGAGCGTCATGCCGCTGAATGATGAGCCGCGTGAGCCGACTGCGACTGCAACGCCAGCTAGGCACGGGCGTAGTGCTGTTCGCCCTCGATCGAATAGCATGCACAAGCGGGCGAGTCGTGCTACATCTCGTCAAAGCAAGTCAGTCACTCCTCCACTCATGAAAAGTGGTGCAGTGCAGATTAATGCTACCGAAGTACTGCCAGCAAAGGATGGTTCCCGAGACTACCAAAAGCAGAGGGGGAGCAAAGACGAGAACTTCGAATGGCCAGATGATGTCTTCTGATGGACGATACTGTTGATCAGTTCTTCGCTGTCAAGAGCCATCCAGCCTTCGGCCTTGGTTATACATACTCGTACAGGGTCTTGGTTTGTACATTTTGAGCGCAACGAGAATGAAACGGCACGGCATTGGAAGAATGAGAATGAGAATGAGAATGAGAACAACGGCCACAACCGCAGCGCTTGGCTGCATGCTTGCATGGTACCATTTTGACGCGGATTACAGCGAGCGAATTGAGCGATAGCATATTGTGAATGTTGCTTTGGCCGCTTGTGTACTTTGGGAGGGGGGACAGTGTCTAGGTATATAGGATGGGAACCCCTGACCCCTTTTTTGTTTTTCTCGTCTAGAAAGTACCTTGATGCAATCTACGACGGGAATCGAGCATTCAACTCTCTCACCTCTCTTCTTCTTCTTCTTCTTTTTCTTCTTCCTCTTCTTTCTTCTTTACGACATGAAAGAGATGACACATAAATCAGGTAGTAAGTAGTAAGTACCTACCTACCTACCTTATCTTCTCTAATAGAGAGGGAGAGAGAGGTATATATATATAAACAACTAAAAGTAATATTAAATCTATCCCTGATGTAGCAGCAGCTGTACTAGGCCATCTATGTATTACAACAGGTACTAATAATAATAATACTCAGGTAGGTACCTATAAATGAAGGAGGGATGGAGGGATGGAGGAATGGAGGGAAAGAGGGACGGGAGGGATGGAGGGCAAGAATAGCAGCACCAATGAACACACACACACATACCCCTGGTGGAAAAACAACACTGATCATAATAATAATAATAGTATGCTGACTATGCTCCCAAAAAAGTGCGCTGCTGCACTTGGTGAGCAATTGGGATTGTGCGTGTGTGTGTGTGAAGAGAGACACAGGGGAGTATTTTAGGATGAGAAGGATGGAAATGGGGGGACATATTCAAGATGATGGGACAGGAGAATATGAATCGCGGCGAAATGGGACCTGTATTCACGCCCATGGCACAAAGTCTCGTGCAGCTTCTTTCACTACCTGACCTACATTACTCTGCAGTCACATGAAAGCACGTGGAATACGTCGAAGCTGGAAAGCGCAATCCATACAGGAATCGTGCGAACAAGTGCGATTGTAGAACTGCATCGCATACCAAAGAAAAAAAAGGTGAGAGAAGACCAAGAATGCACCATGCTCGCTCAAAATGCTTTGCTCAATTTGCGGTCCGGCCGCGAACCCCCTCCCATGGAGCTGTCCCTTCGCCCTCATGATTACGTTTTCCCTCATCTCCAGCATTTTCACATCCGTTTGTGCACGTGACAATTATATCCTTACAGAGGCCAGTTCCTCGCGGACACTTCCTCGGGAGAGGTCGGTTCAGCAACCTCGGAAACGGCTTGCGTGACCAGATTATTCACTATGCGATCTCGTCCCGCACTCCCGTCAAGTACAAAAGGTCCGACGTCATTTCGGGGCGTCATAGGCCCATCCGTGATGGCAGGCGGACCGACTGATAATGCAAACTGAGCATGCGATGTGGGCGTCGTCGAGCGCGCGCCGTTGAGACGGTTCACGCTGCGTTGATCGGACCCGGTTCGTGCGATATTGATGGGCTGCGAAGTGGGTACCGGAAGCGCAGATGAGTTGGACCGATCCGATCGTGCGGAGACTTGCGGCGTTGGCGAGCTGAGAGATGCATTATTGAGCATTCTCGAGAGATCTCGGTCAATCTCCGGCATATGTGTGCTATTTCCGGTGCCTGGTGGTGACTCGAAGGCGTCCTGGCTGTCACTATCGTCGCTGTGATTTCGACTTTGCGTGCCATTGGCCCTGTCAGCCTGTGCCTCCCCTCCCGCATCAGCCTGATCCTCGAATGCCTCAAACTCTTCAAACGCCTCCTCTTCTGGCTGCTCCACATCTGCTTCCAGGTCGGCCACAAAGCGGCAATTTGGACACAGAAAGTTGGGGTAATTTGGCCCATGAATGAGGCCCCGTATGCATTTGTAGTGCCAGACGTGACTGCATGGCGCCACAAATAGAGCTTGACATGGTGCGACTGGATTGAGGCAGATGGAGCACTCGGAGCTGTTGACGCTGGCGGTGTCCGAGTCTCTGACCTTTGCCTTGGGTGTAGATTTCGACGAAGGGAACAGTCGCTTGTGTGCAGAGGTATTGAAGTTGTTGAGACTCTTCTGCCAACCACGATTGCATTCTATGCGGATCTTGACACATCGGAAAATGACCTCCTCACCACCTTTGAAGTCGATGCCGAGCTGCACCACGTCTCCATCATTGACCGGGTACGGGCGGCTCTCCACCCCGGGGCTGGACAGGCGCACATGGTTGAGGAAGGTGCCGGAGCTGGACTTGACATCCTTGACGTACCACTGTCCATCGGTGCACCAGAACTCGCAATGTCTCCTGCTGACGACCTTGGACTTGAAGCCCACGACGTCGCTGGTCTGGCTGTCGCGTTCGCTGAAGCGCCCCACCCTGACCTTGGCGTCGGGCTGTTTGAGCTGGCGAGAAAGCGCGGTAAAGTGTAGCGAGGGCCGTGACGAGCGGTTCTCGACGTGTGGGATGAAGCGGATGGTGGGCAATGGGTCCTTGCTCGAGGCAGCGGGCGTGGCAGCAGACGACATGGTAGTCGCAGGTAAAGCGGGCACAGCGGGGACAACGGAAGGCATGGCAGCAAGATTGGCGAGGTCAGCGGCGGTGGAAGTGCGGCGCACTGAAGTATTCGAAGCAGTTGGGCCGAAGGCCGTGGCGGCTCGACTATGGGTCATACTGTCGGCGGTAGTGGTGCAGCAGCTCCTCCCGCAGTTCGGCTGCGGAGTTGCCGAGACAGTGGTGGTGAGGGCAGTGGTCCTGCCTGCTGCTGTCGGTATCCAGCCCTTCTCCCCGGACTGGATTGTAGACGCGGTAGGCGCAATCTGCTCACCAGAAGTACCCCGCGGTGCGTGTGGACCTGTGGCGGTTGCTGTTGCTGCTGGGGACAACGGCGAAGGCTGCTCGTGCTGGTGGTGGGCGGACGGGGTCGTTCTCGCGACGGAGGCCACCGACTCGATGGGCGACGATGTCGAGCGGACGAGGAGGGGCGGCGGAGGGTCGGATCGATGCAGATGGTTGCGCAAGTACGAAAAGCCGCGTAGTCGACTGGGACGGGTGGGCGACGAGGGGGAAACGGGGGTGGCGGTGGCGGTGGTGGTGGTGGTGGTGGTGGTGGTGGTGGCCGCCGCAGGGACAGTGGGAGTAGTAGTAGTAGTGTCAGCAGTAGCAGCAGCGGTATTAGAAGTGGTAGAGGCGGGCAGCGAGGAAGGCGGCGGAGATGGAATGGCGGTGGACCCTAGCATGCTTTTCTCGTGAGCAGCGGTGTTCGGATCTGATGCTGGTTCGTTGTTCTGCGCGTGAGATGATTCAATGCAGGCAATAAGGAAAGGTTGCAAGGGACAGCCGGGTCAAGGTCTGTCTGTCAAATGTCATTATCCTGTGTCAGCGCCTCTCTCTCTCTCTCTCTCTCTCTCTCTCTTTCTGGCCCTCTCTCTGTCTCTCAGCGGCAGGATGATGAGAAAGGGAAGATGATGAGAAAGGGAAGATGATCAGCAGAGGCGGGCGGCGCGTGGCTGAGGCTCACTACTACTAAGGTCACCACCACCACCTCAGACAAGCTTGGCATTATCAGTCATCTTTACCTAAGGTCCAGCTACTCCGCTCTACTACGACGAGAATTACAACAACACCCTCTTCTCTAGTACATAACTACCTATACATCCTCACAGTCACAGAACATCCTCACAAGAACAAAAAAAACATCCAAAAAGGTTTCACAGTTTTAAAAAAGAAACAAAAAAAAAGGCAACAAGGGCTCAAGTCCGTTCCGGCGAGCGCACAGATCACGACAGGCAAACCAGGGTTAAATAATGCCCGCTGATGAAATGTCAGAATGTCTGTGATGATGATTTCCTAGAAAAGCTGCTGATGTTTCGTTTTGGTACCTAATTGGATCCTCCTACCTCCCTACACGAGTCTCTCGAGATCAGATTTCTCTTACAGGTAGTACCTTAGGTAGGTATAAATAAATGTCAGGTAGGTAGGTCCATGTACTTACCTACTTACGGGAGGGGAAATGCCTTATTACCTAGGCATAGAGTATTGTATAGTACCTAGTACACAGTACAGTCCCCCAAAAAAGAAAAGAATCAACCTCTAAACAAGGAAAATTACATGTGTAAGAAATGTATGTAGTATGATGTATGATGTATGGTACCTTACCTTACAGTATCTGCACAACACAAACACCACCCCCTCCCCTCCCCTCCCCTCCCCGGACGAAAAAGGCTATTTCGATGTACATCTACCCAAAAAGGCCTTTCCGTTTTATACATACATACCTGAGGTACGTATCCGCGTAAAAAAGTGTCGCAAGTGTTTCTATAATCAGGTTTTTTGCTTGGCAGGAAGGGGAAGGGGAATTTGCAAAAAAAAGAGGGAATGAAGGGATCCAGGCAGGCAGGCAGGCAGGTTTTATAAAGGTACAGGTAACATCATCATACAGTACAGGTACAGGTACATTGTAAGGATGTTCAAGTTTTCTTACCTGGTCGTGCACGGAGCTACTTAAGGAAGGTAAGGTAAGGTACTGTCTGTCAGTGTCAGTGTCTGATGATGATGATGATGATGATGATGATGATGATGATGATCAAGACGGGAGAGCTTGCTTCATCTTAGATATTCTCCGTTGTTCCGCACAGACTACTACCTGAGACTACCAGTACTTCTGTGCTTCTTTCATTAAAATCCAAAACAATTCTCATCCTCTACATACCCCCACTCCTTCAAAGCCGGCAAGGCAGCCTTTTGAATCATACCGGGCGGACCACATAAAAACACCACACTCCCCTCCCCGGGCGGGAACAATGCCTCCTTCAACAACCCAGCATCGACATGTCCCGTTTTCCCCTGCCACTCATCACTACTAGGATGGCTCAGGACATGCGTCACTTGCAACCTCCCTTGTCCCTGATCCACGAACCAATCCAATTCCTCCTTTAACAGAATATCCTGTTCCGATTTGTTCGCATCCACCACCCGCACTTGCACGCCCTCCTGCTGCTCTAATACCGTCCGCGCAATGAGTGCATACCCCGGTGTGATTCCCGAACCACCGAGTACGAGAGAGATTTTCTGAAATCGGCGTTCTTGCTCTTCGATGATGAACTTGCCGCCCCCATTGTACACAATCTCTCCCGTGGGCCCGCGAATCTCCATTTCTTCGCCGAGAGGCATGCAATCGAGAATGTTGGACATGGCGCCTCCGGGCTGTTGGTCAGACGGGAAATACGTCTTGACCACGAGCTCGAAGCTGCCATTTCCGTCTTGTAACGACTGAATTTCCGAGCTTGGGCCACCACTGCTGGTATTTTTGTTCTTGTTGTTGTTGGTGTCCTGCGATCCCTGGTTTCCGTTCGAGGTGGCTTCATCCGGATCGGGTAGCAGAGGTTTGGTGGGTGTGTACGATCGTATGAGCATCTTATCCTTCATGTGGAACCCCAGCTGGATGTGTTGACACGTCCCCAAACCGAGGTCTTTCATTCCATCGGGTAGCGCAAAGGTATAACGTCTGGTATCCTTCGAAATCTCATCGCGCTTGGATAGCGTGACGGGTACCCATTTGTGTTTTTGCAGAACCACATCTCCGGACTTGTCCTGGCTGTTCGCTTTCTCCTTCGCAGCGGCTTCCGCATTGGCTTTGATGTAGTTTGCAGCTTTCTCCGTCACCACACCAATGATGCACTCTTTCAGCTTCTGATACGCGAAACCATCATGGATGCTCGCAAACTCATCGCTGGTTTCTTGGTGCACTTTGCCTGCATGACCAACAATGGCTGCTTTGCCTCCCGGATGCCACGAGAGTACCGAAGTGCTATCGTAGACTTTCCCATCCACCACTAACCAGCAGTCGGACTCGGTATTGTGCTTCTCGATTTCCTGTCTGGTGAACTGCTTCTGCGGAGCTCCGGCTTCTTGCTTGGCCGCGTTGACCTGATTCTCCACGCTGGGTTTCATCCAGCCTCCCTCGCCTGTTCCAGGCTCCACGGGATGTCGAAACAATATATGAGGCACATCGTCGTCTTTGTCTTGTTTGATCTCGGGCTTGACGATATACCAGCAGTTGTTCATCATTCCCATCGTGTTCCACACAGGTCTTTCCGGTTGCGTATTCTTGAACACATTCCATGCTCGGACAGATATGCTCTTTGCGCCCATGAGATGCACAATCGAGACATCAACATACCAATGCAGCCACGTCCAGAACTTCTTGCCATGTCGAATCGGGTAGTCGGGGAACTTGCGGATGCAATACAGCCACGTCTCTCCACCATCGAGACTGATTTCAATTCGCTGCACTTCATGGCCGCCGCCGTCGTATGCATACCCCTCCACTCGGTATGTCTTCCCTTTCCGAGCATGCGTCAATGGAATCTTCTCACCTTGCGCAGGTTTGACAATGACGCTGTTCAAATTCTGCTCATTGCACGCAGTGTCTGGGTGAGCGAACATAGCATTGGCAAACTCTCCATCCTTTTCAGTGATGAATGATGGCAACACTCTATTGTCCCAGATATGGTAGTGACTGCTATTCTCCTCATCCGAGACCCAAATCTTGCTCAGCCACTTCACGCATCGTCCGCCGACATAGCCAGGAATCAATAGTCGGACAGGATATCCATGATCAGGTGGGAGAGGCACATCGTTCATCTCCATGGCAAGGATAACATCATTGGTGGCATCCATTGCATAATCGAGAGGGATGCAAGTCTCATACTTGCCCTCGCTCGGTTCATCTGCTCCCTGAAAATTGACCCATCTCAGCTTGCCCTCGCCAGTATACTTGCTTTCTCGCACACCAGCTGCAAGCAAAATGTCCCGCAGAAGTGGTCCTTTCCAATAAACACAGCCCGTTGCTCCCGCTCCCCAACTGAAACCTTTCGATCGCTTGACCATGTTCAGCTCTTTTCTCCTGTTGCCGTCACACGCAAGTGACACTGGGATATTGATGTGTTCGTACTTTTCCTTCAAGTCGTCCATCGACAGCTTCAGCTTCCCATTCTCGACGTCCAGCTCATGAAACTCCCACAAGATGCGAGGCACAGCTCCATGGTTTCGGATGTAGTGCAACTCGTTCGGCGTAATCAGCCCGCCTTCGAACAGAGCAGTCAATTCCGATTCTGCATTCATAGGGTGCTTCCCGGTCAAGCGAATCAGGTTATCAGATCGAGGCAGCCAATTATCAGGTGAGAACTGATCTTGCTCATCGATCGCAATGGTGGTTCGGTTCTGGGTTTGGGGGCTCTTGCGCTTGCCGTCGTTTTGCTGGAGCTTGCTTCGGTAATCTTTCTCGTGCTGGAGTGATCGTAGCAGAGCGATCTCTTGAGGTGTGTATCGTTCCAGAAGCTTCTCGTATTCGGACTTGTCCTCCTTCTCGCTCCCGGAATTCTCATCGTCTGCAGCATATGCATCGTGATGCTTGCTGTTCTCCCCGTCCTTTCGCTTCCAATCGTTCTCCTCTTGATCGGTCTCCTGAGCCTGTGGTTTCTCCTGGTCGGTATTGTTCATCTGCACGCCGTCTTCCGTATGAGATTCCTTTTCCTTCTTCGCAGCCTCCTCCTTCTGCCTCTTCTCCACATTCGCAGGCCATTCTTCTTCGTTCTTCACCCAGTCCTCGGTAGCATCGAGCACATATCTCCAGCCAAGACTACGATTCTCAGGATATCTGAGATGCAAGTCCTTCTCATTGGTCACGATGTCTCTGAAGTTCACCAGTTCGCCCTTCTGTGCTTTTTCCTTCAGCTTCCGGTAGCCCTCCTTCGCTTCTTCATCGAATTCTGCTTCTGCATCCTGGTCCGAGCTGCTGGGCGATCTCGTCAAGTCCGGCGGATCACCAGCTTCGTCGTATTGATGGGTTAGGCCAGGCACACGGTCCTGTCTGTTTCGATAGCCAATGCGGTGTTGGTGGCCCGTCGTCCAATGCGGTTCGTTCTTGATATCCTGAGCACTTGATCCTGGGTGATGTCTCACGCTCACCTTCCAAGGAATGTGGTGAGGCATCTTATCTTGTTCCAAGCGGATGGACTTTACTATCTGACGCTGCACTACTCACCTTGAGGGCACGACGTCTATCTTACCTTGACCAGCCCAGCCCATAGCTTACTTATAGCAGACTATGCTTTGCCTGCCGTCTCTCCACAGGCTCATGACGTCTGGTACCGACGAGTCGACGACTGTTATACCTACCTACTGCAGAGCCGCGAAACCGCAATCAAAGTCAATTCCATCTCTATGCCGTTTAAGACGTCCTCAAACGGTCATCATGCCACAAGTGCGCCTTCGCGACAGAATGGGATGGCCAGCACTTGGTAGCGCCGTTGAAGAAACGTCGTCCATCAGCTCGTCGGGGTTGCATGCCCAGCGTCTACCTGTAGTTGGTTGGATGTACCTTGTGTGTTGATGTGAGACTTGAGGTGGAGAGGAAAGGCAGAGGACCAGAGCGTAGAGGTGATTCGAGATGGAGGATTTGCTGACTAATGTAACGTCGATCTTGGCCTTCCATGTCGGGTGTGGTGTCTCGAATCTTTGCTGTTGTACTTTGCTGTTGTACAGTAGGGTACCCTATGCTTCCTCTTAATCTTACTCCTACACATATCATCTTCCTGTTCCTGATGCCATGTGTGGCATTTCATCCTACGCTCGCTAGTGTCCAAATCTATACCATCGCTCGCTGAAGACGCTATCAAGCCAAAAGAGATCCGTCTATTGAAGAAGACTGCCGTCGTATCACTCTCAGACACTGCTGTCCTCTGTTTCAGTCGCATTGCCTAAAGTGGTGCTGTTATCCATGCCGTTCCCAGTGCCCTCCCCGTCAACTTCGATCTCGGTGAGCTCAGTGACCTGAAAGACTGGCGTGACGCCAATCGTATGTATCAAAGTCTGCAACTCGAGAACAAACGAAGACGCATCATCTGCCCGGTCACACTCCACGTTAGCACATTTGGCCGCGTCCACCAAAAGAAGGAGAAGAAGTGTCCACCAAGCACAAGACAGTATTTTTGTTCATCGCTGCAGGCCGCGAAACGCTCTCATTCCATTCTTACCACCAGTCCCCGGACCAGCTGCAGGGGTCGGTGCTGCATCGCGCTTCTCCTGCTGTAACGTCCCCAATCCGATCTGACCCACACCGGGTGCAGGCAACTGATCATACACAGAAGCAAATGTCTGCGTGTAGACGACTGGGACATAAGTTGCCGAAGTTGGGTTGATTTCCGAGTTTATCCAGTAGGTCGTGACTGCCGGGGCTTGGGCCAAGGCTGGGGTGGCATCGACGCCGGCGACGATTTCGCGCAGTCTGCAGTCTCTCAGTCATAGTCGCATGAGCGAATAGAGTTTGCGGTATAGCTTCACGACCACTCACTCGAGGTTGTTCTGGTCGAATTCCGCAACAAGAGGTTGAGCATTCTCGTTCAAGACTGTTTCTAAATCGGCGGTTGAGGACATGGCGAGCGTGGCACAAGCTAGAATGCTCAAGTAGTATCGAGGCATTGAGAGGCGCATGGTGATGCTCGTGTATGGGTTCTGTAGGCGACTTGGTTGGGAGTGTGGAAGTGTACTTTGTGGTTGCTGTTATGGTTGCTGTTATGGTCTGGGCGAAGTGGAAGCGCTGCTGGATCGAGTGCGAGGGTTGATAGGTAAGTGCAGTACCTATCAGAGTGACTGCCTTGCAATGTGTCGTGTGTTGCAGCTGCTAATTGAGGCAGCGCCACAGCAGAGTCAGTCGGGCAGGACGGGACTGGTGATGGAACTGCAATTTCTGGGCTCAAAATTCGCAGCGAACAAAACAACACCAACGACGAGTGGGCACTTCCTGATAATATTGGAGGATCCCGACTCGTGCCACAAAATTCTCAGCACTGAACACACGGCATTGTATAAGTAAAGTACTCGCGTCCAGGTCGTCGGTATACCAATGGATTAGCCAGAGCGCCCGACACGCATAGTCCAAAAGGAAATTGAATACATCGATCACTGTACGAACAGTGTGACGGACTAGCAGTGTGCAGTCCCCATCTTTTTTTAATAAATCAATGATCTTCGTCTGCTCCAGTTCCTGCTCGACCAAATGAGAGTGTGTATCCACTGTATCCATCACTAAGCTTCCATGACAGTCTTGAGTGTGAATTGACCTAGCCAGGAATAGCGGATAGATTACCAAAAGTGGATCTCGGTGTGATATAGCGAACCCACCTAAGTTTGTACTAGGTACATCGGTACATATAAGGTGTGTACCGTCGGGTCGCTCTCAAAACGTCGGTTCGACGGCACGGGCAGGCAGGCAGGGGTGAGACCTTCTTTCGGACCTTCCATATGCAGCTCAATTGCCGGGATTCGGGAGACCAACAAAAAGCTTGGTTTCAAGTTGTTTATCAGCAGAAGAGAATGTCGGGCCTCGTTCCGGAGTGCGAGAAATGCGAGACGGAGAAATAATGATGAGAATAATAAATAACAACGACAATAGAAGTTAGAATTTCGAAAGACTAGATAGAAGCGTCCAGTTAATGTACCCAAGTAACCCAACCAATTCCATCGACACACACTGGCCTAGGTAAGGCGACATGCTGTGGATCATCTACTTGATCGAGAAACTGTACTTAGTAGTAGTAAAGACGGCATTCGTGCCCTCAAAAGGTTCCGTTCCGGCTCCAGCGCTAATCAAATATTGACTGTCCTTGTATCCCTGCGCTTTCACCAAGTACTGGAAAAACTGTTTGATATCTGCGTTGAACGATTTCACTTGCTGCCTCGCCACGAACGAGAACACCGTCATGCTCCCATTCGGGCCCTTGTACAAATCAAAAGCGACACCACCAATCGTTATAGAGCCTACGGGAGTCGGCTTCCCATTGGCCCCATAGGTGGAAGAAATCGGTCCGGCACCACCGAGGGCCGCGAGCCAGATCATAATTTCGAATTCCTCGGATCCGGTCGCCGAGGAGGACGTGAAGATGTCGTAGGCCACGTCGGCGATGAGTCCCGAACCGGAGTATGACCACTGCCAAACCGAGGGCATGCTGCTGATTTTAGAGATCTGCTTGCCCGACTTTGTCCCAGGGTTGTAGACTGCGTTGGGGTAGGACTTGACTTGGCCGGAGCCGCCCGACCAGGACCAACTATTCTTTCGTATCAGTCTCGAGTGCTGGAGCTACCTTGTGTTTATCTCACTCCTTTGTGACTTTTCATGAGGGAGGCAGATGTCTTGTTGTGGTGGTGACTTACGTGGTACTCCAGGCGATGGTGCCCGATGAGAGGCTACCAACGGAGAAACATTGTGATCCCGATGAAGCTGCATTTTTGTTCCAGAGATTGTTGTAGACGGTGTAATCGCCTTTGACAACGGAGCCCCATTGTTCGCAATTGTCGGCACGCTTGGTGTCCTTGGTCGGGCCTGCCGCTGCCAGACTGGCGAATGCAGCGGTGAAGATGGTTGCTGCCTTCATGTTGGGCGGAAGTACGAAGATGGGTAATTGATCTTGTTGGTGATAGTAACGACTTATTGTCCACTGAAGGTCCGGCCTTGTCTTTGTATCTGGGAGAGCGAGTGTGGAGTAGACGGAGGCTACGCAGGTATGACTATATATATGTAAAGCTGGGAGGGTGTTGTGGCAAACTCGTCTATATGGTTCAAGTGCCTTGCAAATTGCGCCGACTGCGCACGATATGCCGTTGATGGCAGCATGCGGTTAGTGTGGACATTACACGTGGGTCGAACCTAGGAAGCGAATATCTGAAACATCGTCAGGGCTAAGGGTCTGCTGCCCCTAGACAGGAATGGAATCTACCCTTAGTTCTAGCGCTGAAACATAAGGTCGCGTATGTTCCAACACGATCTACTGCGCGCTTGACAATTGTAGTCACGAGGCCGGAGTGATGAAGCGACATCTGCGGCAGAATCTGTGGTAGAGGGCGGAGAACGTGCGCATCAGGTATATCATGGTATTATGCCACCAATCAGCTCGCGACGTGCTTGGTTGTTGCATGTGCCCGTATAATCATACGGCAACTCTCACAACCCAGTACCTCATTCTGGCAAGGATGTGGTTATGTGGACAGTGCAAGATCTCCAGGACTGGAGTTTCCAGGAGTCTGGACTCGCTGCCTGGGAAGCTCTCCTGTTTCCTAAAATGGTCGAGCACATTATGGCTAGGCCTTTGTCTTTCTTTCAAGATAGCCCATTTTCAAAGGCACGAACTCGCCAGCAAGCGATCCTCGTCCATGTGAATGCATTGAACGATTGCTTGTACGACTCTGCAGAAATTTCCAGGAGCCTAGACTCGCTGCCTAGGAAGCTCTCTTGTTTTCCTGAAATTGTCAAGCAAATTCTGGCTAGGCCTTCGTCTTTCTGTCAAGATGGACCATCTTCAGAGGGTGTGCCCGCCAAAGGCACGGACTCGCCAGGAAGCGATCCTCGTCCATGTGAATGCATTGAATGATTGCTTGTACGACTCTGCAGAAGTTTCTAGGAGTCTGGACTCGCTGCCTGGGAAGCTATCCTATTTTCCTGAAATGGTCGAGCAAATTCTGGCTAGGCCTTCGTCTTTCTGTCAAGATAGCCCATCTTCAGAGGGTGTGCCCGCCAAGGGCACGAACTCGCTAGCAAGCGATCCTCGTCCATGTGAATGCATTGAACGGTTGCTTGTATGACTCTGCAGAATGGTGCTGTGTGAGATTGCGTACTTAGTAGGCATAGGAGGTATTATCAGCACCAGAACGTGTGCTGTCTCAGTCACCCCAATTCGGAAAAGAATAGATCGCCCATTCTGCTCCCTCCTCGATGCCAAGATGTGCATTGATCGCCGGGCGTACCTCTCTAGTAAGGCCAACCGAATGCCATTATGCGTTTCGTTCTCTCATACGGTCTGGAGTAGAGGGCACCCATGGACCCTGGTCCTTGCATCTCGAAAGCCTCGTATAATTCAGTGCCACAATCGACGGACTCCGTGTAACCTCTTCAGTGGTGGCCATGATGCTGACTTGTACGTTTTATTGTCATGTTGCCCCCGAGTGCCTCCTTTGCGGCCACGAGTAAGGCATAGACGCACTTGTACCCGTACAAGATTGAAAGCACAGAATCACCTATGTCCACAGGTGTAGTATCTCGATGTCCTGCAGCAGCAGTAATACTATGCTCAGGACTGGGATAGTTCTGAAGTCATGTTGGCGCGATACTTTGCCAACTCCGGCCTGACGAGATGGGATTCGGGACCGAATGGCGAACGTGACACGCTGAGCACTCGAACCATATGCGCATGGCAGCAATTTAATGGCCAGACAGGCCACCATACCACAGTGCATAGATCAAGCGGCACTTTAACATCGGTCGTGCTGCGACAAGCCTACTCTTTAGCTGTCCTAGAGGTGGCTTCAGCGCCCCCAAGTGCTTGCACGACAGACTCAATGCCCTCAATTTCGTCGCGGCCAATCTTCCTTCCTGCTGCCAAAGAGGTGCCGGCGGAGGAGTCAAGGTCGATACCTTTACGCTCAAGGGCCCTGCGACTCTGGTTCTCGAGATACCGGCGACGCCTGCCTTCCGCGCTGTCCTCATCATCGTATCTGCCATTCTTGACCGCGGGGATAGTCTGCATTGCTTCCTTCAACTGAGCCAAAAGTTGCTGTACCGCTGGTATCTGGCTGAGGGCATTCTGTGTGTCTTGCTCCAGGTGCTTGCTCTGACCAGCCGCCGCCTTGAGAAACGCAAAGGGGGCGTCAGTCGCGTCCGCATCCTGCTTTGGCTCAGTCCCAATGAGCGCACTCAACTGCTGTAGGATCACAGCATTCTTGGCCTCTTCTGCTTTTAGCATAATGTTTAGCTTGGCCGTTTCATGTAGCCTTTTCCTCTGCAGCTCAACAGCTTCCGGGCTTGGCACATCCTCTGCAGCAACAACATCAATGCCTTTGTAGTGGTCAAGCCGGACCCAGTTCGCGAGATCGTCCTCTCGGTGTCCCACTGCCAGGATGTTTCTCAGTGTATAGATCTCGAACTTGTCAAAGTCCTTGTCCACCGTGGCATTGAGCAAGCTCTCCAGCTTCACAATGCCGTTGTCAACTTCGTTCTGCTTGAGCTCTGCAAGGGCGTCTCGCCTGGCGTCACTGTTCGGCAGCGATGCTGCAGTGTCCCGATCCAGTTGAAAGCCCAATTGCTCCGCCGTCGTACCTCCAAAGCCTTCCTCGATAGCATTGACGGCGCGAAAGACCAGCTCGTTGACCGTGTTGATAATGTCATCCAGGAGAGTGAGTGGCGTGTAGCGGAAGTGTTCGGTGAGCAGCGCAGTGGTCGTCTGGTGCGTAGCAGCCATGTTGCCGGCGCGACCTGTGGTGTCTGTGTCGTGACGGATGGTTGTTGGTGGCTACTGTAGTTTTGGATCAAGGTGCATTGTAGTTGTGCACTATTCGTGTCAAGCTCGCGTCGGAGGAGACGCGAAGCAGATTTCTCCACTTTTCTGCCCGTACCCACATACCACGCTACCTACTGGAGTATTGGAGTATTGGAGAACACTTTCACAGTTTCGCATATTCTGCTTCCATCATCACGACATCTAACAACAGCCCGATTAAGGTGTATACCATTCGGGTCCCTGGTCATGACGGCACCGCCTTCACTGCGATTGCTCACCAGCTTGCCAGCAACAATCTCCGCTGCGCCGACAAGGTCCAGGCGGTCTTCCGGCACTACATTACCTGACCTTTCGTGCCGACGTGCCGCAGGTACTCTCCAGTCTCGCGACCGGTCTGGCTAGAGAGAACTGCTCCCGCTCCCACTGTTCTTTGTTGCAGCGATTGCAGAGGGACTGTCAAGTACCACGACATCTGGTTAACAGCCCGAGTCTGAAGCATTCCGAGGGACCCAGACGTCAATCTGACTTGCGGGACATGACGTTCCTGCGGCAAGTCTGATGATGAGTATCTGATTGCTCTGAGTAGGTACAGTTACAGGTACTCTCTATACTGGATCAATCATGGGCGACACATACAACGAGTGGCCGTGGAAGCCTGGAAGGCGAACGGTAATCTGGCCACATGCCACAGATCCGGTTTGACATGCCTCGTCGAGATTGCCGTTTGACATGCCTCCTTGAGAGCCGGCTCGGCACGCCCTCCTCTTTCTCCAGCTGTGGACGCGCACAGTCCCGTACACGTGCAGCAAGCCTCTGCCAGTCCAGACTCCAGAGAGTCCAGAGAGTCACCCACAATGTACCTGAGGGATACCTAGTGCACTATGCCGCAAGACCCGAAGCACGACATCACTACTCGGCTAACAGCAATCCCCAGTGTTTTCAGAAAACCAATCTCTCGACAACATCTGCTACCATCACGCAACGCGGGCCCCATGCCACGCAGCGCATACTGGTCCGTATCGCAATCTCATCTTTGGTTCCGCATACAAGGAAGACCTTCTGCAGTCTACACTGCCCAGACCATCTGGCAGGTCTAGCCCGTGGAGTAGGTTGTAGCCTTGTATACAGGTCCAGCATCGTTTGCACATTCCCTCTTGCGCACCAGGACCAAAACTCAAACTGGTATTGGCCTCCACACGAGCACTATTCATCTGATCGTTGCCGTCAGTCGCAAGGAAAAGTGCAGCGTGGACGAAGAGTCGGGTAGTACGCCGAGTACGATCTCTAATCCTGTAAGCATGCAGAGACGTTGCTGTCGTCGTCTCGACTGACACCTGTCGCGATTCGCAGGTTCTCCGCCCAATTCCTTGCCTCAACATTCATTAGGCGCCGCTTTAAATTTTCGAACAAGCGTGCTCTTCAGCTTTAATTGTCCGGCATGATCCTATTCAGGAAGGATGCATCATTCGCCACTCGCTGTGTTCGTCACGGCAGCCAATGACGGACCGTGCCTGTTATAGTACGCCGCCAAAAGCATGGCATCACCAACCCAGCGCCACTAAGGTACCTTACTAAATGTAGCTGCACGTGAGCCAAGAACAAGACTAAACCCGCGTTTGCCGAATGCAAACCGCAAGAGATCTCCAGCGGCTTGCATGAAAGCGAACTAGCGCCGCTCTGCGATGTTCAAGACCTGGCGCACCCCGCGAGTCTGTCCACACCTTCATGCCGGACATGGCAAATGAAACCGTATACGGTCAGTTTGTGGACGATCCTCACGAGTGCATCCTAGAGAAATACCCTTTCCCCCGCTCACGGCTGCATTGCCTAACAAATACCCGACTCGTGATTGGCCCCTCACGGGCCCTCACGGGGTGAAGTATGTAGCGGAGAATGAAGACATTACTGAAGAGTCACTTGTTGTAGCGGCAATTCCACCGCATGAGCAGAGGCGCACAGGTATATGTAGGTATTGACATGCCCTCCAAGATCTTCATCCCTCACAGCAAGTCTTTCGCCCCTTCACAGGCTACCTAACTCCTCCCACTTGTCACAATGGTCCAGTCTTGGTTCGCCCTCGCTGCCCTGGCGGGCTCTGCAGCCGCATGGCCAATGGTCATGGAGCAGGACATGCTTCTCAAGCGTGCTGCCTCCGGGCGTCTGAATACTGGTGCTGGTCACCCCAATCCCACATTCGATGCACAGTCACAATACGTGGACGTTTCAGATAATGGACCGAATCCGTTCATGCCTCCCACATCTGGACAGCTTCGTGGACAATGCCCAGGACGTAAGTCATCGAAGTCAATTCATCTCTCTTCCTGACACTCACTTACCTATCCCAGTCAACGCCGCAGCCAATCACGGATTTCTGCCTCGAAATGGAAGAGCCACCATTGAACAGACTGTCACTGGTCTGGGCAACGCCTATGGCATGAGCGCGGATCTGTCCATTGTCCTTGCTGCGATCGCAATCCTCATTTCTGGGGACATACCGACGGGAGAATGGTCTATTGGTGGTGGCTTCCCCAGCAGCCTACCGCTGGTCCTCAGCAATCCCAAAGGCATCTTGGGTACGCATAACAAGTACGAAGGAGATGCTTCCATCGTCCGTGGAGATGCATATCTGAACAACGGGAACGTGGGCGTCTTCCAATGGCAGTCTTGGAACGATTTGTACGAGATTACCGGCACAGACGGTCTCACTTTGGACAAGGTCACGGCGCACTCCGACCGCGTGACCGAGTTCTCGGTACAAAACAACCCCTACTACTTCTCCGGCCCCTTCTCCGGCTTGGTTGCACCGGCAGCGCACAACTTTGTCGTCAACTTCATGTCGAATCACAGCGCAGAATATCCCGGAGGTTACCTTAGCCGGGAAGTCCTGATGTCATTCTTCGCGGTGAGTGGTGATGCAACCGGAGCATATGGCACCAATCCCGGAAACTTTGTACACAATCGCGGACAAGAACGAATTCCCTACAACTGGTACAGACGCAACACCGTCGATGCCTACACGGCCGTGGATGTCTTCCTGGATCTCCTCGCCGGTGCAGCATCATACCCCAACACGCTTCGCATTGGCGGGAATACCGGCACTACCAACTCCTTCACGGGCGTGGACGTCGGCGACCTCTCTGGTGGAGTCTTCAACGCTGCGACTCTGTTCCAGGGAAACAACTTGGCTTGCTTCGCAATTCAGGCTGCTCAAGCAGGCGGTATCGATGAGCTCGATGGTGTGCTCAGCACGGTACAAAACTTGGTGAAGCCCCTCACCGATCAGCTCAGCGGAGCACTGAGCAGCCTGGGTTGTCCCCAACTCAGTGCGAAAGGCTTGAATAGCCAGCTGTTCGCCGCATATCCCGGTGCACGATCTGCCTAATTAGGCATTTCCACCTAGAAGACGACAAAAGCGATCTCGTTTGGTACGATGCGAACATGAGAAATTTGTGGATACTTTAGCGAACGATTTTCCTAACATTGAGCGACTTCTTCTTTAAGCATGTATATATGTACAAGTGGTAATTCCGACGAATTCATTGGGACAATTTTGACACATTCTCTGTTCAGTACCCAGTTTCACAGGAGGCAGGTGAAGTGCAGTTCACGATCACCTAGGAGAGACAAGTATTATGTCTTGGCATCTCGGAAAGCGGGTTTTCGAACGCCGGTCAGGTGCTGTACTAGGCCTCAAATAGGCGGCTAGTCCAGTCTAGTCCCTCGCGTATCGTATCGTATCCAGGGCTGAGGGTCGTGACTAAGCGTCAGCATCCGGAACATCATACCTGGTATTGCATAAAAGGAGGAAGGTGTCTTCGTCGTTTGTTGATGTGATTTGGTTATTACTGTGCACCATCACCACCACCACCGCCTCACGCAGAGAGGAAAGGAACGTCTTTATGCGAACGGCTGAATAAAACTAGATTATATTCGTCAACAGACTACGAGGACCCCCTGAGCTTACCAGGAATTAGCTCTTCTACCTGGTACAGAAACAATTAAAATCACTTCTGCATCGTTCAGCTCGAGCCTCCCCTCGTCACCACCAGCTTCCTCCTCACCGCGGCGTACACCAGCTTCTTGCTGCTCCATTCTCGGGCATAGGGTGCTACGGCAGCAAGGCGAAGCAGAAGCAGAGTGTCTCCGTGGAAAGAGACGATACCACCATCATAGACGAGCCCATCTCTCTTCCTACCCACGCCATGGCCGAAACCGAGCTTACAGGGCCCGCAGTCATGCAGAACGGGAGTGTGCTGCAGGAAAAGGGCTTTGTGGAGCAGAATGTCAATGGCACGACGACGCCGGCCGACCCGTCCAGAGCAGCTTCGCTTCGCTCTGCCACCTCTTCCAAGGCGGCCACTGCGGCGACGACGCCTGCGAGCAGCGCGACCCCTACCTCCGTTGGGGTGGAGAGCCAAGAGCAGGAGGAGGAGTGGAAGATGCCAACGGATGGGCCCTTAAAGACACCAATACCGAGACCTGCGGCTTCGTCCAAACCCCCACCAGAAACGAAGCTCACTGAGGAGCAACAAAAGAAGTATAACGCTGTGCTTGCCGAAGTTTCGCAATGGACGACCATTTCAGCCTCGACCGCTAAGAACGCCGCTCAGGCACCCATCGAGGAGCATGAACGAATGTTCCTGACTCGAGAGTGTCTCCTTCGATATCTTCGGGCCACGAAATGGGTCACTGCCGACGCATTGAAGAGACTCCAGGGCACTCTCAGCTGGAGGCGGGAGTATGGTGCAGATACCTTTACACACGACTACATCAGCCCTGAGAACGAAACTGGCAAGCAAGTGCAACTGGGCTTTGACAAAGACCAGCGACCATGTCTCTATCTTCGTCCAGGCAGGCAAAACACCAAAATGTCCGATCGCCAGATCCACCATCTATGTTATATGCTCGACCGCACCATCGAGCTGATGCCTCCTGGTCAAGAAAGCAATTGTCTGATTATCGATTTCAAAGGCGCCAAAAGCGGCACCGTCCCGAGCTTGGGACAGGCACAAGCTGTGTTGAATATCCTGCAGACACATAACCCAGAGCGCTTAGGAAGGGCGCTTATTTCGGATACGCCTTGGTATGTCAATGCCTTCTTCAAGGTGGTCTCACCGTTCATCGATCCCGTAACGCGGGAAAAGATGAAGTTCAATGAAGACATGACCAAATATATCCCCCAAGAGCAATTGTGGAACGTGTTCAACGGAAGTGTCAATTTCGAGTACGACCATTCGATCTACTGGCCCGCGTACGAAAAAGAGTTCACCAAGAGGAGGGAGGCATACAAGGCCAGGTGGGTGAAGGCGGGAAAGAGAGTTGGGGAGTACGAGGCGTATCTGCGAGGCGGTGATCATCCTTCCTTGCAGGCATTGGAGTCGTCCCAGGAGAACGAACGACCAGTCGCGCCCGCTGCTGCTGCTGCTGCGAGTGAAGCTGATGCTGCCGCTGCTGGCGTTGCAAAATTGAAGGTGTAGAAGCGGCGATAGGGCGTGGAAACTGGGTCAGATAGACTGCATGGCATTGGCGCATTGTTCGATTATTGTCGTTTTGAGTCACCTTTTTGTGGCAGGGCGCGGCGCGGAAGGGGAAAAAAAGACATTCGGAGTACATATGTAGTGGTAACCAGTCCCTAGATCCGGCATTATAGAAAACTGTACAGGCCGCGAAAGTGCGAGCACACCACCAACCAGTCTGGAATGCAGTCAGTCCGTTATACAAATTTCCCCTTATACCATTATTCGAGCACCTTGCGCTGATGACATGCGCGGTCAGGTAGCTCTCTCCCTCTCTCGGTGAAGCTTTCATGTGACGCACATCTTGCTGGACACCCGAGGAGGAAATATGTGATAGGTATTGATGCCTACCACTCACTCACTCACTCACTCTACTCTACTTCTACTCTACTTCTACTCTACTTCTACTCTACTCTGCCCTACTATCATAAGTTCTTCTTCATTCGTTGCTCGCTCTAGCACTCCCTCACTTGTTCCAGGTCAGGCCAGGTCAGGTAAGGTAAGGTTACAGATTTAGCATCCATGCACTCAAAAAAAATAGAGTGTCTCCTGCATAGCCCGGACGTTTTTGCGATGTTAGGCTTATGCTACCTATTTAGGCGTGCTTTCATTGACGGCAGCGTTTGCTGTCTGATCTGTCTCTCTCGAGAACGATGCAATTCGTATTTTGATTGCGTTCCATCCGTGTGTGATGCTACCTACTGACCTCCATTAGGTACCAACCTGGACTAACAGGCTATACGTGCTACAAGAGTGGAGTAATCGATACATACCAGGTATGGATCGTGTCAAGACAGTAGGCAGGCTTATGAATCGAATCGTCTTTTCTGGACTCGCTACTCTACCTACGTACCTAGGTAAGTATGTACCACGACGGGACTGAATCTATTGTAACAGCGCACAGGGTGTAACGGCTCAGGTACCTCATCGTGGGAATTTGCACGACGTACGTGTACATGTGGTGCGTTGACACCTACCACCGATGGGTCAAGACTAACCAACGGCAGTAAGAAGAGAGGCTACAAGTCCTGATTTTACCCAAAAAAGCTCAGCGACATTGATTGTTCATCACGACCATCGAACCAAGGTAGGTATACATTCCACTCTACCCGAGATTGTTTGCCATCAAACAAACCGAGCTACTACGTGGCAGATACAACCATATCCAAGCACATCGGCTTTTGTCATCCACCAGTGGCAATGTGCTGGCAAAACGTGTAGGACGCGCGACTCCCGCGGTGAATCATTGAACATGAGGACCTGTTTTTCTCGTGTCTGTGCAGCCGACAGCCCACAACGAACGGGTATTAAGGTCATGTCGAATGGGCGGAGATGGAAGGGAGATATCGACTTGGTTGTCCCTTGAGAGAGAAAAAAAAATAACATTCAGCTACATTATATCTCTTCGCATCAAGATATCTTCATAGCCAAAAGACGAGTCGACGACGATATGGCACCGTCTCCGCATGAAAGTGGGAGCGAACGGACGATTACGACACCTTCTGTCAGCAGCAGCAGCAGCAGCAAGTCTTTGGACGGACTGAGCTCTGAGCAGGCCAAGAAGGATGGAGACTCCGAACATACACATCTCCCGCAGCCAGAGAAAGATGTGGAAACAGCAGCAGCAGCCTCATCGGTGCACTCCCCGTCCTGTATCGTCGGGTGGTCTGGCCAGGGGGACCAGCAGAATCCCCAGAACTTTACGGTCGTCCAGAAGGTATCGATCAGCCTCGTCATCAGCTTGATGAATCTCACCGTTTCCCTGGCCGTGAGCGTGTTCAGTGCCATGCTGGAAGTCGTGGCGGCCGAGTTCAAGCAGGACCGTCCCGAGAAGATGGAGTCGACGTTGACTGCTTATATCTTGGGGTTGGCATTTGGTAGGTGTTTGTTGTTGGCCCCCCTTTTTTTTTAGCATCAGGGGCAAACGAATAGTAGGCTAATGCATATCACATCGAGCAGGTCCCGTCTTATTCGGTCCCGCATCAGAGTACTATGGTCGAAAGCGACCACTCATCCTCGGCGTGGGTGGCTTCGTGCTCTTCTGTACCTTCACGACATATGTCAGCAACGTGCAAGCACTGCTCCTGTGCAGATTTCTGGCAGCCGCATGCGGAAGCGCTGCATATGTCATTCCACCGGGCATCTTCGTCGACTTGTATGGCCCGGTCGGGAGGGCTGTCGGGTATCAGATCTTTGCGACAGCTGCTTTCATCGGCGGTTCACTGGGGCCTGCTGTCGCTGCTTGCATGATCTACCATGGCATCAATTGGCGCTGGACCCTTTACTTGGTCAACGGCATCACGTTCCCCCTCATCGTGGCAATGCTGTTTCTTCCAGAGACTCTCGGGCCGTGCATACTACAAACCAAGGCGCGTCAATTACGGCTCACGACAGGTGATTGGTCTCTCCACACACGTCAAGAGGAGAGCGCGGTCAACTTCTCGAAATACCTTGCCAAGCCGTGGAAAATGCTTGTTCAGGAGCCGGTACTCATCGTGGTCACCACTGCTTTCACCATTGATTATGCAGTCTTCTCGGAAACGTACTCGTGGGTGCCTTTTGCCTTCTCCATGAGAGGATGGAAGCCACTCTACGCATACAGTGCCCTCCTGCTGACCATCCCTGGCTTCATCTTGGGTTGTGCGATCGTGGTTATTGACACCAAGACCCGATTCCAGCGACATTTCAAAAAGGCTCTGATAACCGCACCAGAGAGTAGACTGCCACCACTGGTAAGTCCGTCCCTTCCGAACAGATTTGCTTCATTGATAGTGTGACTGACTGACAACAACCTCAGGTCGCTGGCATGGCTCTACTCTCCATCGGCTTACTCACATTCGCGTGGACCTGTGCCCGACACATTCCCTGGCAAATCCAAGGCTTCTCCGAAGTCCTATTCGGATGTGGCATGTACCTAGTCTGGGTGACCGCAACCGTCTACATCCAAGACCTCTACGTCTCACATTCCAACAGCGCCTTAGCCGCTTGCTCATTCGTGAGATATACCATCGGTGCTGCGGCGCCCATGTTGTCGAGTCTGCTTCGTCGGAAGCTGGGCTTGCCCTGGGTAAGAACTTCCACCACTCCCCCCCTTTTTACCTTCCACCTATGTCTATGCTGCGCAACATCATGCTGACGAATGAACCCTTTCTCTGGAAATGCATGGCATACCAGGCCGTCAGCGCATTGGGCATCACGTGTGCTGTTCTCGTCCCGGCTCATATGCTGTTGTACTTCTTTGGAAGAAAAGTCCGAGCCTGGAGCAAGTTTGCGCTTCATGATACCTATTCTGCGGATGCGGATGAGCCTCGACTGTGATGATTTGTGATGTAGATCTTTGAGGTGATTTGGGGTATCCGGTATATCGATTATTTGTTTGGGGAAAAGGGGTGGGGGGACGGGGGGGGAGGAGGTTCTTGCAGAAGGGCTGAAATCTCCTGGCACAGTAGTGTGGTACTAGCTGTCAGCTATGTAGTTCGCCATGAAATGATCTTTGTGTGTCTCTCTCTGTCTTAGCTGCGGGCGATCAGTATCTACTGTCCTGCCTTAGTGTCAATATCAATCGGGCAATGAGAACAGATTATCCGACTGAGGCAGGCGAAAAAGGGTCCCTGATTTGGTTTTTCTTTCCATCCCCTTTGGCTCGCAGCGAGCCATCATCTTTGCACCAAAGCTTATTCCTTTCGTCAGTATGCTTTGCACTATACTATACCCGCGCGTGCATAAATACAGTAAGCATTGCACAAGAGAAAAAGCCTTATAGGGCGAAAAGGCTAGGTATACAGACCTTAGGGATGTAGCTATGCTTTTACGAGACCGTATTCGCTAAAGAGTCGGCTATCTCTGGGCGCGATCGTAATGTGTGCAGTAGTCATGCAGGTAACCTGTTTGTTTGGACTATGCAACCATTGCAATATCTTGAAAGGGCACGAAATCGATATCTTCTCGAGATTGATCTTGATCAGGTCCAGTTGTCCTTTTTTTTCTGTAAGGAGCTTGCAACTGGAGAGATATAGAGAGACATCTTTATCTCGGTAAACGGATTGTTCTCCGGCGAGACTACGGGTCATCTATCTCGCGTACTGTAGGTTGTCCCTTGCTCCCCCCGAAAGGATAAAAAGACAAACCAAATAATGGCTTGTTTACAATTGGTAGCTGACTGAAGGATATAATACGATACGTACTTACTTTTCCTTAGTGAAAGAACTGCTTGCTCATTGTACCGATGAAGGGCCCTATGTCTCTATGCCTTGCACTGTGCCAACACAAACTACTCCGAGATTCTCCCCTATCGAGGGGGCGAGGACTGTAGGTTTTTCTTTTTTTTTTTGAAAAACCCTTGCAGGTAGTTTCGAGTTTTCCCGTCCAGTAAAACAACAGAATGTCGCGGTTGCTGTAGATTGATTAACGTGCGAGACTAGTGTCAATAGAAGAGGTCTAACGAGAACCGCTCGTTGAAAACCATGACCATATCTGAAACACATGCATCTACCAGATCGTGAAGAGCGTGGTGAGAGCGAATCTCTCTCAAGTAGTTCCGACTCCTTAGTATCAACGTCTTTTGATTTAAGCTCCCGATCTTCCTGATCGCCCAGACCGCTTACTTTGCCAAGCGACAGGCTTCTCTGTTGGTATCTAAAAAACCTTAGTTCAACCGGTCAGACTACTCTCTGCCATCTCCAGGTTACATGCCATAGTCGGAGCGGACGTACGGAGGCTTGGAATGCTGCAAAACAAAAGTCCATGTACCTTCTACAATGTAGTTGATATCTTTTCCCCTGTTGTTTGTTGGTGGATGTCAGACGATTTCCCGGCTTCCTCCCCCCTTTGCCCAGAGTCAAGCGGAAGAAACATGCTTACCTTATTGCTTGTTAGTGATCACCAAACAACATCATATCTCTCTTCATCTCACCACTCCAGATCCGTTATCCATCCGCTTTGACACCGATACAGTCAGATTCGCTACAGCTCGTGTCTGCCTGCCTAATGATTTCCGCTCAAATTGGTATCCCGGATGATGAGAAAAATTCCCTCGTTCGGAGCCTGCTTGAGCCCGAGCTAGGAGTAGTAAAAGGTACAGGTATGGCGAGGTGAGGCTTGCAAGCTCTCTCGTGAGACATGTCAATGTGCAGCCATGGGAAAAGCCGTGGTCTCTCCATGAAGAGTTGGAGACTTGCAAAATTCGAGAGGTCAAGGCTCCCACCCAAATGGATGGACTTCAACCGCTTCCAGGGGGATGGATCCTATGCTGGCTCTCAGCGGCTTGGCTGCTGTGTATCCCGAAAGTCCTCGCTGTATTACTATCCAGTAGTAGGACGCCCGGTACGAGTCTAGGTCATATCCTAGTTGCACGCAGTGGAAAACAGCAACCGGGTACGTACAGCGTACAAGTCCATGGCAAAGTGAAAAAGTATCGCGTCGTAGCGTAGTACTCCGCAGTTGGCCTACTCCCACTAGCTGGCTTTCAGAGACCGAGTCCAGGTTGCATGTCCAATAGGACACTCCATTCCGACGGATCGGGTGCGGTTCCAGTTCCCGCTTCTGGCATTCTGGTAGATCTGCCTTCACCAGGGGGAGGACAGCTTCGTGGAATCCTCGAGCTCACGCACGGCAGATGCGCGAGTTCCCATCCCCTTGTGACAGTCCCCTTGTGGACGCTACTCACTGGTCAACTGAGATATAAAAACACCGCTCCCGTCGGCGAGAGAAGAAGAGAATCAAAGTCAATTCTCGGCCTTCACATCCATCCATCCATCCATCCATCTCGAAACCAAGTCAGACATCATCCATCATGTTGTTCTTCAGCAAGTTCAGCCTCGCTTCGCTGCTCATGGTCGCCTCGCTGGCACCAACGGTCCTCGCTGCTTGTAACACGGCGAGTGTACGTCCATCCTAGTCACGATACATCGGAACCTGTCATACTGAAACTTTGGATAGGATTGCACCAGCCCTTTCCCTAAATGCATGATCTGCCCTGGTACTGCGAACAAGTGTGTGAGCGGTGCAGAATGCGGCGCCAATACGCCCGCCACTTGTGCTTGTAAATGATCAATCGGTAAGTTTGTGCAGTAGACACAGATACGACGATGATGGTGCTGATGATGAGTTGATTGGTACAGTCCTCCTCGCTGGTATTCTGGTTCCTTATGCGCAAGACCCACAAAGCCGAAGGTGATTTGCTGGCGATGGCCTACGTCTGATGTCTGTCAGTGCCGAAGTTATCGTATGAGGGATCGTCTGACACCACGAAGACAAGTTGGAGACACGGAGCAAGAAAATGGATGGCATGGATGTAGGACAGTTGATGCAGACAAGCAAGCAGTCCATGGGACTTCGTACCCACCAGTCAACCACACCTAAGCAGTGTACTGTGGCGGCGGCGGTTCCTGTGCAGTAGCAGTTCCGCTTGCAAGTCGTTCAAAAGCCTCACCTCTCACTCTCTGCAACTCTATCCTCGCAGCTTCTAGATCATTACCCGCCTGTTTCAGGTTCTGATTTGCAGTCAGACACCGATTTTTCTGCTCCCGGATCTGGCCCTGCAAGTCCTGATATGCAGCACCCAGTTGAGCATCGCTAGATCGGATGCGATCATGTTGTGCCTGTATGATTGTCCCTTCCTGTCAGTAGGAGTCGTCGAATCGGGGACAGAAGGGAACTGACCATATCTGTGAAGATATTATCGAACAGCACATCACTGAAGAAGTGACCATGATCGATACTGATATCTTTCAACTCTCGAACCTGGAAACAAAAGCCCAAAGATCAGCAACACTGTCAACGGGACATCCTTCAGCGACGATGATCGAATACGACTCACTTGTGGCTGCATCCTCCTCGCCTCACCCATATGTCTCAATGTCTGATGAATCCAATTCTGAGCCTGCGCCAACGCATCTCGTTCCATCATATCCGTGAAACTCCCACCTCCCAGAAACATATCCCTCTGCGAACGTCTCAGGGCATCTTGCATGGACATGCCAGCTTGTTTGAGAGCAGAATCGGCTTTGCCCAGGATGTCGAGCACAAGTTTATCTGTGGTCGCTTGGCGATTGGCAATATCGAAAGATTCTTTGGAGTCGCTCACGGCACGTTCGAGATCATCTTCACCAGGAAAGTCGGGCGTGGGACCGCTGAAGATGGAGTGGTAGAGTTGATCGAGTTCGATCTGCGCCGCGTCGTGGCGTTTAGTGGCGTTTTCGAGATTGGATTTGTCCCTTTCTGCTTGTTGCAGCGCAGAAGCCAGCTCGTCATGGGTCTCTCTGGCAGAACGTTCAGCTTGCCAGGCTTCGAGGAACTCCTTTTCCTCCTTTTCCTGACGGGACGTGAACTTTTCTTGGCCTTTGGAGCCGCCCGCCTTGTGGAGGTAGCGTTTGAAGCTGCTGTCTCGGTATTTGAGGTGATCCTGCGATACCGGATCAGTCAGTCGCTGTCTGTGTCTGCGCGCACCGGCACATGCATTCTCACCTTTCGTTCGTCCTCCGTTATAGTATGCAACCTCCGCAGCTCTTTGGCTGTCGTAGCAATTTGAGATTGGAGGTCAGATATATAGGCCGAATTCTGTTTGAGCGAGGACGGAGCGTGATCAGTTTGCCGCAGCTCCGCGAGCAAGTGAGTATTTTTATGCGCAGCTTGCTGCAGTGTGTATTGGAGTTGTGACATGCTGGCCCTATGTTGTGGGTATACAGATGCCGTGACGAGAGCGAGGCGCGGAATGGCGTCTTGATTCAAGGTCTGTGGTAATGTATGTACCTGCTCGTGGTGAATTCAATGCCAGATCCACCATTGGTATGGGAGGACTATACAGAAAGCACCTCGAATTATTGGATGGACGAGCCACGAATCCTTCGAGGAATCCTTCGAGGAATCCTTCATGAAGTAGAAGTGTAGGATAGCGCCAAGGCAAGCTGCGTCACTTCGGCATAGCATAATCTAGGTACCTACACGTACGTTACAATGCACTCACTCTGTCCCGGGGCACTGCAGTCATGTATCCCACTCGCTCGAGTGTGAACCGCTTCAGCCCCAGCGTTCGTCGTCGTTTGCTACATCATGCAAGTAGTCCACTCGGTCATCGGCTTCACTGACGCTGCTGGAACTGACGCTGCTGGAAGCATCTTCAGCCTTTGTGGTGTCCGGTAGGAGACCATGGGTTACTGGAGGTCCAGTGTACCATGACAGTTCGATTCTGCCGTGAAGTGGGAAGTCCGTAGTGAGCGTTGTGGACATGAAGATCTCGCACTGGTAGCGCTCTTCAAACGTGATCAAGGCAGCCTGCGGTTTGTCCGGGTGTCTGTCGAGCGATGCATGCTCCGCAGCATTAAACAAGAGCCAGGACCGCAAAACCTCGTGGTGGTCGTCAAAGCTACCTTCAGTGAAAGCCACGGACACAGTCTTTGGCCTGTTATCCAGTCGCAAGACAGCACCGCTCTTAGCAGCGCCGGCCCAACCACTGCCCCGGTACCCACCCCGATACCCACCTCGACCTCGCCCACGGCCGCGATAGCCGCCTCTTCCACGTGGATAGAAGGACGCTGACGACCAGTCTGCGGAACCAATAGTCACGGCGTCCGGGTCAATTCCCAGCGTCTTGGCTTCCTCTTCGAGCTTCGCAAGCTGTTCTCGGAGCTGCCTTGTCTTTTCTGACTCTGCTGGCAGACCTTGCTTGCGCGCCAGCTCATCTGCAACTTGTCCCTTTTTCGCCTCCAACTCCCTGATCTTGGCATCAATCTCCAGTCGTTTCTGGCGTGCTTCTTCCAGCACCTTCTGCCTCTCCTCGTACCTCCGTTGCGCCTCGTCCTGCCTCGTCCTCACCTCTTCAATGTCAAAAGCCGGCTCCTCGTCCCCCATCTCGATTTCATCGGTGAAACCAGTCATTGGCAGCTCCGGCAAGCAATCGGGAGAGTCATACCAGTAGACCTTGACGAACCTATTGTCAAAGATACTTTTGGGACTGTTGTAAGCGGCACTGGCAGATCTGAAGCTGTCGTAACGGATGATAGCCAGACGTTTATGCGGCATCATGGTGACATCTTCAATGGCGCCAAACTCCCCAAAGAAATCCCGCACCGTCTGTTCGTCGAATTTCTCCTTGGGGATCTGCTCTACAACGATGCTCGTAACTGACTGATCATAGTTCGGTCCTTGCAACGAGAAATCGGCGCGTTTCTTGGCACGTCCGCGGCTTTTCTTAGAAGCGGCGCTTTTCTGCTTGTTTTGACCAGCCCAGTCCAATGGTGAATAGGCTAGCATGCCGTTCTTAGTGGGCACGAGGCCAGCAAGCAGCTCACTTCCGTCATCATATTCTACCATCTGGTCGTCCTGGGGCACCACATAGGCATCAGTGCCATGGTCATAAGGACACTGTGCGCCTCTTGTGCAGAAGCCTTTCGTATCGTAATCCCGACAGCGGTTGCCAGACTTCATTGGTGTTGACGGGAGCATGGGCATGGCAGGCATACCCGGTGGAAGCAGTCCCGTTGCCATTGCAGTGGCCATGGCCATGAATGAGGCCATCGGATTCGCGGGGTCCCAGGCAGGTAGACCAGACAGAGGCGGAGGAGATATGGCTGGTCGCAGGTAGTTTCCTCTGCCGTGTCGTCCGCTCGTAGCACCGCGCCGCGCCTGTTTCGACGGCCTACCATTTGTACCATTGCCCGGTAGTCGGCTCTCGTCGACGCGATCGGGCGCATGGTAGCCGCGCTTTTTACCCTGATTGAAGGCGGGTGTCTGGGGTATCGTCACCTTTGCGGGCGGCTTAGGTGGAGGAGGTGGCTGCTTCGTCGATGGATCAAATGATCTGGTGGCAATGGCGGCGAAGAGTTCGCTGACGAAGGCATCGGTCTTGTCGTTCAGGAAGTCCTTCAGGTTGTCGACGCAGTTGGAGCGGGCGATGGCGTCGGACTCGTCCGTGGTGAGCAGCGCGAGCACATAGTCAGCCAGCACGTCTCTATCGACGCGTTAGTTACACCAGCCATGGCTCGTTTGTGGTCATCCAGTGTGTCTCGTACCCATCCGCGTCAACTTCCGTCGATTTCTCGAGCTTCGAGATAATCCACGCCTTGAGCAGCTCCGAGTCGGCGTCGTCGAACTTCATCTTAGCGGGTTGCGTTTTCCATGCGTGTCGTCATGTGTAGGATGCGACCGTTACATGTATGTACCGGTGTCTGTGATGCGCCCTCCGCAGCGAAGGGTCTGGGAAGATGGATGTACGAAAAAGTGGTCGAGCCTCGTAGGTGCCGAAACTAGGTAGGTACCTACCTGACCTAACTAATCTTAGCTTGTTCGCATGTGATGCGACTGGGACTGGAACCATCGACCAGACCATACATCCGCATCCCCTTCCGCATCCCCATTCCCATCCACCGCCCACCGCCCACCGCCCACCACCATACCACACACTTTCATTTGCGCCATCCAGCTCCAATTCCGCCGGCACTTTCGCCTCCGCCGTCACCGACCGCCTTCAAAGCGACGACACCGCCGTCAGGGAACAATCGAAACCGACAGAGATACACACGGGAACAGACTCGGGAACAGACACGGGAACAGACTCAGGAATAGACACAGAAACAGACACAGAAACAGAATATGCCACCGCGATGAGGCGACGACGCGCAAAGCACCACTCCCCTCGCGCGTGCCATGGCCAGCCAGCTCCAGGCCCAGTCGCTGTCCGCAGAAGGCGCCTTCAACTGGGTCTTTCTGATTGAAACATTGCTTACCGCCATCCTCGGTCTCTTCTTCCTGTTCTACTTCAATCGCCTGTTCGCGACCATTGTCTCGTATGCCATTCGAGTCTACACATGGCGTTACTACAAGGCCTACATCGACATCACCTCCCTCCAGATCAGCCTGCTAGGAGGGCGCCTCTTCTTCAAGAACATACGCTACCACGCCCATAATGTGACGCTCTATGTGTACGAGGGACACATAACCTGGAGGTACTGGTTGCGCATGGTGCAGGATGCCGAGTTGTTCCAAGACGAAGATCTTATGGTCAAGGATAAGGACTGGGAAAAGCAGGCCCGGCCTTCTTCCTCGGATGGCCGTGTGGGGAGCAGCAGTGAGGACGAGAAGGGTCGGGAAAGGAGCACGAGTATCGGCAAAGAAGAGCACGCTGGAGTGAAACCCAAGAAAGATCTACCATGCCGAATCTCTGTCAAAGTCGCAGGCGTAGAAGCCTTTATCTACAATCGCACTCCGTTCTACGACTCAATCGTCGAAGCCACTCTAGCCAAGGCAAAGGATGCCACAGATGTTGATGCTAGCCAGGAAACTCTGAGCCGATCGGCAACTCCATCGTCACCAGATACCGGTCGCAAGCCAGGAATAGACCTACCGAAGAGAACGGCTACGGTCACCACCAGCGCTAGCACCAAGCCTGTTGAGAAGCTTGAAATTCCCTCTTTCCTACGCATCTTTCCCATCAAAGTCGAATGCAGGAGAGCTGCTGCTGCGATTGGCAACCAAAATACGACTCATGTTGTCGTCGCCAAGGCCGAGAAAGCTGGGGGTGTTGTAGACGCTGGTCATGCAGGACCTCTCGACTTATGGAAGCTGCTATTCAAGTTCAATGGCGAGAAATTTAACGTTGCTATGAAGCCCAATCGCGATTTCAAAGAATATCAGCTTGACGCTGCACGACGAATACTGCGTGAGAAACAGCTCGGCGAGCCACCATCCTCGGAGCCCGTCATCAAGCAAAGTGCGCACAAAGCCCACAGTGTATGGTCAAAATTTTGCGGTTTCTTCACGCGTGGCAACAGTTCCGTCGACTCGATACGTACTGCGTCCGTCAAAGAAGGCTCTGTGCTAGGTCAGACAGCACCTCCTCCTCTCGATCAATTGCCAGGAAAAGGACAGTGGCACGGCCTGCGAAGGTATCTTGATGATCACGATGTCAACGAGCACGAAGAATGGCAGCACGTTGAGTACGCCAAAGCTACTCAATTAGTGGATATTGATAAAGTCACTATGCGTTTCTACTGGGACATGCCAGGACCTGTGCCGGATGGCACGCTGGACAGCGACACGCTCCTCGGCTCCACTTACGAAGATGATATCAACGGGAGTATGCCTCCCGAGTATGGTATGGATATCGGCGTGCATGGCGGTGTGGTAGTGTATGGGCCGTGGGCAGACAGGCAGCGAATCAATATCCAACAGTCCTTCTTTCCGGCCCCTTTTGTTGATTCCGCGCCTGCCAAAGCCCTGAAGCCTGGTGAGCTGCGAGTATCGACGGTGATGAAGATAAAGATCATCATCGAAGAAGATGTCGTCTTACGCATACCGACTCGCGAGGAGTCCAAAGACGAAAAGTGGAAAGGTCGTGCAGATAAGGACCAGTCAGCAAACGCTGCTGCTGGCGCCGATAAAGCTGGTCTCAAAAACTGGAAGCGACATGGAAGGAGGCGCAAGGGTAAGCAGCGTCCCGCGGCCGTTGATGCTCGCCCATATGCTTGGCTAGACATTGTCATTAAGAAAGACAGCGTTGTCAACTACACGATGGACATGTATCCCCGCTCCACTGGCTACCGCAACCGACTGGACGTGGATGTGAAAAGCCTCGAAATGAACAGTAGTGTCAATCACGGTCTACTCTGGCGCTCGGGCCCGGTCAGTGTTGAAGCCGATATCTCGCAGCCACTGACCTGGAATACTCTGCGTGACTGGCCTTTCAAGGTTTTCATCAACGACATGGAACTATTCATTCTGCGGGACCACCTTTTTCTGATCATCGATCTCGTGAACGACTGGGGATCCGGAGCAATCTCAGAGTTCTACACTTTTGTTCCATACAACTATCAGCTGGACCTGAATTTCAACAATTTTATAATGTACCTTAATGTCAATGACGCTAACATCATCAACGACCCGGCCGACTTCGATAGGAACGATTTTTTGACACTCGAGGGTCAGATGCATGCAGTGCTGGGGATACCGATGAAGCACTATCGGCCAAAGACGAATCGCATCACTTTCGACGTGCTGGCCACAGATATGAGTATGCGCATGCTTAGCCCCCCTAAGAGCACGTTCAGCGTGTTCGTGGAAGACAAGACGATGGTCACGTTGCCCAAGCTCACTCTGAATGGCTCATATACTGCCAACCAAGAAGCCCGTGTTGGCAATGTCGACGCTCTTCGTATGGATCTGGTTGGCTCTGGAATGACTCTCAAAGCATTTGGATTCTTTGTGCGCCAGCTGGTCAGCGTCAAGGAGAACTACTTTGGCGACTATATGCACTTCAAGACGCTCGAGGAGTTTCAAGGCGCCAGCGATGACTTTCAGGAGGCAAATGCGAAGACGGCTAGTTTCCCCAAGCCAACCTCCATCAATGAACTCGACGTGATCCTCTGCATTGTAGCAGAGCAGGCGACGGTCTTGCTACCCACGAATCTATATTCCTGCAAGGAGTTCGTGCGCGTTGATCTGCCCCGGGCTGATCTAGACCTACGTATTGTGAGCTATTACCTTGACATGGGGTTGCAGCTATCGCCGATCAGCTTTATGACTGGCGTCCCTGCACCTGACGAAGAGGAAGACTCGCCCGTCGATACTGAGTCTAACACGCAGTTCTGGTGTTCACACGTCGATCTCAACGGCCATCGTGCCTTCGGCCTGCCCCCCAACGAGGATGCCTATGTTAGCCAGTGGGACATCGACATAGGCAAGATTACGGGAGAGCTATCTGGTCGGTTTGTGCGCGATCTTGCACTCGCGGGCCAAGCAATCGGATTTTCCATGGACGACGCAGAGAATGCGCTTCCGGTGGTTTCGCCCGCCGTAGCTTTGGATGCTAGCTTTGTGCAAGTGCGCACAAACACTACGCGTATATGGGTGCATGTCGGAGAAGATGCTCTGCTTCTCGACCTTGAACCAGTCAAAGTTGATGTTGCTGGCTGGGCAAGCAAGACATTCTCGCAACGTGTCAACGTTCTGGTGCCTCTAATCACTTTGGCATGTGTGGATGGACGTAGTGCTTCACGCCATCGGTCTCGGTCAAAGCGCGAGCACCCTGTCAGGACGTATGCCTTCCTCCAGACTGGCGTCTCCGTGGACGTGGTAGACAGGAAAATGCACTTTGAGCTGGAAACTAAGAAGCAGCAAGCTCATATCAGGCTGCACGACCAACGCACTGGCAGGTTCCCTTTCTTGATCCGGCCAGAGATCGATTCTTCCATCAAACCTGAGGACGATTTGACCTTCGAATCTCCAGCGTTGCCATTCCCGCCAATGCCAGCACCGATCACCACGCCCGGCGTCACATCACAGACTCGGTCTGTCAAGTCTGTCGAGGGTATTACCAGCAAGCGGCGACCTCTTTCAAGATCATCTATATCATCACTGTCTGGCTCTGTGAGAAGTGGACGGCCATCGGGCATGGCGAGACGAGCTGGACACTCGAGCAGATCGCACGAGGAGTCGGACAGTCGCAATCCAAGTTCCTTCCGCTCGCTACGGGCAAGCAGTCGTTCATCATCCTCAGACCGGAGTCCCTCCAGAAGACATAGTGCATTGTCATCTGATGCGGAACGTGTCAGGCTCGGCTTACCGTCGTCTACCATGGCTTTCTCGAGCGCGTATTCCGAGCCCTATTTTCCGCTCGAGACGATCCAGCCCGATGAGACGAACGTGCCGCCATTCAAGCCATGCACTTCAGAACACGTTGAATCTCTCGCTTCGGAGATCTCTTCAGCGATTGAGAGTCCAGATGTTGATTCTGACTTTGAACGTACTTGCGTGCTTATCAAGATTGTACCGGGTATTCGAGCATACGTTGAGCCTCGCATCGCTATCACAGTCTCCAAATTAATCGAAAAGGTTTCGCCAAAAACTCCAGAAGAGGTCATGGACTCCTTCCATATGAGCGTCATGGGAGCTATACAAAGTCACAACGTTGCACGAGTGGGCAGCAAATCTATTTTGGAGATTCAGGCTTCTCTGCCGGCAGCGCATGTTCGTATCGCCCTTCTCCAAGAGGATCACGATGTGCTCGCTGATCAGGTTGACGTTACCTTGGCGACGCTCGAAACGTCTGTCAGGCTCAAGAATATGCCCTCAGAACACAATCCGTCGCCTGATGTGTCCTTGCATACCCTCCTAGGTAAAATGGACTTGACGCTCTGTGAAGTGCAAAATGGTGTGCTCTCAATGCCGGCAGTATCGGTGAGCATAGATGATGTTCTCATCTGGCTCGCGCTTTCTAACACGCATGCCTTCCATGCCTCCGTTCGCGACACCACAGCCACTGTCGCTGGATCGCAAGCACAGTACTTGACGTTGCTCGCTCTAAAGCTGATACCGCTTATAAAAGATATTGAGGGCAGATTCACAAGAGTTGCAGACACAAACATGAAACGGCTTCTGTACCTCACCTACTTGTTGACTAGCAATGGCGCAGACCTGGGTGACCCGCCCTTCATGGCGCGTATGCTTTTCATTCTTCGGGCATTTCCTGGCCACTTCCGAAACACGGACAGTTGGAAAATTCTCACTAGGTTTCGGTATATCATGCTCAACCTACCGGAAGATGAGATGCAGAAGCTCAAAGGCTATTTCAAGTCATCCAAAATCGACTGTCAAGCAGACGCGTCCATGAAAGTGCTAGAAAGTTGGACACAATGGCGCAACTGGGACGTACCATATGTCAACCAGACCATGGCATTCCAGCAACTCTTTGGCGCCGAGGAGAAGAAAAAGCTCGAGCTGTTCGAGCGCAAGCCTGTCACTGTGACATTCAGATCGGAGATGCTGAGGGTTGTTATTGAAAATGACGCTGGTACCAGCGACATCGTCCTAGAAGATACTTCTTTAGGGGTAGAGAACACCCCTCCAACCAAACCCGAGGGTCTAATGCTCGTTGAGGAGAACAAGCGTATGAACACTGTGCTGCAAGCTAACGCTCAGATCATTGCCATCAGCCTTGACTGGGCGCTGTTCCGGATTGCAGAAGACGTGCTCGCATTAAGGGACAAGATTGAGGAAGCTGAGATCAAGCTAAAAGGTCATGGCAATAGGACTGCACAACAAGCACTAGAAGATGGCTTGGCCCGACACGATATACATGTTGTCGTATCCACTGATACTGGTACACTGTCGCTGCAGACTGCCAACGTGCGACACCTGTCACGTATAGACGGCATGAAACTGTCCGTTATTGGCACAACACAAGCAACAGAGCAGCTTGGGCAGTGCGCAAGTTTAATTCTCAATGTCGACACGGCCATCACAGAGTGCCATGGACCAGACTCGCGCATCTGGAAAACTCTCTTGACATCACCCAGTCTGTATATTGACCACCTACAGGCGGCGACAGGGGTCGTTATACCACCAACCATTACCCTAGCGATTGCTTACGAAGATCTGCGTGTGTCTATCGATGAGCAGGTGCCGGGAATCTTGCATGTGGTAGATGCTATCATTGCATATGAAGTGGCTCAGGTGAAACGTCTGGTGGATCGGGCACAGAATACTCTGGCACACTCAATACCTTCGCCTCCAGGAAGTCCGGAAATGCAGATCGAAGCCACGCAGACTAGCACAAACAATGCTTCCCGTGCGACTTCCTCGAGCTTGGCGCCGAAATTACACGTTGCAGTTCTGGCTGGAAATATGCATCTCGAGGTATCGCTCTTACAAGCTCTTGGCTATCAGCTTGACGGTATCGCCGCCAGCGTCAAAGTGGCGCCAAGTCTGAAGAAGGAAAGAATCTTCGGCATCGACTTCGATGTCGGACGCATGAATCACGCATTTGTGAACACGTCGAGGAACGACCGGCATGTGCAAGGCCTGCTCGAGGTGCCTCCAATCAATGGCCATGTTGGTCTTGAATTTGATGGCGATGGGACCTCAATTTCTGTCGCAAGTACCATAGAGCGCGTGGAAGTTGATGCTGGTGCTGTGCAAGGGGTCATCGCTGTCATCAATCAGAACGAAGTCCAAGATGTCATGTCAGCCATCAAGTCCGGAGTCGAAGACATCAAGGGCCGCGTGATCGAAGTTTTCCCAGAAGACCATCAAGTCGTGCCAAAGCCGGTCCAGCAAAAGCGTGTCAAATTCGATGCTCGATTCGCTTTGCTCGGCATCAGAGTGTCTGCGACTACGCCGACTGCGGAGGGACATGGAGGAGCGACCGCAGAAGTTGAGTTTGGCATTGGACCCCTGCATGCCACTGCGTCCAACAGGGCCGCCTCGAAAGATGCAAATCCATTCTTACCAGAGGTGCGAGCACACGTTCAGGATATTGGAGCGAGTATGCAGATCAACGATCGTGGCACGATACGGCCCTGTGGCAATGCCACCCTTGGCATACAACTGCATTTCAACAATACTGCGAAAGAGGATGGGACTGTGCATCGCGAGCTGAACGTACGCAGCGATGGCAGCTCGATCCACGCTTACCCTGACACGGCAGCTATCATCGTCGATGTCATCAACCATTTGCAGGATCGCATCAAGCATCTGGACTTGTCTAAGGAGCTCGAGTACTTGCGCAAGCTGAGGAACGAGCGAAGACAGAGTGTGATTCAACGTGTCAGTGGCAAGCATGACTGGACGGAAGATGAAGAGATGCCTTTCTCGCCCGAGGATCTGCTATCAATTACGACCACGATCGAGCTCACCGATATCCAGGTTGCGTGGCTGGTGGACAGCACTTTCGCGCCACACCGAGGGTCGCCTGTCGATGATGTCGTGTTCTCTATCTCAAGTATCGAATTCACCACCCGTGGAGGACACGAAGCACGCCTCACCATAGAAGACATGCAGCTCCAGCTGGCAAAGGTACAGGATAGCAAGCAACACCGCGCCCTCAACTCTGCTCTGCTGCCTGAAATCGGCTTTAGTGTGGCTTACTGGAAGCAAGACAAAATGTGGAGTCTAGCTTTCAAAGCCACTGGCAAGCCACTTGACCTGAGGCTCGAATCGAAATTCATGCTACCCGTCGCGGCAGTCCAGCGATCCATAGAGGTCGCTGTCCGGAGATTCAAAGCAGGCACGGCGACGTGGCAAAGTACTCCCACCAATTCGGGCGCGCAAAGGAAAATGCCGCTTGATACCAAGCGTGTCAGATCTGTCCTGATTGAAGCCGACTTCGCTGGAGCGCAAGTGTATATGCAAGGGTCTGGTCCGAAGAATAACACTTTGTCTTCAATTGCGGCAGCCTCACAGCAGCAAGGCGCCAAACATGGCAGATATGGCCAATTCGCTGCCGATGGTGCATTAATGCACATGACACTGACTGCGCCCGGCATTGCATTCAAGATGGAGTACAATTCGCACAAAGAACATCCAACTGTCAATGCGGAGCTAGTGATTGCTGCTTCAAGCAATGCGCTGGCTCCTAATGTTGTACCGCTCATCTTGGAAGTTTCTAATAGCATCAAGGATGTCATGCAAAGTGATGAGAGGGTGAAGACGCCACCTCCAACTGACAGTAGAGCGGCGCTCAGAGACCAGGACTATGGCGATATTGTTACGACTACGCCGGCCAAGATCTTCGGAAAGACCAAAGTCGACCTTGGCTTCCGTATTGCAAAGCAAGAGTTTGGTCTAAGCTGCCAGCCTATCGCTAGAGTTGACGCAAAGGCGTCTCTCGACGACTTCCACGTTACGATGAACACGATTGATTCCGACGAGCATGGCCACTTCTTCGCCATGTCAGCTGTGCTGACTGGGCTTCAAGCTCAGATCAAACACATGTATTCGCGAGAGCCGACGTTCAGCTATGGCATGGATTCTATCGTCATGTCCATCATGAACAACAAGCACTTGAGTGGCACCGCTGGTATATCGGCTGTTCTGAATCTCAACCCGACCAAGATCATCATCAACGGCAAGCAGTTCCAAGATTTGCTTTTATTCAGAGAAATCTGGCTGCCTCCCGAGATACGCCATGCAGGAGATGTGGGCGCTCAACCCGCGGCTACAGCACCAGCACAGACTACCGACCAATTCGTGGTGCAAAAGTACCAAAGCATAGCTGCGGCTGCAGCGTTCCCATGGAATGCGACTGTGAACATCACTGAACTGGCTGTAGATCTCGACTTGGGACAGAGTATTGGCAAGACGTCTTTCATGATAAGTAACCTATGGGCCAGTCAGCAGAAAACTTCCAACTGGGAGCAAAACTTATGCATTGGCCTGGACGAGATGATCACGACCAGCACTGGACGTATGAGTGGCTTCATTCAACTGGATAAGCTGGGCGTGAGAACTTCCATCACGTGGCCGGAACAAAGCACAGATCCTGCGATGAGGAAGACGCCCCTCATCCAAGCATCGGTGGGCTTTGACAAGCTCAGAGCCAAAGCTGCGTTTGACTACCAGGCCTTCGCATTCGGAGATATTGAAAAGTTCGATTTCTTGATGTACAATGTTCGCGATGCTGGTGGCAAAGCCGATCGTCTCGTTGGTGTGCTGGATTGTGGTAGAGCCTATATCTTCTGCACGTCTACGAGTCCTGCTCAAGCCGTCGGCTTGTATCAAGCTTTCGATCGTCTGATCCAAGAGAAACAGGCCGCGTACAGTCAAAGCCTCAGGGAGATTGAGAAACACGTTCGGAGAGAAAGCACAGTCGTACCTACCAGATTTGGTCCTCGTATCCCTGGCTCGTCCGTTGGAGAAAAAGCAGCCAAAAAGACGACGATCAGGCTACATACAGATGTTGTCGTCACGATGGGTGCAGTCTGCTTTGGAGTCTATCCCGGCACTTTCTTCGATAGCCAAATACTGAAGCTCGAAGCGAACAACATTCAAGCTCGATTCGCTGTTGGCCTTGAAGGGGGCCAGATCACCAGTGGTCTCGGTATGACACTGGGACAGCTGCAGGTCGCTCTCTCTTCCACTCGACGCGTCACTGCTGTCCCGAAAGCGATCGAGGTCACGATTGACGAGGTCATTCAGAACGTGTTTGATGCCAAGGGTGGAATCATTCTCCGAGTTCCCAAAGTGATTGCTAGCATGCAAACTTGGCAGAGCCCAGGAGGGAATGAAGTGGATTACATTTTTAAATCGCTGTTTGGTGGCAAGATTGATGTGGGATGGAACTTGAGTCGAATCAATTTCATCAAGGGTATGTGGACGTCGCATACGAGGGCTTTGGCGACTCGGTTGGGTAAAAGTCTACCTGAAAGTGCTGTGAAGATTTCGGCTTCTGGTGGAGATGACAGTCCTTCGGGAAGCGACAAGGCTGGCGGCGATGCCTTGGCGCAAGAGAAGATTACGGCCGAGATCAAGCTTCCGCAGTCCAAGTATGAATACCGGGCGCTGGAGCCGCCGGTCATCGAAACGCCGCAACTGAGGGATATGGGTGAGGCAACGCCGCCGCTCGAGTGGATCGGGTTGCAAAGGGACAAATTGCCCAATGTGGTACATCAAATTCTGATTGTGAGCTTGTTGGAGGTATGCAGGGAGGTCGAGGACGCGTATGGGAGAATTTTGGGAAGTGCCCCGTCGTGACGCTCCCAGATTACCTCTTATTGATTGATGGTTGTTGATTAGCGCGGCGTTGAAAGGATTGTGGCATACTAGCTTGTGGAAATAGCATGACTTCCAGGACAGAACTTGCAGGTACAGTACATAGGTGAGAAAGAATCACAGACGGTTTGCACACCACGTGACCGGCCAGCTGAATGAAGAAGTTGAAGTGAAGTAGGAGGTACAGGTAGTAGATAGGTACCTCCTAGTACCTCCTGGAGTGTGTGTACAGATGGAAGTTGCAGGTTCAGGCTCGGCCACGGCAACACCCGACGGAGTTAGGCAGCCGACGCCGCACTCCCGCACCTCCTCCAACGAGCAGGTGTCAACAGCGGTGGCCCACGCTGAGCGCACTCGTGCAACAGTCAACTGCGGGCAGTGTGAGGCTCACTGGCTCGGCTCGGGTGGCCACATGGGAGAGAAGAGAGAGAGAGAGACACCGTTCATGTGCTTGGCAGTGCAAAAAGGGACGCGGTGTCGGGATTGGAAATGGGAAATGGGATTGGGAGTGGCGAGCCACCCGCCGGTTAGTCCCGTGATGGTGGGGCAACAGCCCACCGCCCTACTGCAGCATTTTCTCGATTTCAAGCTTCTCTCTCCTCATCCACCGCTCGCTCCTCCAGCGCCTCGACAGGTACACATCTTCGTTCGTCTGCCGTCCTGTGCCATCCGCTCACGCATCGCAGGCACATTCAGAATCACGAGGACTTCGTTGGCGAGCTGAATCGCTGCGAGGTGAACGAAAAACAACCTCCTCCTCCGTCTCCTCCCAGAATATAATCCACACAATACCGCCAAGATGGTCAAGTAAGTCGTCCCAGTGCGGAATTCGCGGCGCCGCTGCACCCTCGAGATACAGGAGAAGGCGGATGTAGAGTTTGGGCGGGTTTGAGCTGCAGAGAACACCGCGTCACGCCGCGAGACGAGAAATGAGAGGACATTGCGCTGACATGACGGCCTCTAAATAGCTTCACCGTCGAGGAGATCCGTGGTCTCATGGATGACCCAAAGAACATCCGTAACATGTCCGTTATTGCCCACGTCGATCACGGAAAGTCCACCCTCACCGACTCGCTCGTCCAGCGTGCTGGTATTATCTCGGCCAAGAACGCCGGTTCCGCACGATTCACAGATACTCGTCCAGACGAGCAGGAACGTGGTGTCACGATCAAGTCGACTGCCATCTCCCTGTACGGTACTCTCGCAGAAGTCGAGGATCTCAAGGATATCGTCATCACGACGGACAAGAGCGAGAAGAACGATTTCTTGATCAACTTGATCGATTCGCCAGGTCACGTTGATTTCTCATCTGAGGTCACCGCTGCGCTCCGTGTGACCGACGGTGCGCTCGTTGTCGTCGACACCATTGAAGGTGTGTGCGTGCAGACCGAGACTGTGCTCCGACAGGCTCTTGGTGAGCGTATTAAGCCAGTTGTCATCATCAACAAGGTCGACCGTGCATTGCTCGAACTGCAGCTGTCCAAGGAGGACCTGTTCCAGAACTTTGCTCGTGTCATTGAATCGGTCAACGTCGTTATCTCCACATACTACGACAAGGCCCTTGGAGATGTCCAGGTCTACCCAGAGAAGGGTACCGTTGCCTTCGGTTCCGGTCTTCACGGCTGGGCTTTCACCATCCGTCAGTTTGCTGTCAAGTACGCCAAGAAGTTTGGTGTTGACAAGAACAAGATGATGGAGCGTCTTTGGGTAAGTTGGTGCAGATCTGGGTCCGACGGGGGAATTTGGCACTAACACACTCACCAGGGAGAATCTTACTTCAACGCGAAGACGAAGAAGTGGACCAAGAACCCAGAGGGTGCAGAACGTGCATTCAACCAGTTCTGTTTGGACCCAATTTTCCGCATCTTCGACAACATCATGAACTTCAAGAAGGAGGAGACTCCTAAGCTTTTGGAGAAGCTCGAGGTCAAGCTTGTTGGTGACGAGAAGGATCTTGAGGGCAAGCAACTGCTCAAGGTTGTCATGCGCAAGTTCTTGCCAGCCGCCGATGCGCTCATGGAGATGATGATTCTCCACCTGCCATCTCCAGCGACTGCCCAACGCTACCGTATGGAGACTCTCTACGAGGGTCCTCCAGACGATGTGTCTGCCATTGGTATTCGTGACTGTGACCCCAAGGGACCTCTCATGTTGTACGTCTCCAAGATGGTGCCGACCTCCGATAAGGGCCGTTTCTACGCCTTCGGTCGTGTCTTCTCTGGTACCGCCCGCTCTGGTCTTAAGGTCCGCATCCAGGGACCAAACTACCAGCCTGGCAGCAAGTCCGACTTGTTCATCAAGTCTATCCAGCGTACTATTCTCATGATGGGTCGCTACACTGACCCAATTGAGGATGTTCCAGCTGGTAACATTCTTGGTCTGGTCGGTATCGATCAGTTCTTGCTCAAGTCTGGTACCCTCACCACCGACGAGACCTCGCACAACCTCAAGGTCATGAAGTTCTCTGTGTCTCCTGTCGTGCAGCGATCCGTCGAGGTCAAGAACGCCAACGATCTGCCAAAGCTTGTCGAAGGTCTGAAGCGTCTGTCCAAGTCTGACCCATGTGTCTTGACTTTCATCTCCGAATCCGGTGAGCACGTTGTTGCTGGTGCCGGTGAGCTTCACTTGGAAATTTGCTTGAAGGATCTTGAGGAGGACCACGCTGGTGTCCCACTTCGCATTTCCGACCCAGTCGTCCAATACCGTGAGACTGTCGGCGGTGACTCCAGCATGACTGCCCTGTCCAAGTCACCTAACAAGCACAACCGTCTCTACATGATCGCCACTCCTATGGCCGAGGAGGTGTCCAAGGACATTGAATCGGGCAAGATCGGGCCACGTGACGATTTCAAGGCTCGCGCCCGTATCCTCGCCGACGACCACGGTTGGGATGTTACTGATGCCCGTAAGATTTGGTGTTTCGGTCCAGACACCAATGGCGCCAACTTGCTTGTCGACCAGACCAAGGCCGTGCAGTACCTCAGTGAAATCAAGGACTCCGTTGTTTCTGGTTTCCAATGGGCTACCAAGGAAGGTCCCGTCGCCGAAGAGCCAATGCGCAATGTCCGCTTCAACATCATGGATGTCACTCTGCACGCCGATGCCATCCACCGTGGTGGTGGTCAGCTCATTCCAACAGCGCGTCGTGTGCTCTACGCCGCCACCCTTCTCGCCGACCCTGGTCTTCTCGAGCCCGTCTTCTTGGTCGAGATCCAGGTTCCAGAACAAGCCATGGGTGGCATCTACGGTGTGCTCACCCGCAGAAGAGGTCACGTGTTTGAGGAGGCCCAGCGTCCAGGTACACCGCTCTTCAACATCAAGGCATACCTCCCCGTCAACGAGTCGTTCGGTTTCAACGCAGATCTTCGCTCCAACACCTCCGGTCAAGCCTTCCCACAGTCAGTGTTCGACCACTGGCAGATTCTGCCCGGTGGATCCGTACTGGACCCCGCCACCAACCCCGGAAAGGTTGTCGAGGACATGCGAAAGCGCAAGGGTCTCAAGCCTCAAGTGCCAGGTTACGAGAACTACTACGACAAGTTGTAAGCGGCATAGCCACGCGATTGCTGTGTGGTTTGGCATGGAGAATACCCTGGGGTGGTGGAGGAGATTATGTCGAGCATTTGCGGACCGTCTGTTGCAGCGACAGTTCATGCAGGACTGCTGTCGAAATGGCACACCGCTAGAGAAGTGATGATACCTGCTTCCAGTGACGAAATGACAAAAAGGCTCGACGGGAATTGACATGACTCTCATTTGTGTTTTATGGCAGCTGCTGGTCATCTAGTACATAGATTACCAAAAGCATTTCACAAGTACAACTCCTTGTCTCCTCTGTATGCTGGAGATTTCGTCAGTTGGCCGAAAGTTGTTAGGTGTGAAACATCGGCCCTTTGACTACCCAATGCGGCAACCGGGCTTGGCGAACGAACTAGGTAGGCGTCGCGCGTCAGAACTAACTACAGCTTTAAGGTTTGGAAGTGGAAGACGTCTGCTGCGATGAATCAGGTGATGAGACAACAATGGAGAGCGAGACGGCAACGAGTATAATTTGGATTATGCGTGTACGATAATATACAATATCACGACGTACGTGTGCATTGGTTCACTCCGGTTTTTCCCCCAGCAACACGAGACAAACTATGAGCCAACTCCGACCGCCTCGAGACTCCCTCGAACTCGCATCCCTCGCCAGCAGCTCCCACGACGACAACGACCACACCGAACGCGCTTCGCTCGACTCCTCATCCTCAGGGATCCCCTCCAGCCGGAAGCTGTCATTCAGTGATCCTACGACGCCTCAAAATGGCAGGCGACCGGGACATGGAAGGTCATACTCCGTCAGCAGCGCATTCGATTTCAGCAGCTCGCTGTTTCCCCTGAGTACCAGTGGGAATGGCTATACCAGCTTGGGAACGCCTAATACGCCTCACTTTGATCTCGGCGCTGCGCAACACGGGGCGGGAGGACAACAGAGTCTCGAACGACACAAGAGCTTGACATATCTGAATGGGCTGTCGTTGGTCGTGGGCTTGATCATAGGGAGCGGCATCTTCAGCAGTCCGGCGAGTGTGAACAGTAACGCTGGATCGCCAGGTGCTGCAATCATTGTCTGGGTCGTGAGTGGGATTCTGGCGTGGACTGGCGCGTGCAGTTATGCCGAGTTGGGAGGCGCCATCCCCTTGAATGGAGGCGCGCAGATTTATCTCGGCAAGATCTTTGGGGAATGGGCTGGCTTCCTGTTCACATGGTGTGCAGTTGTGGTGCTCCGGCCGGGTAGCTCGGCCATTATTGCCATCATCTTTGGCGAGTATCTGGTGAGAGCGGTCATTGGGCCTGATGCGGCAGAGGTTAGTCCGTGGATTAACAAAGGCGTTGCGTTACTGGGCTTAATTTTCGTCACGCTGTTGAACTGCGCATCCACCAAGCTAGGGACGAGGAGTGCAGACTTTTTCATGTTTTTCAAATTTGCGGCGCTTTTGGCTGTTACAGTAGCAGGGATTGTCGTGGCGACAACGGGACTGGCATACCACAAAGAAGAGTTGGGCACTGATTGGAAGACGACGGGCTGGTTTGAAGGCACAAGCGCGTCTTCGTCAGAGTGGGCTGTTGCCCTCTACGCCGGCCTATGGGCATATGATGGATGGGATAACACCAACTACGTGGTGGGCGAGATGATACATCCGAGTCGAGATCTGCCCCGAGTGGTGCACACGTCCTTTCCCGTCGTGATCATTTGCTACATTCTCGCGAACATGGCATACATCTTCGTGCTTCCCACCGCGGTCATCAACAAGTCCAACACGATCGCCGTCGCGTTCGGCGGCACCGTCCTAGGACCTGTCGGCTCTCTTCTCCTCGCGCTCGCAGTCTCAGGATCCTGTTTTGGCGCGCTGAATGCCACCACCTTCACGGGAGGTCGCCTCGTCTACAGTGCAGGAAAGGAAGGATACATTCCTGCGATATTCGGCACCATTGGCTTCCACGACTCCGCCCAAAGAGTACGGCTCCCGCGACGAAATACGAGAACGAAAAAACTCACCAGCTTCGTGGCCGATGAGCAAGGCTTCTTTTTCACGCCGATATATGCCATGATCTTGAACGCTCTCGTTACAGTCGTCTACATCATCATTGGCGACTTCACGACATTGACGACCTTTTACGGTGTGGCGAGTTATCTGTTCTACTTTGCGACAGTAGTTGGGCTCATAGTGCTGCGAGTGAAGGAGCCAGAATTGGAAAGACCGTATAAGTGCTGGATCACGACGCCAGTGATATTCTGCTGCGTCAGTTTATTCCTCGTCAGTAGGGCCGTCTTTGCAAAGCCGCTGCAGGCGCTTGTCGTGGTAGCATTCTTGCTCATAGGCATTCCTCTGTATTGGTGGAGAGTAGGCAGCAAAAGACGGAGAAGTGGTAAACGACATGGCGATGATAGAAAAGTTTGGCAATTCTGGAAATGGGGAAAATGAGATACATGCATGCCAAAGCCAAATTGGTGCTCTTGTGTGCTATAATTCTCTGCCTCCTATGCTTCTACGCTTTTCAGATCGCAGCCATCACATCATCGTCTTTGTGAATGACTGAGGTACTAGTAGTACATCCTACACAAATGCGCGAGGCACCGTTCTTATTGTCGAGGACAGGAGTAGAGGACGGGTCTTATCCAGAGACAGCCAGTCGAGATGCATACAACTCCCTCGACCTTGCCACCATGACGAGCTCACGTCTCCGCGTCTCCGCATGCCTAGCCTCTGCCGCCGCCTTCGCCTCAGCGTTCAATCTCTGAACGTCCTTGCGACATCCCAGGAAGAACTGCTTCAACTGTTGCCTCTTCGATCCCGCTTGCGCCGGAGTAGTAGTAGTAGAAGGGGCAGGAGTAATAGGCACATGCCTACCAAGCAACAACAACATTGCCTCATTGTGATTCCCGTCTGCAGCCGCAGTCTCCCTACAAACTCTCCTCGCCCGCCTCGAAGCATCAATATCCACCTGAAGCCTCATACCCGCCACCCCATCTCCGGACCCCTGTGCCATGTACTGTTGAAAGATCGGCCAAGTATCCTCTCCCAACACCATCGTAGTAGTAGTAGTAGAGGAACCATTTCTCCCTCTCCGCTCCGCATCCGCCTCGAAGAAGAGGATCTTCATCTCCCATACAAAAATCTCGAGCGCACCCGGTCGGAGAAATTTCTGCTGACAGGCTTTGAACCAGACTGCTTTCCAATACTTCTGGAATGCGAGGAAAGTTCCCGTGCAGGGGAAGCGAGTGGGCTGGAAGTGGAAATTTCCCGTGATGCTGGAGTTGACGGTCATGGCGAGGAGATGATGTCCATTGGGAGTGGGTTGGAGCCGGACTTCGGGTCGCTCTGCTTCTTCTCTGTCCTCTTCTTCTTCTTCTGCGCTGTTGGTACGGTGCAGTGAGTCTGTGCGGGAGTATGGTGGAGGGGGTACCTCGTCGTCGTCGTTGTAGTCGTTTGGCATTGCTGCTGCTTCTTCCCAATTCGCCATGCTCGCGCCGACCTGCTGCTGACGGATTTGTTGTTGCCGGGGTGATGGAGGTCTGGCCGAATATGAAGGTGCGGCGCGGTGGTATGGAAGCATGTTTTTGCGTTGAGCTTTTGGTGTGGTTGGTATTGGTATTTTCGATAGAGAGCGTGTAGAAGTAAGTGGGATATAATGGTAGTAGTACTAGGGTAAGGTAGAGGAGGAGAATTATATATGTCTGGAGCATGATGTGCAAAGCAATTGGAAGTACATTATGTCTACTGGTTCGTCCCAAAGAATGTATAAAGGCTAAAAGGTGAGGACCGACCACAAAAAGAGTGGTTGATATTTTCTGGTAATCGCCACTTTCTCCCGTCGTATAGTCAGGTATAGTTCCCCAGCGGTCATCCCATCTCCCTCGCATCTCCATCGTCTTCCTTCCCATCTTCACTCGTCTCTCCACACCGAATAAGATTCAAGGTATCCCAAACCAATCCACTTTTTTGGCTGCTCAGGATCCATGGCAAGTCTTTCGCCACATGACCACAGGCGCATTGATCTCCATCCACTCGAATATTTCCTCATGAACTGCACAGCGAGCTAAACTTCATCTTGCTCCCACGAGCCAATCTTCACACACCCACCCCTTCGTCTCTCTGTTGCAGCAAACTTTCTGGTGACGCCGGCGGGTATCATCCGCTCGCATCCCTATTGGCAATGGTTGAATAGGAATGTTCAAGCTGTCGCTTCTTTCGAGGCCGCTGCTCCTCGAGTTCGTCGTTGTCGTGGCCTTTTTGGACTCGGAAGGGTAAGTTGAAATTTCGTGGTGTGGGCTGCGGTTGGGGGCACTCGTTTGGGGGGTCTGGCGCTGCAAGTTCCACGCGAGGTGGAGATGGTAGAGGCGGAGGAAGTCGTGTTGCTGGAAAGTGTCAGTCGAGTGTTTTGTCGGTCTCTTGATCTGCTGATGATCACTTACGAAGCAGGTTCAACTTGTCGGAGCGATCTGTCTCTGTTGTAGTTGGCAAGCTTGCCTCTGTCGATGGCTTGACTCTCTGCACACAGGCGCCATTTTGGATGGTGGGATGATGGATCGTATCTTGCACTTTCGCAACTTCCGGCCTCAGGCGGTTGTAGGTGCTGTCCAAAGTGCGGTTAATGTGTTCCTGCGCCATCTTGACGCGCTCCGGGGGAGAGAGATCGAAGTCTTGGTCAGCGCCTCTGCTGGCGGTCAGCGTGTCCATCTTGTACTGGAAGAGCGCCAGTTTCTCCACCATCAGTTTCCTGTTCTGTTCTCTGCTCTCATCAGTTTCGGTCTCTTCGGCTTTCCAAGGGCATGAGATACTCACCGAAGCGCAGAGTTCTCCTTGTGGATTTCCACATATTTATCTTCGATGCTCCAGTGGAAGCCCTCGAATCGAGTTCGCAACCACTCCTCCCCTCGGCCGGCGCACTAGTTTGTGCTTCTTCTCCATCGTCATCGCCTTGGTTTGAGTAGCTTGTGCACGAGAAAGATGGAGATGCTTGCACGCAGAGACGGACCTTCAGAAGTCTTTTGTCGGAGTCTATAAAACGGCTGCTGCACAACCACTGCCGTCTCACACTTGCTTCAAAGCAAGCTGCAGAGACAGTTCAAAGACATGTTTTGTGCAGTTTCACAGCCTGATGATCCTGTCTCATTGTCGTGAACGAGACGGAGCCTCGTCACGTCGCCACTATTCGTACATGAAACCATCTTGCAGCATGGCTTGATCCTCTTCCAACTCCCAATCGCGAGGCCAAAGCCTGCGCAGAGTCGCAGGGACAATGCCACTGTGTCGAGAGGCCGTCAGCGACCTATCCTATTCTATTCCCTCCACCCTCCGCCAGGATCAAAGTCCTTCCTCGGTCATGGTTTGTTGATGAAAACACATGTAAAAGCTGGCACCGTCCTTGCGCCACACACTGCTACACAGCGCATCGAATTCGGCGTCTCGCTCGTCTTTGGGATCCACCGATGCTCTTGTGGCGATGGCTCGGTACGAAATGACTGCGCCGTCCGCGCCGACGGGCGTGACATCCACGTTCTTGAGGCGGAAAGTTCTCCAAGGAACAAATGCGGAAGAGTGCAAAATGTCCTGGACCGAAGGCCGGGAGTTGGCAGTGACTTTCAGCCCCAGAGGGAATTGCATAATGGCATCGCTGGTCAAGTACGGGATCAGTGCTGAACCGTCGGTTTGGAGAGCGCGCCACGTTTGTTCTTCCAGATCGAGGATTCTGTCGTGTAAGGACATGTCGAGTGTCGAATACATGTAAGGTGGAAAGTGACCAAAGGAGCAAAAAACGCGAATGTACTCTTTTTTGTTCAAGTTGAGGAAAACAATGCGAAAGTGGGAAAGCAGAATGACAGGTGAAGGTGTACCTATAGGTAACATGTATGTACATGTTGTGTAGGTAGGTGGCCGACTGACCCACTTTCGTTAGAGATCTGATACAGCCTAAGTAACCTACAGTCCTGTCAATGACACACCGTGCAACAAGGTTATACTGGTATTGACGTTCCTATGTGACGTACCGTTTGTACGAGGAAGGTTGAACATTGCTCCATGTGTGGCTGGATCAAGATATTCTCCAACACGCGTACGGAGAGTAGGGTATCATCAGAATTTTCGAAAGCAGAACTTATCCGGACTGTTCCCAGGCAGCCACACACGGCATGACTTGATTCATTGCTCACATGCGAGGATAGCCGTCCATCATATCTCCTCCGTGGACTCGTCGTTCCAAATATTGTCAGCCCCGAAAATGCGAGTAGTTGGTAGGTCTGCTTGCTCGACCCTTTGAGTGTGAAGTAGCTAGAGCCATATCACTGCCAACGGTCAGGCACGCGAGTTCTCCTAGCTCCATTTGCTGCTCGCGTGCGACTACGTGAAGTGGAAGTGAATAGAAAGTGAACGAGCTTTGTTAGGGGAGCGGACTTCTCTCCCCTACGTATTCACGCTCACATTCACCCGGCCCCTACATGACTCGCGGCGAGCGCAACGGCAACGGCTACGGCCCGCTAGCGTCACTTGGCAGTCCGCGAGTACAAAACTCTTCTGTTCTTCGCTCTCAAACTTCTTTCCTTTCTTCTTTAGCTCTCTTTGCCTTGTAAGTTACCACCCCATACTACAACATCCATCCATCCATCCATCACCACTCCACAACAACATCAACAACATCAACAACATCAACAACCATTGCTAACACCATCACAGTTGGCTTAGATCAAGTGTAGTATCTGTTCTTTTCAGTTTAATCTCTGAAACGAGTCTACGGACTCTTTTAAGATTATGTGAGTTGCACCTCCTCCCCTCTCCATCACACACCTGCTAATCTTCTGCTTCTAGTCTTATTTTTGAAACCAGTCACTGGGCCGCTGAGCTTGCTCATGTCCAGAGGCACCGTGTCTCTGGTATCGCACTACCTCCAGACGACGCGAAGACACCTTTTTCATCACTCTGTTGCTTGTTTGCAATGGCTTGGAGAAGAAGCTCAGTTGTTTTTGTTTACCTCATACGCGCACACTGGCATGGCGAATTGAATTTCGCATCTTTTGAGTACCCTGTGCGTGCGCCCCTTTAGTATGGGACGCGTTCGCCAAGTAAACATGGCTTCCGCGCCATTCCAACGACTTCGATTCAGGAGGTAGCTACATACAACATCGTCCTCACTTCAGCGCAACCGCCCGCGTGATTGATCCTCGACGACTCGGAACATCATCACCCAGCACTTGACCTCTGTCTAACTGATCTCTCTCCCACCGCCAAAGGTATTGTACTACTACAACGACGACGGGGTAGGACGAATGTACCACCGGCAGGAAAAGGACAAGAAGAGGCTCAACGAGCAGGAGAAACATGGCATACACCCACTCGAGATATGGACGGGGAGGAGGGTACGGTGAGGCAAAGACGGGCTAGATCAGGTTATTTCTTTTCATACCAGGTAGGTACATATGTAACTACAATTTCGCACCCGCCGCCGCAAGCTCCATTTCAGCTTTTCGCGGTCCCACAAAGCCAAAGAGATAGGCAGCAACTTTGCGCATTTGAATCTCTTCACTGCCTTCGGTGATTCTGTATCTGCGATGATGTCTCCAAATGTGCTCGAAGGGATAATGGCGACCTAGACGGGAGGAAAAATAGGTGATTATGTTAGTTTTCTTTTTTTCTTTCTTTTCTTTTTTTATTGAAATGGACAAGTGAAGACAAGAACAAGTGCTCAACTTACTATATCCCCAACCACCAAACGTCTGAATAGCTCGATCAGCAGCTTGCGTACACAGCCTATTCGCCCAATAGTTACACATGCTCACTTTATCACTAAGTTTCCGCTCGACGTCAGCATGTGCCATCGCATCCATTTCCACGGCAGTTTTGCGAATCAAGAGCCTTAGCATTTCGCATTGCGTCGCAAGTTCCACCAACGGGAATTGAATGGCTTGGTTTGCCGCCAGAGGTTTCCCAAACGGTTGGCGTTGTCGAGCATATGCGACGGATTGATTGATGCAATAGACTGCTGCGCCGAGCGACGAAGCTGCTTGGCGGATGCGGTTTTCGTGGACAAAGGCTTGCGCGACGGAGAGACCTTGGTCGAGAGGACCGATGATGGAAGATGCGGGGACGCGAACATTCGTGAGGGAGATGGTGGCGTGGTCGGTGGGCATGTTTATGGTCCATTCGTAGGATTCCACTTGTAAGCCGGTGCTGTTGCTGGGGACGTTGAAGCATGTGATGCCTTGGGCACTGCCATCTTTGCCGCTTGTGCGAGCGAAGATGAAGCAGTTGGTGGCTTTGTGCATTCCTGTTTGCCACATTTTGCTGCCGTTGATGATGTAGCTTCCGTCATGTTCCTGTTTGACTGCTCGCGTTTGCATGAAGGTGGCATCGCTGCCGTGACCCGGTTCGGTGAGTCCGAATGTGATTCGCACTTTGCCTGCGAGTCGGCCTTCGATCAATTCTTTCTTTTGTTGCTCGTTGCCGAAGTGTTGCCTAGAAAAAAAAGGGGGGAATTCATGGAAAAAAATAGTAAGTAAAGGTACCTTAAGCAGTTCTTTTTTAACTTATTCTCGAAAAAAGATACATACACCATAATCACATCCGGAAAATTCCCACACACACTATGTTCATTCTGCAAATCATTAAACAGCCCCAACCCTTTTGCAGCAAGATGTTCTCGAATCACCGCCATCCAGAGATTCGACCCTCGTCCCGCCGCGCTATCATTCTGACCTCCATACTGCCTTGGCAAACTGAAACGATAAAATCCAGCCTGGTCTGCTCTCCGCGTGGCTTCCTGGAGCAGCTGTTCCCAGTCTTCGCGGGGGAGTCCACCGTTGTCCCAGTCGGTGCGGGAATGTTCTCTGCGATGGTCGAAGAAGCGCTCGTTGTCGTTTTGGGCTTGTAAGGGTGTGATTTCGCGGTCGATGAAGTCGTCGAGACGCGAGAGGTAGGTTTGGAGGGAAGGGGGAATTTCGAAATTCATGATCGAGGTTGAGGTTGAGGTTGATGGAGAGAGAGAGGTGATAAATGCTTCAGTGGGGTGGTGAAGCTACGGTTCAGTCAGAATGTTGTGCTATATTATTGTTATTATCATGCTTATGCTTATGCCCCCTACCCCTAAAGAGTGTTTTATATCTCTTAGACCTCGGATCAAACGACTAGGAACAAACTCTGCCAAGTGATACAAAAGAGGAGTTGGAGCCGAGTTCAACTTTACGAGTCAATTTATTGTATCAACTCGGACTACTACTTGATCTCTCTAAGTATAAAGACTCTTTACTAATTCTCGAGGCCAAAATTCTGCTTCTATTAACATAGCTAGCAATTATGCTCGAGCAGACTACTTTGAGGTTATATACGAGGCAAAGGCTTAAGCTTACAATCCTACGGTCTGTCGTAAGAGTTTAAGGCCCTGTCTTCTTTAGTCGGTTTTACGGTTTTCAAGCGACAGTATTACTATCGGAATAGCCGTCGACGTACCTATAACGGTTTCGTCGTTTCCGAGAGGACAGGTAGCGATAATTACTATATAGTACTTCCGTCTTAGCTACGGCTATTAGTAACCTTGCTGCCGCTACTTCGTTACTACGAGCTATACGTTTCTATAGTACTATTCTATCGTCGCTAACTCGTTATATATCGGTATCTAGCCGTAGTATATATCTATTATCCGTTATATTACTGTCTACTATATCGTCGCCGCTCTTCCTCGTCGATCCTCGTCGATATACCTCTAGCAATTATACCGACGCTAGCTTAAAAACGCAAAGCGCTAGTAAATCCAACTAAGGCTATAGAGGCTCGGCGTAAGCGTAAGGTACGCGTAGACAAGTAGAAAGAAGCGGATAGGCCGTAGTACCCTATTATAACGCGATTCGCCGACAAGCACTTAGAGTACTTTTTCGACTAGTTAAGGCTTGTAAAGAGTCGACAAACCTATAGCAAGAACTAGCGAATCGAGGATTTAAGGGATATCGCGCTATATATACGTAAAGAGTTTGAACTCTACTTTACTACCGACTCTTTAAAGGGAAAATAGACTACTATAAAGCAAGAATAGGCTATTTAGATCAAATACCTAACGTATATTAGTAGTTATAACGCGCCGCCTAGATCCGCGCCGTCCGCGTATATAGAAGCCGAAGAAGCTTACCTTTAGAATTAGCCGGAGTGTTATTATTATATAGATAGTATAGAGCCGTAGTAGAAAGCGTAGATAGAAGAGCTTATCGGCGACGAGGTTACGACCGGTTACGAGGCTACTACTGCTGCCGACCTTATAGTAGACACTCTACCGAAGGAAGAAGAGGCCAAATCGAGCGATTCTAACGGTAGTAGTAGTAACTTCTTAGACCTATCGCAGCTATCCGAATAGACGAGAGGTATTCGGTTAGCTAAGAGGAATAAGAACGATCGGAAGCGCGCTAAAGCTAAGGCTCAAAAAGCAGCTGCCGAGAAGCGTATTTACTATAAAAATAAGGACAAATCGTCGGTATCGGCCGTACGCGCTACTATAGAACTACTCTATACTACGCTCGCCGAGTTTATAAAGACGTAAGAGGTACGCGTAGCGCTGCCGCCGGTACGCGTTAGAACAGACGTCGAATTGTTATCCGAGAAGTTACTAGATCCTACGTATCTTATTAACCTGCTATTTGCGTACAAAGTCGCTATAATAGAAGCGATTAGCCCGATTCCGTAGAAAGTAAGTATAGCTATCGCGCTATTAGCGAAAGGAAGAGAGGTAGAGTTAGAAGAATATATACGTACGACCTTATCGAATCTGCGCGGCGGGCTACCGACGAGAGTATCGAGCGTTCTATATAGGCAACTTCCGTTATATAGGTATTAATCGTTTCCGTATCGGTATAGTTATAGTATGCTTCCGAGCGGTAGGCGGGGCGATGTCTAATATATTAGTAGCGGTCTTCAATGAAATTAGGTATTAGAATAAGATAAAGTAATATCTAGAATATAAAGTAACGTCTAACTAATACTTTCCGCTAATATAGGTTATTATAAGTTATCAATATTAGAGTTAACGAGACATATAAGTCGTAGAATAGCAGCACTTAGGAAAAGTAGGTCTATACTACTAATATTATTACGCTAATTAGTCGAATCGCGTTACGTAATAATATCTGTATACTGTACGACTTATATCGCTCGTTTTTAGTAGGGTCTTAGTATATAGGGTAACGTTAGAAGACAGCGTATACAACTCCTAGAATAGCAGAATATAGGAAAAGTAGGTCTATACTACTAATATTATTACGCTAATTAGCTTAATCGCGTTACGTACTCGCTCTATTTACTGTTCAAATTGTATGTTCTATTAATATATATTTTCGCGCTAGACCGGGTTCTTCTAACCTTATATATTCTCTCCTACTCTACTTCCTACTCGACACTATATATAGAAATACCTAACAACGCAGTCCTAGAGCTCTATCGACGATATCCTACTCTAGTCCTACGGCGAACGACGACGATAGTCTATTGGATATTCTACTACTCCAGTTTTATACCGGTACGGTCGCGACCGTAATATTCGAGGTATTCGTAGTAATCTTGCTATATATCCTCTACTAACCGATCCCTAAATACTAGTATCTTATCGTCGTTGTTAGTATTCGGTATACTCGAGCCGTCGCTAATAGTATCTTTACTACTAATCTAACCGCCGGTTACCTTAGTAAGATTGTAATAGTTCTATAAGCGTAAGGGTATACGCGATAGAGGTCCTAGGTATAAAAGGTATAAACAATATACAGCTTGCTAACTAAGGTATAATAACTCTGCCCTTCCTTCCTAGAGGAGGGCCCTCGCTATATATACAAGCTATTCTATTGTCTACTCCTCGCTACCGGCACCGCCTCCTCTTAGGCAGCAGCCGATAACCGGTTCCCTTAGGAACCCTCTTGATTTAGAACGTCTCTAATCGGTAGGGCATCCCTTCTATACTAGATCGCCGGGGGTCTGCGAGGGCTTTCCGTCCTACGCGGTACGCTCCGCCTGCCTCGCCGGGGGTTCGCTAGGGCTTCTCTGCCCTAGCGTATTATAGACGCCCCCTCTTAGGGCTAATGTCCCTAGTAGCGATAGGTTATTAGTCCCCTACGTATTCGCCCTACGAACGGGGGTAGACGTCTGCTCTTATCTAGGTACCGCGTAGAGCTAGCGCATACCTGTAGAATGTCTATGCCTTAGTATTAGTAAATATTGTATATAAATTCCCTCTTATATTCGCGCTGTCGCGAAGCGTCGCTAAGAATGTTTGCTTATAGTCGTATCGCGAATTCTGTAGGTAGTAGTCAAGAGTACGCAGTAGTGTCGCTATAGAGATAGAATATTTTAATAGGTTCGTCGCGCGTTCTACGATCCTCTTATTCCTTTCCTATTAACAACCTACTACGTACTAACATTCTTACCCGCCTGTAACTCTATTACTACTACTATATCCAGATAGCTATACTTCTACTTCTCGTTCTTCGTTTACTCTTTATAGCCCTACCTCGTCCCTTAGTTTCCCTCGCCGGCTCCGCCGCTTTATTAGGCCCCTTCGACTATTATAGCGTTTACCCGGGGGTGCGTAACGATTCCTTTCTCCGCTACGTATATAAAGGATATAGTACCTAACGACTAGGACTATAGCTAGTCGGACGCCGACTAAGACGAAACCGGGTACGTAGCTATATACCTGCGGTACGCAAAGTCGATCGCTATAGGGCGAGTATATAATATGTCTATATACTATATATACGATAGCTACGCGAACAACAACAAAGCAGGATGTAATAGTATAGGAAGGGTAAGTGTCCGTCTGCCTCGCTAGGGGTTCGCCTTGCTAACGAGTTTGTATATAGACCGTACGGTCCGTACTAAGACTCTCAAACAAGGTAATCGCCGTCTAACACTAGAAGGATGCCTATAATAAGATCTAGAGAGAGATTACGGCTAGTTACCCGGCAAGCTCCGTAGAGGACGCGCGCGCCCTCGCGGAGGGCGACAAGGAGTACTGTCGCTAGGCAGTACGCCTCTATCTTATAGCGCGAACCCTTAATAGAGAGATCTATACTATTGAGGTAGCGTACTACCGTATAGGGACTACCGTAGGTAGGCCTACCCTCGCGCTACGGTCGACCTAAGACTACTAAGGCTTGCTGCTCTTAGAGCAATTGCGTTCGCTAGGACGCTATCCCGTATAGGGACCCTTAGAACGCCTCTAAGGGTCGTTAGCGGTAAGTCTTTAACGACGCTCCCCGTTCTTAGAAACTAGCTAACTATATCGTAGCGTCCCTCTACTACCGCGGTAGACGCCTTTAACTAGACGCGTACGAGGTTCTACTAGGTAGTACCTACTATAGTATTACGCCTAGACGAGGCCCCGGCGGTTCCCCGCGCCTCGCCCCGTCCTTAAGCAACCCTGCTAGTACTCTCTATAGGTCGGAGTTACTGTTAGGGTAGTCGCCCCGTAGTATATTCGTCTAACGATAAGGAGCTTCTAGCTACGGTACCGACGCCGGTAACCTTTCGTCGGCGCGGCGAGAAGGTACGCGAGGTTACCCTATCCCTAGAGTAGGGTCCCGTATTGCTAGACTTTGTTCGAGATACCCTTTCTAGCCTACGTCGACCTAAGGCTAGTACCGTTCCCGTATCGACTAACGATATGCCCTCTCGTCCGCGTAGCGGTCCTATAGCGACTACTTGTCCTATTGCTCGTCCGGCGGTCCCTATCTAAGATTTACTAGCGCGTACCCCGGCGGCTCGTCGCTAACTAGTAGCTCGCGAGACCTCTCGACGTTCGACGGCCGGTCGTATAGCGCCTCGTACGCCGTATAGTAGTCGTACTTTGAATACTGCGTACTCTCTATTACCTAGCTATATAGCTAGGTACGATTTTAATACCCTAGAGGGGATCGCCGCGGGCCCGCGGCTACCTTAGACTAGGTACTATATCTACGCCGGATACCTAGCTATTCTACTCCGATATT